ACAGCTTTCGGAAACTTTTTTTGTGTTCGTTGTGTAGATACTCTGAAATTGTGCTTCATTCGCTTAGAAAATTGTTGTTGGGCTAAACAGATTTGGAGACGCCATGTATCTCACAGTGCAGCTAATGTGTTTCTCTCTTGAATTGTTTCACTGGCTATCTACTAACTGCTAAAGGAATAATAAAGAATGGTCCTGGAAATTCATCTCTGTTCGTGATGATCATGGTAGATGGATTTCTGGTTTTTCCAACACATATTGGGTTTACTTCGATTATGGTTTCTGAGTTGCAGGTTATTAAGCAAGGAATATATTGATCTTGCTATTCGGCTAGGATGTTCTAAGTTGGAGATTAAAGCTCATGTGTTTAGGAAAGGGAAGACGTGTGTAGATTTTCTAGCTAAATTAGATTCTAGCTAGAGGGATGTGCATCAGGTTTGATACTCTCCTCTGCCAGGTTTACGAGACGCTGTTCAGACAGATTGTTTTGAGACAGTTTTCTGCAGAAACTAGAGTAAATTATAAATTAGTCCCTCTTGTTTCAAGAAATGAATTAATTAGTCTCTCTCACTTTAAAAACTAATTATTTAGTTATCTACATTTTAATTTCGTCAATAATTTAGTTTTTTCTTCAGATTTTTGTTAGATCAATCATATTCTTTCTCAAATTATCTTTTCTTTGATACCTTGTTTATTTTCTTCATTCATTATCTTTCTCTCTCTTCAAACAAAACCAAAAAGGACAATTTAGAGATAAAAATCACTAATTTAAAGAAAAGCTGATTAAAATATTAAGTTATTAATAGAATTAAAATACGAAGGACTAAACAATTAGTTTTTGAAATCAGAGAAACTAATTAATTTATTTCTTTGAAACAGGAGGGACTAACTTATAATTTACTCAGATAAACTAGTGCTTTCTTTTCTTTTCTTTTCTTTTTTTTTTATATAAAAAAAAACTCTAATTATTTGTTATTAGCAAGCAAGGTTACATTCTGATAACATCCATTTTTTTCTTATCTCAAAATTAATATTATGAACAATCTATACTTGTAAAATCCTTATAATTACTGGATATAACTTTAATTTTTTAATTTAACAATAACATATATTTGAAAGTGTATATTGACTTAATGCATTAAGATAAATTTAATAAATTTCAAGATATTAGTCTCAAAATCTGAACCTAAAAAATTAAGAAAATAAGTAATTTTTTTAATTACGAAGCCAACCGTTGAGGTTGTAACTTGGATTTATCATAGGCATTAGATCTTTAAAAAAAAAAAAAACTAATTTAGGCATTAGCAACTTCAAGTGGCATTTCTTTTACTGAAAAATTAAATTAGATTGATAACATAAGCCCAACCCAAGAAGTTGAGTTAACCAGGTTGTCTGCAAACGAACCTCTTGAAGATTTTAGGTTCTTTACAGCTTGGGCTGGGGCGCTGGGCCGATATAAACTTGGCAATTTTAAATTTAATGAGTAAATTATATATTAGTCCCTCTAGTTTTGAAATTTGAATTACTTAGTCTTTTTTTAAAACAATTAATTATTTAACCTTTGACCAATATTGAACACACTTAATTTAATGTTACTTTATTCCAAAAAAATTTCTTTTTTTCGTCAATCATTCTATAATATACATATTTTTAATTTTATTTCTTTTTAAATAAAAAACAAAACAACTTAAAAAAGAGCATCAAGGGACAAAAAGACTAAATAATTAGTTTTTTTTTAAATAGGGATTAATTTATAATTTACTTCAATTTTAATAGATAATCCTGGGTTGGTTTCCCCTTTCTGAGTTTTGAATATGAACCATAAATCTAATTTTTTAAAGTCCTGGATTAGGATAAATCTAAGGCGGCCTGACTTTTTTCTTTTTCCTTTCCTTTCACTTAAATATGCAATCAGATTCTAAAACATCCAACAAAGGACTTGATTTATCTTTAAAAAAAAAAAAATTATTTCGAGATAGCAAATAATTGAATCTTTTAATTCAAGGATGAATTTAGCATTAAGTAATAAATTAGGGAGGTTTGATATATTTTAGTATTAAAAAATATATAGTCAGCTGATCATCAGCCGATTGAGAATTCGTCATCCATTCGTATGATAATATACTTTGACCCATTAAACAAAACCATGTTTGAAAGTCAAGCGACAAAAATAAAATATTGAAAACCCACCAGAAATTCAGGCTTCCAAAGATGCAAGTGAGCTTGACCAATTAAGTGGTCAAAATTTTTTTTTGGATAAGAACATTTAATCCCTTCGTATCGAGGATATATTGTCCAAGAGAATGTTCAAGGAGGTGGAGTAAATTATAAATTAATCCCTCTAGTTTTTAAAATAAATTAAATAGTCCCTCTAGTGTATATGTCCTTCTTCCATTTATTTTGATTTTTTGTTTTAATAAAAAAAAATAAGAAATGATTGATGAGAAAATAAAACATTTTTTTTGGAAACAACGTGATATTGAATTAACCATGACCAACAATAATTAAAAAACTAATTAATTAGTTTCTTAAACAAAAGAGACTATTTATTCATTTTACAAAACTAGAATGACTGATTTATAATTTACTCCCAAGAAGTGGGAAGGTTGAGCTTCCTATCTCGTTCCATGATAAGAAAAACAACTGATCTTCTATGGTCATTAATTAATTAATTAATTAATCACTTATATTACCAACTTGCTTAACAACTCATTGCTTCCACAAAAATATTTTTTTAATCAGATTTTAAATTGTAAAATAACCATCAACTTAATCACAGTTTACACGTGCTCTCCTAAATTAACAGCTCATCTGAAATACCAAGTTCACCATAATATTCTCTCTTTTTTTTAAAAAAAAAAAAAAAAAAACAGGAACCAGATTGATCTTTTTTAGTTTTTGCTTAGTGTTTAGCAAATCAGATATTTCCTTTTGCATCCTCTAACAAATTGATGCATGTGTTCACCATAATATTACTATTATCGAGATTTAGAAAAATAATTAGTTTAAAAGTAAAATGACATTAATCATTTTAACGTCAACGTGTCACTACTTACTAATAATTAACCTGATAAGTTTGGTGCAAGTTCCATGTCAATTCTCAGTTGAGTGTTATAAGAAAAAAAAAACAAAAAGGTGATGTTGAAACAATTAAAGCAAGAAAGAAGAAAAATAATAGTACAGTAGTACAACCATAAAAAAGATTATTATTATAATTTTTTAAGATCAAGGTAAATTTTCACTATTCATAAATATATAATTATGATTATTTTTTAGTAATATTAAATTTAAACTGGTCTAATTTAAGAAATATTTCAATAATTAATAAAAAATTAAGTATTTTTTGTATTAATCTACATAAGAGAATAGTAAATATACCATGATTGATGCAAAAACTAACTGAAAAAAAAAATCATTATATATATATATTTATATGGGTTAAAGGTTCAACATATCTCTTTATTGTTTCAAATATTTTAATAGTATCTTTTTATTAAATTTTTTAAATATCTTATGCCTCTACTCTTAATTAAGTCTACATTTGCTCCTTTCTATCATTTTTTTTTTAAACAAAGATAAAAAATAATAAAAAATACAAAAAATTATCTTTATTATCTAAAAAAGTGATCACATGGATAAAAAATAAACATAATTAAAAATAAAAGGATATAATAGTTAAAAAATTTGATAGAAAAATACAATTAAAAATTTTGAAATTGTAAAAGGACATCCTAAACTTTTAACACGAGAGAGAGAGGAACAGTCACTTGCAACAAAATGTCCGGGAAACCCAAGCACGGCCAAAAAGCAACGACAGAAAGAAACCAACAAGAAAAAGAAGAGAGTGAAGGCTCAAGGCAGGCATCATCTCCACTCTCTTTCTGCGTCTCTGAGCAGCTCCCACTAGACTCCATTACACGACAAAAGTGTCCGATTTCCACGTACTTTTCTTGATCTAAATATTCATCCGATACATTGAAATCGGTCCAAACCCCAAACTCTCCAAGTGAACCCACTTGCCTATATAAAAAAGACACTTGACCTTCTAAACGCCATCCTAAATACACTGTATCCTTCCAGGTTTAATTTTGATTTTTTTTTTTTTTACTTTTACGTAGATTAAAAAAAATATAGTGATATATATTAATATTTTTTATAATTTCTTAATATTCTTTTTTTTAGAATTATTAATTATTGAGATAAATTTTAATTAGAGATATTTTTTAAAAGTACACAATTTAAAACGTTAACCTTTTAATTTATACATTTCTATTATTCATTTTTAAATAATAAAAACGATTAATTTATACATTTCTCTTTTAAAAAATATGAAAATAAATTCGAAAAATAGAAAATTCTAATCATTGATATCAAATAACAGTTATTAATCAGGATTCATAATGGCATGTGTCTTGAAATAACATCAATGCAACTATAAATAAATCCATTCAAAATCCGATTCAAATACAAACAAGTTGGTTAAAATCTGAAAACTTTTTCATTATTTCACGAATAAAAATTACAAAAAACAGATCAAAATTTTAACTTTCAAATACTGAAAATTTATGGACAAAACACCTTTTTCGTAATGTAAATAAATAGTTGAGAATCAGATCCTAACTTAAAGCAAAAAGGAAGGGATAAAGGCAAAATGATTTCTGATGGCTCTGTCTTTCTAACTGGCTGTATGCATCAAATGAACAAAAAAAATAAAATAAATGCATGATAATAATGGAGGCTCCCAATTTGGACCAAGTCTGGATCCGTTACTTCCCTCAGTCAAATTCCTAACGCGTTGAACCTTTGAACTCATTACACTGAACCAACCCTTCTCTCTTTCCACGCAACTCCCTCCACTCCCACCTTCTTCTTTTTACCATATATATATATCACACCCTCAAGCCCACTTTCTCCATATTCTCTACAGCTGAGCAAGGCAGAATATTTCTATTTATCTCTCTCTCTCTCTCTCTCATTCAAGGAAAAGAAAAAAACGGTTAGAAATGGAAGAAAGCAAGAAAATTGTGATTCGTGAAGTTTGGTCGTCTAATTTGGAGTCGGAGTTCGAGCTGATTGGTCGATTAATCGACGAGTTTCCGTTTATTTCAATGGATACTGAATTTCCTGGTGTTGTTTTCCGACCTCCAGTGGACCCCACCAACAACAGGAATTATTTCCGACAGCTGAAGCCGTCTGATCATTACAAGATACTTAAGTCCAACGTTGACGCTTTGAACCTTATCCAGGTTGGCCTCACGCTTTCCGACGCCGAGGGGAATTTGCCTGATCTGGGGACCGGTAACCGGTTCATCTGGGAGTTCAATTTCAAGGATTTCGACCTTGAGTGTGACGCACACGCTCCGGATTCCATTGAGTTGTTGAGGCGACAAGGGATTGACTTTGATAGGAACAGAGAGGAGGGGGTCGACTCGGGGAGGTTTGCTGAGTTGATGATGTCGTCTGGGCTTGTCTGCAACGAGTCAGTGAGTTGGGTTACCTTCCATAGCGCTTATGATTTTGGGTACTTGGTGAAGATTCTCACGCGCCGGGACTTGCCGTCTGGGTTGGTGGAGTTTCTGAGGTTGTTGAGGGTGTTTTTCGGAAGTAAAATTTATGATGTCAAACACATGATGCGGTTCTGTAAGAGCTTGTATGGTGGGTTGGACCGGGTGGCCCGGACGCTGGAGGTGAACCGGGCTGTCGGGAAATGTCACCAGGCCGGTTCCGATAGTTTGCTGACATGGCATGCTTTCCAAAAGATGAGGGATGTGTTTTTCGTGAAAGATGGACCGGAGCAACATGCCGGCGTTTTGTACGGATTAGAGGTGTTTTGTTGATAAAATATGCATAGATTATTTAATTTATTAAAATTGAAATGTGTAAATGAAGTTGATGAAATTTAAATAATTAAAAGAAATTCTTTTTATGGTATATTAGCATGTGTATTTATACGAGGGAGACTAATAAGATAAAATATTTAGCTATAATATGATTGAAGTTAAATATATTTATACCCTATCGAGATTAATAAGATGTAAATATATTAATTCTTAAAAAAAACCAACGAAGAAATTCAAGTTTAACTAATAGGATATAAATATTTTTTTTTTAAAAAAAATCAGTGATAAAACTCAGATTTAAAATATGTGACTGAATTAGCAAAACATAATTTAAAATATTTTACACAATTATGCATAAATTGGCAAAGAAGTTTCTTCTTTAGCTTTGCTAATTTTCATTCATGCTTCCTATCTAGAAGTCCACACTCCACACTATTTGCATTTTGACTCTCTTTTCTCTATTTTATGCTGTTTTAATTTCTTAATTTTCCAAATTGAACAGGTTTGGAAGCTTCCAAATTCCAATTTACTTGCTATATGGTCCAAATTGCCCGTCCATAATTCCAACCATTAATGGACAAAATTTGAGTCCTAAACCCTGAACTGACGATGTCATGTTAGACTTTTCCTTTCTTTTCTTTAGTATATTTCCAGGAAGTTACCAGCATGCATAAATAAAAAGTAAATTAAAAATTAGTCTTTTTAGTTTTGAGAAATGAATGAATGAATTTTTTTAAAAACCAATTAATTAATTTTTTATTATCAATGATGATTATATTCTATTTAATATTACTTTATATATAAACAATGACCAATTAACAGAAATTTTCCATTTTAGGCCCAGCACGATAAAACCCACCACCGTAGCATCATAAGCCAGGTGAGTTTCACTTTCCGCGTGATTCTTATTCTTTTCTTTTCTTCTTCCTTGCTTTGCTTTATATATATATATATATATAATGACCAGTTACCAGAAGAATTTCCATTTTAGGCCCAGCATGGTAAAACCCACCACCGTAGCATCATGAGCCAGGTGAGTTTCCCTTTCCATATGATTCTCATTCTTTTCTTTTCTTCTTCCTTGCTTCTTTGCAAGTTTATATTTATTTTTATCGACCATTTGTGCATATAATTATATAGTTATAATAGTGAAAACTGGGTGTTTGATTTATTGGTTGTGATTTCTTGATATTTATGAAGAAATCACAAATAATAAATGTTGAAAATCGAACTTATTTACACCGTATGCAACACATGATCCAATCGGTCCATCATTTTTATTGCAGTGATTAGATTAATTTCCTATCGTGATATGTATTAAATTATAATTCATTTCTCTCAATTTTCCATAAAGAATTAAATAGTTTATTGTGTTTTAAAAACCGATTAACTATTTTTTTATCAGCATTGATTATGATTAATTTAATATTATTTTGTTTCAAAAAATGATATTTTATTTTCTCATCAATGTTTTCACATATATTTTTTTCTAGTTCTTAAAAAAAATTAAAAAAATTAAAAAGAATGAAAAAGATTAAGTTACAAATATATTTAAAAATATAGAAATTAATTAATTAGTTTTGAAAAAGAAAAACTAATTAATCATTGTTCAAAACTAGAGGGACTAATTTATAATTTACTCCTTATTCTTGTCCCCTTCTTCAGAAAATAAATAAATAGTTATGATCTTGGCTGGAACAAATGGAGTGGTGGTGTTGGGTTCTTGTGGGCTCTTAAGGTGTTTATTAGTGGGTATCTTAGGATGGTTTGCTTTTGTTGGCCATTGGGTTTTCTGGATGGGCCTAGTAAGTCTGTTTTGTAAATGTATGTTGAGCTTTATTGAGGCCCATAAACATCTTAAGGTCTATTCATTTTTGAAAGCCCATATTTCATCTGTTTAATTAATAAGAAGAAAAGGATAGTTTTGATGCCCACATCATATTTTAGGCATTTAAGCTTGTATTAAACAAATTATATTTTAAGTTTCTAATTCCTAATTATTTACTTTTCAGTTAGGAAAAAAAAATAAATGGTCTCGAGATTAAAAATTTAAATGAACAATATAATTTAATTTGGAAAAACTAATATTAAAATCAATACAAAATTGAATGACAATAAGATATATTGGTTATGTTCTATCTAGTAGAAAGATCTACGTTATCGAGTCAAAGCTTAATTAGAACTAATATAAAAAAGAATCCAATACATCGACTTAAAAAATGTACTTCTGAAATTGTTCGGAAAAAAAAAAACCATAATTTTGATTGTCAAGTATTTGATAACATATATAATATCTCCACTTTGGTTGTGAAACTAAGAGATCTTTAGTTTTTTTTTTTCAATATTTAGTTTTTTCCTTTTTCAATATTTACACATAGTAAGATATTCTCGATTAGTTTTTGCATTAATTGAAATTAATTTCACCATTCGATAATCTAGATTAACATCGAATTTCATCGAATAACGAGGAAATCTTTAATTTTTTTGAATATTATATCATATGTAAATAACAAAAATATTGGTTCTCCTCGTGAATATGAGATCCACCTAAAAGTAATTAATTAATTAATTAAATGGCAGAAATAACACTGTAAATGATGAAATTAATTTGTCTTAAAATCATGTGGTTGTTCCTCCCTCAATGCTTACATATTTTGTTGACCTACCAAATGACAGATCTGGTAATTGTCTAAATGACTTATGGCTGGCTATGCCTGCTCTCTTTCCAATTGTCACCACACAGCACATATAGCTGCATTTGCTCTCTTTCTGACTTTTGATCCGTGCTACTCTAACCATAACACATTCATTACTTACCCATCATTTTGGGTATTTAACTTCCAAACCTACACTTTGATTTCCAAAATTTTGGAAATGGATGTGAGTGATAATTAATATTCGATCTGTTTAAGCAAGAGAAGAAATGTTATTTAAATCGATAAAATTATACTTTTTTATGTTTTAAGTGTATAGTTATCTTGATTTCTCATACTGATACTTTCTTTCCAAAGAAATTATTTCTGATAATCTATATTCCATCTTCCATCTTCTTAAGTGCCTTTTTTTTCTATGTTTTAGAAAAATTATCCTTTTTGAATTTTCACACACATTAAAAAAAGTTATATTTTTTAAAATATTTTCTTTATAGAATTGTTAGTCATCAAATTTAGTCATCTAGTACATAAAATCAATATTAATTAAATGTATTGTAAAAAAGTATTACATTAATAATTTTTTTCTTACTAGCACCATGTTGATTTATTTTTATAATATAATATTCGACTTCATAAAAAAAATTAACCAAATTTTTATTTTAAAATAAATATAAATAGAAAAAAAAATAATTTCATGACAATCTAAGAGTATATTACAAAAATTTTAGAACAAGTCAATCTTACTATTTTGATTTATTGTACCAACTTTCTATATGTAGAAAGTGGATCCATTGTACATTTCTCTTTTGTAAAGTTGCATCAATGTTCACCATGAAAAGCCATAAATGAAATCTCCTGCCTTCCATCTAACTACAGCAAAAGATGCAACTCCTACAATTAACACGTGATCCGTTTATATATATGCCACTTCAGAAGAGATATGGAATGTATGAATCAGATTTAGAGACACAATGGTCAAGAAAATGAAACTCCCTTCAATCTTTAAGAACCAAGAAACCAATCCTACTTCATGGAAATGGCCTCTGGGGGCATTTTCATTCCAACATAAGGTAAGTACTTTCAAAACTGTTTACTTGGCTTTGTGTGATGCAGCCAAGTTCATGGCAATGCTGAATTCCTCATGGTCGGAATCAAAGACTATAGCCTTGACACACAAGGAACCTAAAGAGGACTTGCTGGAGATTGTGGTTAATAAGGCAATAAGATCGAAGAGGCTGTTCTTCGAGCCAGGTAACACAAGTTCACTACTAGATAATCATCATGATGAAGCTAACAAGTTCCCGTTCCCTGAATGTGTAGCACTAGTTTTAGACTCTGAAGATCCTTATGCAGATTTTCGCAATTCGATGGAGGAAACTGTTGAGACATGTGGATTGAAGCATTGGGAGGATGTTGAGGAGTTATTGGCATGGTATTTGAGAATGAATAGGAAGCAGCATCATTACTTTATAATTGAGGCCTTCGTTGATCTGTTTTCCGGTGCCCCATCTTCTTGTTTTTCTTGTCCTATTTCTCACAATGACTCTGCTTCATCTTCAAAATCAGAAGATTGGTGGGTGATTGAAGCTAAAAGGTTGAACCCATCTATGGAAAAGGGGAAAAGTCCAAAGAATACCTAAATTTTATGCTGCTAGCTAGTGCTTATGCCCCTCCAAATTAACCTAAAACAGAGAGATATATTATCATGCGTGTAATTTCAAGTGTAGACTTCCCATTTGGTATGTAAATGCTATTAGTGTGCGTGTGAAACAATTGGCTTGGTTTATAAATGTTGAAAAACATGTCCCCGATAAATAATAAGTTAAGTGTGGTAAAAAAAGTATTTTCAAGTGAGATATTTATTCCACGTTAAAAAGAAAAGAAAAGAAGAGGTACTTTATAAGTAGACCTCTTGTAAAGATTTCCAATTGAAAAAATTTGGAGGGAAATCAAATTAGAGGAGGGAAGCTAGCTATTTTTTTCTTTTTGATTAAATTAAATTCATAATTAATTAATTAATTATTTTTTTTTGTGATAATTAATTAATTTCAGAAAAAAGAATATAATTTTTGGATTATAACTATTAAAAAGTAAAAGTTAGTCATTGAATTAAACTAGTTTTTCAACTTTCATATTGATTATGAAAGGTTTTCGATAATCTATAAATAAATGACTACTTGTTTAGAAAATAATCAATTCTTTCTTCTCTAATCCTCTCCCTCCTCTTAAAACTGTTCTCTTCATAAAATTTTATAGCTTCAAGAGATTTCGGGAGTGCTATCTCGCATTTTTTTGAAATTTCTTCAACAATATTATCAAAATCCCTACGAATTATAATGGAGGCGGTAATCATCTTAAAAATAAGATAAAGATATTTTTTGCATGTAGTTAAATAATGTGTTTTTTTGCTTTCATCTTTGAAAATTTTCAACTCTATTTTCTCACTTCAACAATAACTCATAAAGCGATACTTCTACCCCATCTTGGCTGGACATCCATCATGAAGATTAATTAGCATTATTGTCTATGTAAAAAACTTGAACCTTCAAGAACTATACACCTATTTTTTTTACAATAAAAGATATTTTTGAATTAGATTTTTAGGGATAGTAGAATTAAATTTGTAGGACAATTATGTATGATTAGTATTATGTAGAAAAATGTCCGATCGAGCCTATCCCTGATAAGTAAGTATAACCGGTGGGTCATAAGATATAATTAAAATTAAGGAATGGTCTTGAAGTTAATAAATTAGCATCAAATCATGCAGAAAACGCTTTTTTTGGTAGTTGGTTATTGTTTTAAGGCTCACTCAATATTGCTTTATTTAGGGCTTCTTAAAACATTTAACAAGTATTTATACTATCATTTATGGAAGATTCTGACAATAAAATGATGAAAATAATGTGTCAAGTGCAGTCTACATCATGAGATCGAAGCCAAGGAAAAAAAAAACATGGATTCCATTTATCACTGATTTAATTTTAAAAAAATATAGTAAATAATAAAGTTCTTGCCATTTTTATTACATGCTACGATCATGTTCATTTGTTCTCTATACATGGAATAACCTAGTAGTGAATAGTGATTAATTAAGATTTGGAATTTACACACACAAGATATTATAGGTTCAATTTTTTTTTCTTTTTTTTTTTTGAAAAAGTTTTAGGTTCAAATTTTAGAAGGGGTAAGAGATGAGATTTAGGAATTGAGAAGACCCTATTGTGTGATCTAATTGAGTTATTAGAAGTATAAGCTTTCGACTCTCAAGTATCAAAAGTATTAATTTTATACAAATAGGTATAGTTTAACAATTATGTATCCCGTAGTTTTTTTCATCAAATCAAATTTTCAGTTTCAATAACTTGAGTTTATTTAGTTATTATGTAATGGAGAAGGATTATCGTTCATTGTGTAGGTCAATGTCTATGAGCCTTCTGATGAACAAAAAAAAAAAAAAAGATTAATTTATTAATTGCTAAAATTTGGGTAAAATTAAGGACATATTAATATCTCATCCTCAAAAAATATTAAAAAAAAGACTTAGTGGTAGTACAAGAAATATAAATTTTTTTGTTGCAACTGGAATACTTCGAAAACTTTAGATGGCTTGCTTGAAGTAAAAATATAGATTAAAATCATGTTTCCATAACAGTACACACAAGGGTTAACATTATTAATAATTTTCAACTGAAATTTTTAAATTTAAATCCTATGATATAATTAAGCGATAGGATGAGGTTTAGGAATAACAGAAGAGTTCTCTATCTAGCTCTAAACTGAATTAGACATTCCAATCAATAAAAAGAAAAAAAAATGACGAAAATCATATTTAAAGAGCCAGGTTTTGGCATGGGACTAGTGATATCTTGTATGTCTATAATAATTAAATTGATAATGATTAGCTGACAATGCGCAAATCATGCCTTTTATTTCTCTTTCAAACAAAGATGTATCACGAGGAAATTCTATATCAAGAGGGTTATGGTTAACTTGAACATCAATCAAGTTGAAGTCTTCTCTTTAAACAATTTTGATTGTTACCCTTCCACACCAATCTTGTCTATTCAATATATATATATATATATATATATATATCTATTTTTTATTCTAAATGGTGTGTTCTATCCCTTATATTCCTCTTGCTCAAACAAGACATCTATAATAACCTAGCTAAAATATTGAGTGGTAACAATTATTATGTTTGGTCATACTTAACCATCAAATATTTAATACTCCACTAAGCATTGCGACAGAGTTACTGAACTGGACAATCCGACAATAGCTCAGAACAAGAAGCATGAAAGTGAGAGAAATGCAAACCCCAAAGCAAAAACCTGGAGTTATTGAAAATTTAAAAAAACACAGCAACACAAAGACTGCCAACTACTGCCATTAAAACTGCACAGTTAGCTATATATATATAAATGCTAATGTTGGATGCTAACTATATATAATAAATATAGAGAGTTAATATGGTATTCTGGGATCAACTTCACCATCAACAAAAACTAAATCCATCGTTTTTCAGACTAAATTAAAATCAAAATGTGTTTAAAATTAAATTGATTATTTGAGGTATTTTTTAAGCTAAATCAATTCAAACTTAATATCATTAAAAAATAATTATGATTAATTATTATTAAATGATGAAAATTAAATTTTAATTTTAATCAAATCAAAACAATGTCTTTACTTCTAAACTAGCCTTTTGGTAATCAAAAGATTTGTACTTACATTTATACACAATCACAAGAAAAAATAAGAACTCTATACCAAAGTATTAAACAAAAATCGAAACAACCTACGAATGAACTCGAAGCTTATCTTTCTACATATCTTTCTTATTTTGTCAAAAGATCTAGAGTTCGAGTTTTTTTTCCTAAGGAAAAGAATCTAATCCGTCTTAATTTTCTCCACCACATAACCCTGTTGCGCCCCCGATGTTGACCGGATAAACCCTACTGATCAAAGTTTCCCACGTGTCAATTCAACGTCTTCACATGGTTTAACACGTGCAAGTTCCATGAACAGCTAGGATTCATTTATGAGAGACACACCTAGTGCAGGGTTTCTTGATGATCCTCTTAGAGATGATCTCATTCCAGATCTCGCTGAAAGCTTTAACGATGACGCTGTGGTGGCAAGGAGAATTCAGCTCCAAGAAGCAGTTGAGAAGTTCTTCAAGATCATCTTTAGAGTAGATATTTTTCTCCAAGATCATTTGCAACATGGAATTCTTGAAATCTTGAAATGGGTCATTAGAATCCTTCACCACAGCAATGCTATCAAAGATTTTGGATGCTTTCGGATCGGTTTCGGATTCCGAGTTTTGTGTTGACGATGTGGTGTCTTTGTTCAAAGTGACAGTAGTGGAAGTGCCGTCTTCTTCTTCTTCATTGTGGATTAATGAGAAGCCTACACTTTGATCACATGAGCTTGATAAGGAAGAACTAGGGTTTGGATCTTTTTGGGAAATATCGGAGGTTTTGGGTTTAGGTTTAGGTTTTGGTGTTGGCTCATGTACATCCGAGAGTTTTGGCCTGCCGCAGCCACAGCTTGTATTTGCTTCGAGTATGGATTGAAGGAGATTTTTCTTCTTCGAAGCCATTGAAAGATTAGCTGGGAGGTGATCTTGGTAGGAGTCCTTTTCAGAATTAACCGGCCTCAAGCCTTTGGAGACTATTCAGAGAGAAGGAGAGAAGTTGTTTTTGGATAGAAGTCGTTTTCTTTACTGTAGTCGAGAGAGGAGGGTTTTTATTAGTTCATTTGACTTCTTAACTTAGGGGCAAAGAGAGGGAGCAAGTTGAGTTTCGTGAAGAGATTTTTTTATCATTTTTTTTTCCAAAGAGATATTGTCCAAACAACTTATACACTGATTAAATCTTTGTTTTGGCATTTTAAGATGTTTTATACCAAATGGAATCTATCAACAATGCCTAATATTCAATTTGGGTAATTGTTAATTACTTACACACAAAGTTAAAGAGAAGTACAAGCATCATATATATACCTAAACCATATACGTGATAAAAATATTGTTGAATGGTCCCAAGATTGCCCATATGAAACTTCCCTTCCATGTGACATGAATATAAAACTATTACAGGGCATTAAATTGGGATTAACAACTCAACAATCAAGCCACAAGATTTGCTGACCAGAGTTCTCTTTCATACCTTCCATAGAAAATTATGACATCAACAATTAAGTATAATTTGGAATAATTTTAGGTATAAATTTGATGCTGCATCTTTGACAAATTCCTCTTTTTCCTTCCTTATTTAGTCCTTGGGTGTCTTACACTTATAGCTAAAAAGACATTATTGTATCGATTCCTGTTGATAGATATAAAAGTCCTTAAATGGGAGATATATATATATATATATATATGTACCTGTACACTCAATAGATATAATTGATTGTAAATGAAAGAATTAAAGAACCTATAAATAATATCTCTTGACATAATTCCATATCTAGGTGCAATTTTTAATTTATTTATTTTTGTTATTTAAGTTTATCTTAAATATTATTTGAATTTTTTTTTAAAAAAGAAAGATATATGCAACCACAATAGTTATGTATAGGATCACTAATAATTTATTAATGAAAATAGAAATAGATACAATTTATAAGAGCTAGCAGATCAGTGAAGCCAATAAGAAGATGGCTAGCACAAATTAAGCACAGAAAAAGAACTAGAACCTAAAAGGATCACAGAAGAAAACAGAACTTGAACTATCCTCCCAACAATGGCAATAGAGAAATGGTTCAGCAAAAATGACTAAAGCAACCAGAAAAATCGGCTCATGAACTCAGTAATATTGTCACATAGAACATTGATCGGTTGGACAAATCCATGAAAATTCTAAAAGAATGTCCAAAACATGCAGTTGAACACTAGACAACATAAATTGCTCTTCGTCCCACATCAAAAGCATGTGTAATCTTCCCAACTATATTAACGTTGATGAATCTCAGACAAGTATTCATAGGAGATTTTAACTTGTTCCACATGTGATCCCAGAAGTAATATCTTGACGAAGTAGTAGTGCTGGTAGTGCTTGTTGTCAGCCTAGGTTGTGAATAAGCCCTTGCAGCCTTCGGGACTAGAAAATTGCTTATTGCTATCTCGTTAGCTGATTGACAAGTGCTGAAACTTCTCATATTGCCTTTGACACAAGGCATCAAGTCGTTCACTGAAGTGTATGTAAAGGATAGCGAAGGAGAACTTAAAGTATGCTTCAAATGGGCATTTGGAGTTGATGATTCTTCTCTAAGGGTTCTTGGAAAGCTATTGCTTTTAGTCTTGGTTATGAAGGCAAATTTCTTGGATTGGGTTAGAGAAGAACCATTGGTGTTTTTGCTTGCCATTGTTTTGGTTCTTAATTTCTGAGTAATCTGACAAAAAATAAAAAATAAAAATTGCGAGGTTAAAAAAAGAATTAGGAAATGGGTCTTAAGTAAGAAGGAAAACAAGATCATCTTGGATTCGATAAGAGCATCAATACTTTTGTTATAAATTTAAAATTCAGAATTTGAATCTCAATTTGAATAAAAATTCATGTATATTCAAATAATAAATTAATCCCACCTAAATTCTGTAACCAAAAAAAAAAAAAGATTAAGATTATTGATTATGAGCTCATCTTTTGCCTTTCACATGGCCTCTTAATAAATTATCCTTAACTTCGCATTTTTTATGACCTAAATTAAATTTTTAAAACATTATTAAGAGAATCAAAACATCTTATCATGTAAATGATATCTCTCTATCATGTTGTTTCTTTTTATCTATATTTGTTTTCTTTTTCAAATATTTACGACATTATCGAACGAAAATTTAAAAAAAAATGTTATCCAATATCCAAAACTTGTGTAAAGATAAAGTCAGAATTTATAAATAATTTTAATATTAAACAATGAAAGAACCCAAATCTCTCATGTTAGTTATTTTACAATTTAAATCCATGACTTTTTGATAGCTTTTTTTTTTTGGTGTTTTATTTCTTTATTATCGTATCTACCTAATTATCTCCTCCATTTCTTTCTTTTTCCAATTTCTTATCTTCCCTTCTATAGGGCTTAGGTTACAAACACAACCGGGAACTCTTATTTTCCTTTTCCTTTTCTTTCAATATATATATATATATATATATATATAATTAAAAGAACTATATATGAGACTGAAGGATTTTTTTTTTTTCAAACGTAATGAAATTAAAGTTGGGTAGTATAAAATATTTTATTTTTCAAAATAATGTCTAGAAATTAAGGATAGGTATGATAAAAAATAATAAGAAGAATGTTAGAAATGGAAAAGGATCTTGTTAATTTCATTTCAAGTAAAATATAAGATTATGCAAAATCCTCTAGTAAATTATAAATTAGTCTTTTTATTTTTTCAAAATGAATTAAATAATCCTTCAAATTTTAAAAATAATTACTTAGTTCTTATTTTTTAAAATCTAATTGTAAATTAATATTTTTTATTTTTTTAGAATTTATTTTTTTCCTTGAGAAATAGAAAAATAAAAAATAAAAGTAAAAGATATGGAAGGATTAATGAAGGAAAAAAAAACATTTTTTTGGAAACAAAATAATGTTAAATTAACCATAATCAATGGACTAATTAATTATTTTTTAAAACAAGAAATATTAGTTAATTTATTTTGTAAAATTAGAGAGATTAATTTATGATTTACTCCAAATTAATCTTCCCCCATAAAAAATATAGGTGTGCTCGTGCTGCTGCTACTTGGCCCTTCCCTTGGCCATACGCGTTTCAAAAAGCTAGAAACCACAATGACCAAATTGGCCTCGAGGTTAATGGATCAATTTTATTGGGCCTAAAACAAATAATTTAGCAAAATTTCCTACAGATTCTAAACCTTTTTTTTTCCGAAAAAAAAATTTAATATTAATTTTTTAAAAAATAGGATTTATTATTTCTCATAATAAAAAAAAGGAAAAAGAAATTTTCATGATCAGTGGTAATACGTATCTTATCGAAGCATAAAAACAGAACAATTTTTTAGTGCAAAATCCTATCTTTTAAAAGCCCATCTCAATCTAGTCCATTACATAGTGGCAAAGAAAGAATAACTGAAAACTGTTAGGGGTAGAAATGTGATAAGATTTTCATTTTTTTTTAGTAATAACCTTTCTTGGTTGGCTTAGGTGCAGATAAAATCGAATATATTATAAATTAGTCCCTTTAGTTTCAAGAAATGGATTTATTAGTCTTTTTTTCAAAAACTTATTATTTCATCTCTGAATTTTAAAATTTTCTTGTAACTCAATTTTTTTTCTTTTTCAATTTATCTTATTTTTTAAAAAAAATTTAAAAATACAAAAGGATTGATGAGAAAAAAAAATATTTTTTGAAATAAAATGATAGTAAATTAAGCATGGCAAAGGATAATAAAGGGATTAACTAATTAGCTTTAAAACTAGAGGGACTAATTTATAATTTACTCAATAAAATCTTTGTTTTCTTGTTGAAGTTCCAAGAAATTGTCATCACTAGACTTTTAAGAGCATGTCTCGCTTTTAGGATATAGTTTAACTTTCTTTTGATTGGCTAGTAACAAAAATGGCAACAGCTCTGCAACTGCAATTTCCTCCGTTCTCTTCTTCTTCTTTCCTGAATCACAAAAGCTCCAAGAACTACTGTTATTCTACTTATATTCAACCTTCAAATTCCAGTTATAATCGCCTTAAAACCAGAGCTATCAAAGAGAAAACAGAAGAAAAGAACCCCCCATCTCCATCATCATCATCATCTTCTTCTTCTTCTTCTTCTGTTGAGGAAGTTACCAAGAAGTATGGTATTGAAGCTGGTCTTTGGAAGGTTGGTGCTCCCTTTTCTAAATTCTTTTCTTTGCTCAATTTTGTTTCAATTCTTGCCTTTCTTGATGTTAACTTAGGTGCCCGTGATGTGGTTTCTTGGTTTTCTGTACTTTTTGGAGAACTCTGTTTCTGTGTATCGTGCTATTAGTATGTAAGAAACTAACTGGCCAAGCCTTGTTTTGGCTTAAAATGAAGATATTTAGCTCAAAAGAGGAAGGGAAGGAAGATGGTGAGAAAACTAAATCCAAGGGAGAACAAGCTAAGGAGCTGCTGGCAAAGTATGGAGGAGCATATCTGGCTACCTCAATCACTCTATCTTTGATTTCCTTCGCGCTCTGTTACGCACTCATTAGTGCTGGCATCGATGTTCAATCATTGCTACTAAAGGTAAAAAACCATCCATGGAGGAAAACGTAACTGGACTTGGGGGTGATTTTTGTGTCCTGCAGAAGGGGGTAATGGATTTGGATTTGTTACTGTTTCTGCATTTTGCAGGTGGGAATTTCAACTGATGCAACTGGGGAGAAAGTTGGGACGTTTGCTTTGGCATATGCTGCACACAAGGCTGCATCTCCAATTAGGTTTCCACCTACCGTAGCTCTTACTCCCATTGTTGCTGGTTGGATTGGAAAGAAGAAAGTTGATGAGGAGAAGTAAATCATGTTGCCATCCTTCAGATTTAGCATACAACATTTTGCTATTGGTATAATTTTCTGTAATATTCCATGAGAATTAGACGAACTTTTATAGTGGTTTTTCCTGTAGTGTGGAACAACTGGAAACAAAATCTATGAATTCAGATCTTTACCAATCCTCTAAACGAATTAGTTTTATAGTTTTTCAGTCCTGTACGTTCGCAACTAGCAAAATCACCAGAATTCCTTGCATTGACCGGCAACAACATTACGATATCGATCATCAGGGCATGGCTCAACCCTGCCAATTGCTACTATGGTTGCCCTGGTTTCCCAAATCGATTATAGTACAGCAAAAGAGAGGCAAAAACATCAGAAAATAAATCTATTCGTTTTTGGTTTCTAAACAGGAGTTAATATCGCCATCGCATTATCTATTACATAATTTTTCAACCTAAACAGATATGAAGTCAGTAGATACAACAAAGCCATGATGCGGAGAAATATACAAGGATCGATCAAAAGTTAGTTACCTTCTTTATTTGCCACTAGATCATATGTATCATGTTTATTACTTAAGCTGTACAATGAACTAGCTACCTCCTTCGCATTCTTCGGTTTCTTTGGAGGTACCTCAATAGGGTAGCTTGCAGGAACCTTCAATCCAACCTCCAAAGTATAACTACGGTAAAGGCAGATGGTGGACGTCATAAGTTCTTGACCAAACAAGCCATTTATCTTTGACCTGATTTGTTGACATTTCCCTTTCACCCGGCAGTGGTATTAGCAGTAGGAGGCACTTCAGTTGGATTAGATGGTGGTGTTTGGGGCTGTGGTGTGCTGATATTTGGCATGACATAGTCATTATGAAGTGTATCCAAATCATTCCATTCAACCGCTGATGTTTTCGCTGTCAAGGAACTACGAAATTTTGCTGGTCCATGCTTTATAGGCATGAGAACAGAAATAAGGTATTAACTAAATACAAGGCAATATCTTAGCAAGGATACGTTCGTTAGGCCACATGTCTGTGATGCTAACACCAGCATCTGATAAAAGCCAGTAATCTGCATCACTCTGTAAATAAACAACGAAATTAGAACCTGACAAAACTAATTAACTTTAAAAAAGGAAGCAGTTCCTTTCTTTGGTAAGGGATAATAAGGCACATGTCAAAGAACTCAAATTGTTGTCAGAAAAAAGAACAGCATGTTAAACCAATCAATTATTCATAGGTCAAGTTCCATAGATTTCAAGACAATTATCTGAAAATAAGGTGCTATCCCGATCCATTACGCTCGACTGCTTGTTGTTGTAACTATTGTTGACATTCCCGGTAAACATAAACATAAACAGTGGACGGCTTGCATCTTTCTGAAAACAATGACAGCAAATAAAAAGACAACTTACATCAACATCTGAGGGGACAATCTTCATGATCCCACTCACAAAGTCATGTGAGGTGTTAAGTTCTGAGCACATTCCATGACCATCTTGTTCTTGCATTTCAACCTCCTTTGCTCTGCTCTCCTCTGTGACCATTGCAGTAGCTGGATTTTCATTAAAACCTGAGGTTGATGGATAGCTTGGAGGTGGCTCAGAACCTTGAATATCCTCAAATTTCTCTTCAAATTGACTGAGGGGGAGAGAGAGAGAGAGAGGGGCATCAGGAAAGTCAGTTGCATAAATTCTTGAGTGACGAATTAGTCATCACTCTGCTAGAAAGTAGATTTGGGCTCCCAGATACATAGAATAAATGAAAAGATACCTGACAAGATAAACATCTATTGGGCCCATTGTACTCCTAAGGACTATCCTGTATCTCCTCTGGGGATATTCAACTGCCTGCTGAGGAAAGGAAAAACTATATCAAGGCACATATATGTACAAACACTGTAACCTTTTTCATGAATTGACTACTTTTGGGATTACCTCATCAGGATCTGGAACTTCTAGGGTGGTACCATGTGGAGCTTTAATTGCTATCAAGGTTTCATTCTGTTAACAGAAATAAAATTTCGTACTCAATTGCTTGCAACATACAACTTTCGTTTTGGGAAACTTGCAACACTCCAAGCACCAAGTCAAATTACTTAATGATGAAACAAAGAAAACCAACCTGGAAGCCAGGTAAGCTCTTGATGTCTTCCTCAGTGACAAAAAGCCACCTAATATTTTAAAACAGCAAAAAGAGCTGAGTTTTTTAATTAAAAACGTAATTGCTGTACAAGTTACTGATAATTCATGCAAACATGAGGAGAATATGTTACTTTTGATTATTTTCATCTTCACTCAGGTCCCTCAACCTTTCTTGCATTTCTCTGCAGTAATTTAAAGCCTCAGCAAAATCTAAAAAATTATAGAAAAGAAAAGCAATGCAGGCATATTGCATAAGCAGAAGGACAAACAGCATAACCTCGTCTGTTCATCTAATCTGCGTTCCTCAATGGTCAGGTTATCAACTTCAGCCTGCAAGAAAAAGAAATCATTGATAAAGCAAAATCCTGTACTTCCTGAGAGTTTTTGTTTACTGAAATGGTACATGGTCCATTACTTTGCGACTGAAAATGAAGTCTCAACCTAACTAATTCATAGTAAATAACATTTGATGCAGCCCTAGGAATTCAAATTTGAGCATTAAGTTCATGATAACCCAACTGGTTGGATTAAAAGACTTGTTACATTTATGCTTACCTGTTCCATTAAAGAATCAACATTTCTTTTCCATAGACGGAGGATTTTCATCCAGATAGGGCCAGCCAGCCAGCAATGCTAGCAATGCAGTCCGAGAAGATTACAAATTGGATTTATTATCATTTTATTTGCTATTTATTATCATTTTATTCAGCATTAGTTTGATATTTGATATTAATTAAGATTTTATAATATAATGACACTTTAGGGTTCTGGGGTGCCAATATAAGCACAGTATTCGATGCATTAAAAAAGACGTTTTGATGAATGAAGCTTGAGTTTTGTTTTTTTGTTCTTGTGGATTAAATAGCTGGTTTCTTGGGGATCCAAGAAGTGCCCCTTGTGGAGTCAAGGGTTTGGCCAAATGGATACTAACTTTCCTATGCTTATCAATCCACTGCTCTCTTTGTTCTGAGTAAGCTGCCAAAGTTGGCCCTAAAACTTTCCAGGAAGGAAAAATAAAGCCAAATAAACAGTTGTAAAAATCAGAGAAACACACTTTACAAAGAGCTTTGCAAAGCCTAATCCATGAAAAAAAAAGTGCATGCCAAGAAACAAGTTGTCAGTTGTCAAGAACTGTATACCTGCAAGGTAGCAACATTATTATCATCTGCCTCCCCTGGCCTTGATACATCAAGTCCCCTGATAGCATTCAAAGCCAAGTTCCTCATCACACGAAAAAATAATTTGAATACTAATAGATAATCATGCAACAATTGTACAATTTAAAACAAAGTGAACAAATTTGTTAATCGAATAAAAGGTTTTAAGTCCATACTTCCACTGAATTCTATTCTTGAGCTTCTTTTCTATAAGACCAATTCCTTCTAGAACATTTGTTATGTCATATATCCGCCTCTTTTGAACCTGAAATGAAAGAAAACCTTCTAAAAACAGAATTTTACAACACAGGATAAAATGGATGGAAAGTGAACTAAAGGTAACCTCCAAAGTATCAGCAGCTTTATTAAGATCAAGGATGCCATCTTCAGCATGTTTGATCAAATTGATGAATTTCTTAGTCAAGAGACCTGAATCAGAATCACAGAATATATTACCACTTTTACAGTGTAGTTTTTCTTTCTTCCACAAGCTATTTGAAACAGATTTGATAATAATTGCCAACTACTCTTTATGTCAAAAGCAGTTACAGAAATGCATGAGCAGAAAATATTACCTAGAGAGCTGTCATAGCGACATGGACCAGTTGGAGTAAGATTATTTCCAGGAGAACCTGCCAATTCAGAAAAAGTTTATCACCACATGTACTCACTTCCACTTCTTTTCACCAATAGTATCAATGAAAGTACGGTCAGAAGAGTGCTTGCATGATAAAAGAAATTCACCACCATACCAACTTAGTTGCTGGTTTACACTGACCTAACCAGTGACTAAAAAAACTCCAGAATCAGAAATATGAGACACCACTGCAAAAGTTTAAAACAAAAATGCTCACCAAGAGCTGCAGCAGCACTCTGAGCTGCAGACTTACTGCTCTTTGAGAGTCTCGATGTTTTGGGTGCCTTTCCCCCTTTTCCTGATACAGGTGTCTGCAGGGGACTGGTCACTACTTCCATGTACCCATGACCAGCATTCCACTCACTTGACTCACCTTGATGATCTGCTGCATCACTCTTCCGCTTTAATGTCTGATATACAACATTTGGTTTTATTTTCACTATTAGCAACATATGCTATAAATCTAATTACATATTCATGTACAGAAAATCACAATAGATAAAAAGTTGAGGCTCCACTTGAGATTAAATAACCATATTTAGTGTGCCCATGTTTGACTTGGAATATGTGTGTCTATGCACATGCACCCATGTACATTAATATGCAAAGAGCCTGACAAACTTCTGATGTTCTCTTGATAGAAACAAGCAACCACCAAATCCTTCTTCCATTCTCTTTCTCCAGTCCCCTTTACATGAAAAATTTAATAAGCAAAGAGAGGTTGGGGCCAATTAAACCCTAGAACACCACTTCCAAAAAACAGTAACACCTATATATGGCGTCAATACAAATATCCGTATAAATTGTTAGCTACCCCTGTATAACAATCATAGAATGAATGAGCTAATGAGATTTTTTATTTTTTAAAGGGAATACCCTTAATATCTCTTGTATACCTCTGAGTTGAACCAACCAGCCAAACTTACCTCAATAAACATGAAAAGTCCATGAGGAATATGCATGAATGCTAAAATGTGTATCCTCTATTGTTCAGTAAAAATGAGTGAAAAGGAAAGCCCAAGAGATGCATACACTTCCCAATATACTTATTAAAGGGATTATTTAATTCTGAGAGCAGGAAAACATCGGACGGGGCAATTGATAGCATCAATACTCATGTTTATAAGTGTTTTGCAAGAAGTATATGTGTGAGAATGATCAATGCAAGCAGAGGAGGATCACTTGCTTAAAGACCATGATGGGCCAGCTAGAACCAACTTTATCTGAGCCACATTCATCAATCACTTCACTTGAAACAAGCTTATGGCATATGCATCACATTCCTTCCAAAATTACATCATAATGGACTTGTAGTCAAGCAGCCCTATAGGAACTTCATAGGCATCAAAGATCCTCGATTACAGGGACAACATGTAGGGACACTTATCAAAGCTCAGAGGGAAAAATACTAATCAACGGTGTTGCTACATTGCAGGCCATTTTTACCAGACATGTACATCCCAATAAGATATCATAAGTCCTCAGAAAGAACTTATTGTAGAAACCAGCAAATGCAGCATTTTTATTTAGGCAAAGTACTCATCTCTTTTTGCAGTAGATGATAGAGGAAGCATAAATCAACTTAACTTGAGAGCAAGGTCTATTTGCCTCACCAAAGCCTTGGCATCATCTACCAAACAGTTAGGTGTGTAATGTCTTGATATCATGATCATAACTTGAAACAGGACAAAGGATAAGAAAACTTTTTTTTTTTTATGTTAGGATCCTACAACTTAAATGTTTCTCTAGTAAGCTTATGCATCATTGCCGTATACCATGCTCTTGTAAGCCAAACACCACAACACACCAAATTAAACCGCTCATGCCATTCACCACCAGCCTTTTACCATCTTTCCTAGCCCCTTCCCCTCATTTTCATACCTATCGAATAACGGATTCTAATTAAGTCATGCTAATAAGGAAACAAATTGACTTTGTATCCTGTAACAAACACTCAATTACTCTTTAAAGAAAAAACCAAAATTAACACAAACAAAATAAGCTACCAGAATTTATATTTTTAAGCAGAAAGTTCAGTTCTTTAAACTAAAAAAAAAAAAAAAAAACCCTCTAATGACATAAAATAAACCAAATCAGCTCCAAATAAGCTCATTAACACAGCAATTTAACCAAACCCATCTGCAAAACCCTCTTCAATAACACAAAATTAACCAAAAAATTAAACTTTCACTGAAATTAAATAAAAAAAATTCCCAACATCTCAAAACCCTCAAAAAACAGTCGAACATAAAAACCAAGCAGATCTCCACAAAATAAAGTCAAAAAAAAAAAACCCCCAAACAAAAAAAGTACTAAATACTTACAGGAGGTTTAACAACAATGCCCTCAACTTCATGATCAGAAGCAGCACGTCGTAGGTCGACACCGAACCGGTGGTAGTCACCGGGAGGCAGAAACGGCGGCTTCATAGAAGAAAACGGAAGCTGCTGTTGATGATGCTTCTGACGTTGATTCGACGCATGATTCTGCATACTATTTTGCTGCGGCTGCTTCATTGATTGATTGTTTGGCGCTTGAGAATTCGACATCGCAAGGATTTTGAAGTAAAATAAAAAAACCAAAAATTCAATTTTTTTCAAGGGTTTGGGAAATTGAAGTAGAGAAAGCAATTGAAAGTAGAGTGGAATCGAATTGGAGAGGGAATTGAGAGAGAGAGATCTGGGGGTGTTTGGATGGAGATGAGAGGAAAATAAAAAAAGCGGGAGAGAGAGAGAGAGAGAGTGGAAAACGAGGGAAGGGAAGAGAAGGAGGGAATTTGGTTCGGATATAGATGTGGAGGGAAGTGATGCTTTATTATTTATTTGTTTAATTCGTAAATAAATTAAAATTAGATTTCTTTTCTTTACTTTCTCAACTAAGTCAATGTTTTTTCTTTTACGACTCCGTAACCAATAACTACTGGTTAAACAGTAAAAAAAAATGAGCATTAATATTTAACCGTTATTAAGATAAATGAAAAAAATGGTATTACCACAACTAATTAAATTAAATATTATTAAAAAATAAAAAGTTATTCCGAATTGTTTTTATAGTAAAATTGTTTTAAACTTTGATTTTTTTTTTTTTACAATGAGATTGTTTTAAACTCAAATACTTTACATAAAACATTTGAATGCGTAAGCTTTTGTAAGTTAAAAAAAATTATTACTATTAAACTAAAAGCTTATTGATAAGTTAATAAAATAATTGATTGTTGTAATTCATGTCTGTAAATAATGTGAATTTAAAAAATAGAATTAAAAAAGTTTATTTTAATTTATTTACATGTGTCGAAATAAAATATATATTTTTTAAAAAAATATTGGAATCAAATTTGGATAAAATTCTGTAGCTTTTATAATTATTTATTGAATTAAAGTGAGAAGGAGAAGTTATGTTGGAAGTATTTGAAATTTATGTAAATATTTTTAGTAAAACTTTTAAATAAACCAACTGTCGAAAAGGAAAGTGCAAGAAAGAAAGGAAGGAAAGTGGACTTGTCATCATCGTATTTTGACAGACTCTACAAAAAGCCACGCTAAACAGTGTAAATTATAAATTAGTTTCTTTATTTTTTAAATAATTAATTAATTATTTAAAAAAATCATTATTTAGTTTATTGGTTAGTGTTGACCACATTCAATTTAATTCTATTTTATTTCAAGAAATATCATTTTTTTTCTCATTAATTTTTCATATTATTTATTTATTTATTTTTCCTTTCGTATCTGTTAAAACAAAATTTTTAAAATAAATTAAAAAATAACAAAAATTATTAAGCTAGAAGAAGAATAAAAAAATATAAAAATTAAATAATTAATTGTTAAAATAAAAAAAAACTAATTAATTCGTTTGTCAAAACTAAAAAGCCTAATTTATAATTTACTTTGATACGCATCAAACCAAACAATTTGGATCCCATCATCCAAAAAGACTAAAACTAACATGTAATTAATTTAATTTTTCTTGTAATTGACACGATTAAAAAAAAAATAGAGAGAGATAATCACAGAACCTTGTGCTTGTTTCCTTTCAAATTTTTTTTTTTTCAATTCAGAATCAAAGAAAAGAAATACATATCAATTCAACATTTTCAAATCACATGCTATATAATTTTTTATTATCAAATTATTATTACTGCCATTATTGGATTCATGGGAATTTAGAGTGTTCTGATTTTGTCTCAGATGCTGACATGAAGGGATGAGATTGAAATCATAACTTCTGTAGTGGGGCCAGGGTGTCTCTATTAGGTAATGTGTAATGGATCAGAATAACCACAACTTAATCCCTATTTTTAAGAAACAAACAATTTAGTCCACGTTGTTTAAAAAACCATTAATTAATCTCCATATGTTCACTCCTATTTATTACTTAAATCACTCTTCTAATTTTTATTTAGTGAGATCATCAATTTTTCATTAGTTTTTGTCACTAGACCGAAAGTCAAACATGTTAAAAGTTTAATTAATTATTTAAAATAGAGATTAAATTACTTGTTTCTTAAATGCAAAGGGACGAATTTGTTATTTTTTAATTATAGATAGGACCCTATAGTCTATAATTACAATGGTTAGAACCAGGGAGACAGAAAATCATATTATAATCACCGACCTCACGATTTATAATTACAGTAGTTAGAGTTAGGAAGATAGAAAGTTGTATTATCATGACGAATTAAATTGGTTAGAATTGGGGAGATAGAGAATTAGATCGTATTATAAAAAGAAGTCGTATTATAAAATTTACTAAAAAAAATAAAAACCTATTCTAACTTAGTTTTGTCGTTAGTTTTTTAAATTTAAATATTTTTTTAAAAAAAATTTTGAATTCGTGATTTATTGAAAGCATAAACAACTAACTTAGCCTATCATTTACCCTTCGGAAAACTGAAAAAGTAATAAGTTTAGAGGAAAAAAAGAAAAAAGAAAAGAGGTGGTTAGGTTTGATTGGCGATTGCGCGCCTTTTTCTAGAGAGAAACTGGCGATTTTTTTGGCGCGCACTAACCCTAAACCTAACCTCTCCCCACCAAAGCACTTTCCCACCAGTTTCTTAGGGCGCTGTTTGCGCGGCTCTTTTTTCTTGACTTGGCTTTTGGGCCTTTTTAAGAATGTTTTTTTTTTCTTCCTGATTTTAACTAAATAAGGTCATTTTGGCCATTCCGTTGCCATCACTTCAAGCATGATGATAAATCATAAATCAAAACAAAAACCATAGTGTTTTTTTAATAAAAAAAATTAAGCTTAATGGAATGAGTTATAATTCAACTAACGTAGATGTTTAGTTTTCCTTTGAAAAGTTTCTAATTTCTTAATATTTAAAAAATAAAAATACGGAATTGTAAAACTAGGAATGCATAGATAAATTCAGATATTTTTATCTTTTTAATTTTCATGGTAAAAAAATTCATATTCATGCACTAAATGTAAGATTTAGTATGAATAAAAACGTAAAAAGTAAACTCATTTATCAACCAGATCAAGTCTAAAAGAGTAATTTAGATGTTATAATGTAAATCCACATATGAATATGATCCATGTACATTTTAATTAATCTACTAAATATTCATACTTTTTAAAACTAGATGAATATGGATGGTAAATGGTTGTACTTAGCTTTAGCCATCCCATGTAAGGGTGATCATTCGATTTTTTTTTATAAATTCAATTTGATTTTTGATTAATTAAACCTATAAAAGCTGAATCTGAACTGAATTATTAGTTAGTTTTTCAATTTAAAAACCAAAATTTTGGTTTTTAAAGTTAAACCCCCTTTTTTTTTAATTTTTTTTTAAAGTAATATAAATAAATAAAAACACCATCAATCCATCATGTATCTATCATAATATTAATGTACTGATTTTTTTTTCTTTATTTGCATTATTTTAAAATTTTTTAAAAATAATAAAAAAAATTGATTTTTGATTTAAACTGAACAAAAAATTCTAAAAAAAACCATGCTTAAATATTTTAAATTAAAACTGCATCAATAATTAACAATCTAATTTGGTTGGATTTTTCAATTTAAACTATTTGATGCAAGAAACAGAAAGTGAGTTGATTTCTGGCCACTTTAGACTGACTTGGTTGGCCTAATCGGTTGCACTTGGGACTTAGCTACCCAAGCTTTTGACTTTTAGCTTTACAAAGAGAGAGGGACATGACAAAGAAATGATGGCAAATAAGAAGATGAGAAGCTCTAATTTTTGTAGTCTTCAAAGATTTTGTGTAATTTTGAGCTGCAAGATGCCAGTGCTGCACTGTATATGATGACAAAAGCAAAAGAGGGTATTATCAAAAATCAATTTTTTTTTTCCACCATGGATGAGGTTAAAGAAGGAATAAATTAAGCAGATAAAGGAAAGAAAAATCCAAGGGGGACATCACATTTAACAAAAAGAAAGCATCTAGCAGCCAAAAGAGAGAAACCTAAAAAGTTGCTGCAACTCTTGTAGCCATGAAATTTTCAGCTTCTTGGTTTTGGATTTGCAACTCTTAGGGAAGCTTTGAATAAATGTAACAAAAAGTTAACAAGCAATTACTCACCACTATAAATCTCCTTTAACAAAAGCAACCAACATTCCGATAACAGATAACCTGCAATCAGTCATGAACAAAAAGTAAATTTTTCCAACTGTAAATCACTAAAACATGATCCCAGTTTCTGATACAGTAAAATACACACCATAAACCATTAGTTCTATGAAGAAAAAATGCAACCTCATATTACCAATAAGCAAAACCCACAATGCAGGATTCAGATACATTTTAACAATGTGAATAAATGAAGCAAAAGAACAGCATGAAAAGAAGGAAGAAAAAAATATGAGTACAAATCACCTACAAGGAAATATAGAGCCATAAAGTAGAATGTCAATTCCTTGACATCAACAGTAACTCGAGTTTGCCACAATCAAAACACCTGGAATAAAATCATTGGATCTGTAATCAATTTCAGTAGTAGTACAACAACAAAATAATTAAGACCTAAAATAGAAAACAGAGAGGAAAACACAAGACTCATACATCAAAACATCAGCAATGGCATGTCTTGACCATTCATGCAATCCAGTTATACAAATCCCACTTAATGGCTAAAACACATTTCAAATATAACAGCAAATTACAGAAACAACAAGAACAAACTAATATGCCAACATAAACAAATCATGCATTGAAAATAATGGAGAAACTCCAGTTCACAAACAGTAAAACCCTGCTATCCTGTATACAACATTAACAATTGTAGCTTAGAAACACCTACTGAGAAACAAAACCCATAAACAGAAAAGAACCTGTAACAACATTTCAAGTAGATCTAAGTAAAAGACCTAGTATTATATACAGAATAACACAAGTGGGATCATACAGCTGCAAACTATGCCTATTTATGGCAGTATTAAGAAGTACCATAATTTTCTCAAATTTAGCAGGCCTGCCTATCAGATCAGTACTATTCGGTACTGTGAAAACAAAATGCATGCTGATCAAATTCATGATATCCTAGCTTGAATAAATATCTCACTGTTACCTGATTAAAAACTCCTTTTTCATGACCAATTTTCACTTCAAACACAAAGACCAAAAGAAAGCCCTCTGACAATTTATCAGAGATTTCTCCAAGATGGTAATCAAAACCCAAAAGCCTTTATTTAAATGTCACAACTAAAGTTTCCAATGTTCATTGCCTTACTGAATCATATCATCATATGTACAGCCTGTCTCAATTGCATTGCCAAACACTTCATGCGTGTACTAACATATTGTCCGAGCAAGTGCATAGTAAGCTACAATAATTTTTATCCAAACACGCAGGTTTGCACGCAGGGACAGAATCTCCTGAGCTATATGCCAGCTTCCTAACCTGAAACAAAGAGAAAGAGAAGAAAAGGAAAGACAATGAAGTATAGCAGCAACGGAGAAAAGTTCAAGTGTAACACAGATATATATGTAGAATTCTCTCTATGTTCTAATCCTAACTAGATTGATTCAATAAATTCATTAAAAAATAAGACGTGAATACATTGAAGCAACAGTAGTCCAAGTATCAAGGTGTTGGTTATAGAAGCTCAGGAACAAATGTTTAATACCACCCTGCATCGGGGGGCTTAAAATAAATGACTTAAGTAACAGAAAATGGGAAAGGTGGGACTTACATTAAGTGCATATCCAAAAGATGTTATGTCTTTTCAATTTTTGTAAAAGAAAGCAACTAATTTTGCGTGCATCATAGCAATGAAAACAGATTTAAATTCACTCATTTAGGGCTGCAGATAAAAAGAAAATCTTCTAAACAATCGGGATAGGAATAAATGCCGTACTAAAAATCAAACTCTCAAAGTTCATGATCTAACCTGATAGTTTTTGGCTTGCTCATCATTCAACTAGTTCAGATCTTTTCAAATTTAATAGTGCAATGTGGCAAAACCTGTAACTTTTAGCCAAAGTGACTCAATAACAGATCGAGCACTTGCCACAATGCAGCAATCATTAGTCACATTCTGATCCATGATCACCCAAAAAGACTGCCCCAAACTTTCCATAACCTGAATTCTATAGTTCAAACAGGGTTAAGTCCCAAATCATGCACGCAGAGCTCATGAGTTTTGCCTGCAAAATATAATGCCATCTTGACAAGTCCATGAAATTTTCAGCTTCTTGGTTTTGGATTTGCAGCTCTTCGGGCAGCTTGAATAAATGTAACACAAAGTTAGCAAGCAATTACTCACCATTACAAATCTCCTTTAACAAAAGCACCCAACATTCCAAATCACCTTAAACCAAACCATCATATTCCTCAGAGTGTCTGATTTGCATCACACATGATCCGCAAACACTTCGTATAAACTGCCATGAGTGTTTCTCCACACACTATTCTCATTCTCTCTTTAGCTTCAGATTTTTAGCTCTTTCTAAATATCGCAAGCTATCTGTAAGCAATCTCATTCAACGAACCTACCATCACATTACATTTGATGCATACTTCGACTCATCATTTCCATCAAAGGATTGCATTTTCTTTCTACATGAGTTCAGAGGGAAGAATGGAAATGAGACAAACTGAGAGGGCATATTGCATAAAAACCCACCAAGAGGGAACCTCTTCGTGCAATTCATACCATGGCAAGTAACAACATCTGATTGGCTACTATAACAGATAAGCTGCAATCAGTCATGAACAAAAAGTAAATTTTTCCAACTGTAAATCACTAACACATGATCCTAGTTTCTGATACAGTAAAATACACAGCATAAACCATTGGTTCTATGAAGAAAAAATGCAACTTCACATTACCAATAAGCAAAACCCACAATGCAGAATTCAAATGCATTTTAACAATTTGAATAAATGAAGCAAAAGAACAGCATGAAAAGAAGGAAAAAAAAAATCTGAGTACAAATCACCTACAAGGAAATATAGAGCCATCAAGTAGAACGTCAATTCTTTGACATCAACAGTAACTCGAGTTTGCCACAATCAAAACACCTGGAATAAAATCAATGGATCTGTAATCAATTTCAGTTGTAGTACAACAACGACATAATTAAGACCAAAAATAGAAACAGAGAGGAAAACACACGACTACATCAAAACATCAGCAATGGCATGTCTTGACCATTCATGCAATCCAGTTATACAAATCCCACTTAATGGCTAAAACACATTTCAAATATAACAGCAAATTACAGAAACAACAAGAACAAACTAATATGCCAACATAAACAAATCATGCATTGAAAATAATGGGGAAACTCCAGTTCATGAACAGTAAAACCCTGCTATCTTGTATACAACATTAACAATTGTAGCTTAGAAACACCTTCTGAGAAACAAAACCCATAAACAGAAAAACAGAAAAGAACCTGCAACAACATTTCTAGTAGATCTAAGTAAAAGACCTAATATTAAATACAGAATAACACAAGTGGGATAATACAGCTGCAAACTATGCCTATATATGGCAGTATTAAGAAGTACCATAATTTTCTCAAATTTAGCAGGCTTGCCTATCAGATCAGTACTATTTGGTACTGTGAAAACAAAATGCATGCTGATCAAATTCATGATATCCTAGCTTGAATAAATATCTCACTTTTACCTGATTAAAAACTCCTTTTTCATGACCAATTTTCACTTCAAACACAAAGACCAAAAGAAAGCCCTCTGACAATTTCTCAGAGATTTCTCCAAGATGGTAATCAAAACTCAAAAGCCTTTATTTAAATGTCACAACTAAAGTTTCCAATGTTTATTGCCTCACTAAATCATGTCATCATATTGTACAGCCTGTCTCAATTGCATTGCCAAACACTTCATGCATGTGCTAACATATTATCTGAGCAAGTGCATAGTAAGCTACAATAATTTTTATCCAAACATACAGGTTTGCACACAGGGACAGAATGTCCTGAGCTATGTGCCAGCTTCCTAACCTGAAAACAAAGGGAAGAGAAGAAAAAGAAAGACAATGAAGTATAGCAGCAACGGAGAAAAGTTCAAGTGTAACACAGATATTTATGTAGAATTCTCTCTATGTTCTAATCCTAACTAGATTGATTCAATAAATTCATTAAAAAATAACGTGAATACATTGAAGCAACAGTAGTCCAAGTATCAAGGTGTTGGTTATAGAAGCTCAGGAACAAATGTTTAATACCACCCTGCATCAGGGGGCTTAAAATAAATGACTTAAGTAACAGAAAATGGGAAAGGTGGGACTTACATTAAGTGCATATCCAAAAGATGTTATGCCTTTTCAATTTTTGTAAAAGAAAGCAACTAATTTTGCGTGCATCATAGCAATGAAAACAGATTTAAATTCACTCATTTAGGGCTGCAGATAAAAAGAAAATCTTCTAAACAATAGGGATAGGAATAAATGCCATAGTAAAAATCAAACTCTCAAAGTTCATGATCTAACCTGATAGTTTTTGGCTTGCTCATAATTCAACTAGTTCAGATCCTTTCAAATTTTATAATGGAATATGGCAAAACCTGTAACTTTTAGCCGAAGTGACTCAATAACAAATCGAGCACTTGCCACAATGCAGCAACCATTAGTCCCATTCTGATCCCTGATCACCAAAAAAGACTGCCCCAAACTTTCCATAACCTGAATTCTATAGTTCAAACAGGTTGAAGTCCCAAAATCATGCATGCAGAGCTCATGAGTTTTGCCTGCAAAATATAATGCCATCTTGCCAATTAAAACTTTGAATGATCAAACTAATTTGCCATGTGTATCAGTATGAACATCTACTTGTAGACAAACAATTGACATAATATGGCCCATGTATGGTAGCATTTAGCATGAACATTTCATTTTGGACAAGCGCAGAATAAAATCACAAGAAAATGAAAAGATCAGCTTTAGAATAGCATAATGTTATCACAATCAGAATCACCACAATGAAAATTAGGGGGAAAAAAAAAAACAGAGCCTAATCAAGTTAAATAACAGTATCACCTCCATATCCTTTAGGCGACATTAACCACATATTGCTGAGAAACACATTATAAGAAACAAAACTCATAAACAGAAATGGACTCGTCAACATTTCAAATAGATAAAAGCAAAGGTAACTTCATAAATATTCTACCAATCAGAAAAGGAGTAGTAGTAGGAGTCTAAAGAAAGAAGAGATGATAGAAAACCTGTTGGTGAACTTCCACAGAACAGGCACTGCTGTAAGAGATTATGATTTTGTAGAAGACAGTGGGATATCCTGCAAACAGAAACTTGAAAACTGACCACTGTGGATCAGAGCAAGCAGACCACAAAGAGTATTTATGCAGACTTGTGAGAGACTGGTGAAAGTCCAGGTCTACTGGGAAAGAGGGGGCTGTTCATATTTGCTCAGAACTTCTCCGTTCAGAAGAAGCAATGGGTGTTCATCAGATGTTTTTACTAGAAGCCTCATTACCGACTCGTCGGGCAGAATTCCTCTGTCAAACATCACATTACACACCCTATAAGCTTCATGGAGTTTCTTTTCTTCACATAAGATATAAAGCAGCCAGTTCCATCTAAAAAGGCAAGGCACAAGATTGCAAGCAACCATCTCTTCAAATATTCTGAAGGCAGGAATGCACATGTAATGAGCACAAAAATATTGGAGTAATTTTTCATAAGCAAGCCTGCTCGGAAAGAACCCCCTCTTGTGCATTGTATGTAAAAGAGATAAAGCATCTAATTCTCTACCAGCCTTACAAAGGGATTTCAGTAAAGTGTTGTGTATACATCTATCAGGAGTAAAACCATCTGCATTCATCCTATTAAACAACCCAATAGCGTGATCAATTTCACCAGCCCCGCCATGTGCACCAATGAGAATTGTGAAGGTCACTTCATTTGGACGTAGACCCTCCTTTTGCATCAGTTTAAATTGATGGTATGCATCATGCATCATATTCGCCCAACAGAATCCAGAGATAATGACATTATAGAGGTAAAGATTGGGCATAAATCCTGTTCTTTTTATTTTCCGCATGAGCATCAATGCTAATTCTTTTAATTCTCCAGGAGAATGCTCGGAAACACCGAAAACATCTTCACTAGGCAAGGAAGCTTTTTGATGGAGCAAATTAAACAGCAGTTCTCTAGCCCTCATAGACATTATGTTTGTCACGTACCATCTTTTCTTGGTGCCAGTGATATTTCTGAAAAGACCACCAATCCAAGCAATGTGCAAGACGAGGTCTGCTTTAATCTTACTTCTAACCATCAAATCAACCAGTCTGAAGGCATACTTAAACTCACCCATCTTCAAATAATGATTGACGAGAGAACTATACAATATGATGTTTGGCACAAAACTCTCTCCCAACATTTTTTCAAGATAAACGCATCCCTGAATGGTCATTTTTCTCTTCACTAACCCACTAGAACTTGGCTGGATGGTATTCTCTATCATCATCTCAAACAGACGGAGAGCTTTATCACCTCTTCCATTCCTAGCATAAGCATTGATCATTGTCATATAGACAACTTCATCAGGATCCAAACCATTCTTACACATCCTGTGGAAAAGAGTTTCTGCTTCAGAGATTCTCCCTTGTCGGCTTAGACCAGCAATGATGCAATCATAAATAGCGACATTAGGTTTCAGTCCTGCTTCCTCCATCTGGTCCAAAATATGAAGAGCCGATACTAGATCCTCTTGTTTACAGTATTCATTTACCACAATCAGATAAGTTTCCAAGTTTGGAACCATGCCCCAGTTTTGCATAATTTCAATCAGAGACTTGACATCCTCAAAAAGCCCATCCTGGGATAGACATTTGATGAAAGAGTTGAAAGTGAAAAGCAAAGGAATGCATCCTGCATTGACCATCTTTTGCAAGCAAGCTAAAGCAGCTTCTGTCTTTCTGCCTTCACACAAGGCAATAATGTAGATACTGCCAGCTGCACTACCTAGATTCAAGTCACTTCTTATGATATCACGCAGAAGTAGCTCAATCTCTTGCTCCAAATCCACAGTGGAATTTATCTTATTAGAATTTGAGAGTGAAGAATGGTCCAACCCACACCCGTTCTTGGCAATTGCCTGCAACATCAACAAACAGAGTTGAAGCTCAAGCCCCTTAGGTTTATTCTTCATGAGTACAAAAAACAAAATATGGTCCGGAACAATTCCACTTTCCAGCATTCCTTCACAAAACTCATCAGCTTCCAAACACCTATTCTGCTTGTAAAGAGCAGCCATTATAGGAGTATAACAATGCACACGGGGAGCCAGGTTGCAGGGAATCATGCTATTCAAAAGCGCAGTAGCACAATCCAACTTCCCTTGTTTGCAATAATTACAAATCATTAAATTATAAGTCACCTCATTAGCCTGAATTCCCAAGCCATTCATCATGTTCCACAACACCCATGCTTTATCAAACAAACCCATCTTTAAAAACCCATGAATTAAAGTGTTATAAGTAGAAACATCCGGGTCACAACCCGTCTTTAGCATCCTAAAATAAACCCTCATTGCCATCTTCATCTTCTTATCCTTACCATAAGCATTCATTAGCGAAGTATACATCACCTTGTCCACAAAATAACCTTGTGCCTCCATCTCTTCAAAAAACGACTCCGCCACCACAGACCACCCTCTCTTGCAAAGCCCAAAAAACAATGTCTTAAACATATGCAGAGTAGGAGGCAACCCGGTTCTTTTGCACGTTATATCAAACACTTCCATTGCTTCATCCACATACCCTTGATGACACAATCCATTAATCAAAACATTATAAACCCACATACCCAATTTTACATTTGCATCACTAATCCTAACAAAATAATCAAAAGCCTCCAAAAACTTATCTTGTTTGTAAAACCCTTCAAGAATCACGCTACAAGCAGCATTACTAAGCACGCAATCATCACTACCAATAAGTCTATCAAAAAGCTTTACAGCATCATCTAATTTCCCTAACTTAGTCAAAGAAACAACCATAGAATTAACAATATTCGAGTCCTGTTCAATACCCCTAGCAATCACATGATCGTGATAAAACTCATGCGCAGATAAAGGCTCACCCAAGTCAACCAATTTCCTAACGAGTTCACTAGAAATTCCAAGGCCAAGGTCCATGCCACTCCTGGAGGCAAATTCAATGACGGAGACTGCATCAGTGACTGTGGAAGAGCTGGCAATGAATCTCTGGATAACTTGCTGGGCAGAGGACAAAAGACCGCGGCTAAGAAGGTCATGAACTAAGGATTGGCAAAGGGATGTATGGTCATTTGGGATTGATTTTGGGTCTAACGGGGCAGCACAAGTTGAAGTAATTGGTCTGTTTTTGGGTTTGAAGTAGAGATAATGATAAAAAGGCCTCCATTTTATCATGTTTTATCAATTGGGGTGCAAAATTTTCAGGTCAAGATTGGAAATTTATGAAAAAGAAATTGTGGGTAGGAGTAAAATTAAGTGAGAAGGTGATGGTAGGGTTTAAGGTGAAGAAATGGAGGGAAGGAAATGGGGGTTTAGCCGTTTCAGAAAATTGAAATATGCCTGCATGGGTTTAGGGCCATAGGAGCTGATGATCAACTGTTACTCAACTGTTTGAAGTGGACTTGGGCCACCTAATAATTAGTGGTTTATAATTTAGTCCCTATACTTATGAATTTTTGATTTGGTCCTTATAGTTTTGAAAATTACATGAACCTTGAAAAACTAGTTTACACCCTAATAATTACGGTAAAAATGAGCCTTGAAAAAGAATACAAGAAATAAATTACAAGAGAAAATTACAGGTCGTTGGATCATGATCACAAGAGATTTATTACGTATTTAATATGCAAAATTTTCAATTTTTTTATATTTAAATATATAAATTTTTTTTATTTTTTTATTTCAATGTATTAACTTGTAATATTTTTCTATTTTTGAGCGGCTCTGTTAACTGTTATTAACTTAATGTTGATATGGCCGTTAACGGCTAACCAGCACGTCTTGTGGGCCTCTTTTATTAGATAGGTAAATTAAAAAAAAAATCATACAATAATAAATAATAGAACGCAATAGAAAAATAAATAAATGTTGATAAATACACAATGACAATTTTTTTTTAGTTTAGAAAAAAACACATTTCAAGCAAACTCAAATCAACAAGAACAGTAGAAAGAAAGAGGAAAGCAAAAACGAAGAAAAGGGATGTAGTTTTGATCGTTGCCGTTGCCATTGTCATTGCTGTGGGAGGAGGAGATTGACGGTGAGAGGCTGTTGCTTACGATGGAGAGAGGGAAGATCGGAGATAAGACTATTGTGATCGTTGTTCTTGATCATTATTGTTTGCTGCTACTGTCACCATCGCTATTAATGTGATTGTCGATCGTTGTTGGGACTAAGAAAACTTGTTCGATCGGAGATTTTCTTTCTTTTTCAAAATTAATTAACCAGACATCAAAAACATACTAGACTTGTTAATGCACGAAGCATTCCCATTTTAAAGTAGTCATCTGAGGGGAACATTCTCTGCTACATTTGTCAAACTCTGATAGAAGCAAAATATCATAAGCAGTTAAGCACAGACATTTCCTGTTTCCTCTCATCGGAAACGCACCACGGTCTGAATACCAGGAAGGCATATCTGATTATCTGAAAAGTTTCTTGTCCCTCTAGGGATTACTGATATTACAAATTATCTTAAGTTCTTACAATGCATTTACAGCAATAATATAATCATAACGATAATGTAATTTGATAACTAGCCCAACTCTCTCATGTTTAACTTTCCAGCACTGATTGGAAATCCATTCCCTAATTACATTTTAGCAAGAGGATCGACACCTGCCTTGATTACATGATTATTTACTTGGAAACAAATGAGCCAGATCCGGATCATCCAAATTCACATCCAACCAACCTTGTAATCGCATGTATTCGGTATAATGATCTGGTGGCGTCACTGCACGACAATTTCTTGGAGTAAAGCCATGAATCCTCTCAAGATCACGAGCAAGCCACCGAACATAAGCATGGTCCAATGGAGGCACAATTTTCAAGTGAATCTCTTGCCTGTCCTGGGCCAATGGAGACCCTACTTCTCTTGCTTGCTTCGCAGGTTTGTTTCCCATGCTTGACCAGCTTCAGAAAGAGATCAAGCTGGCATGCACCTGCAGTACATCATAGAAGAAATGAAGGCACACACTTGAAGGGATAGATATCGTTAATTTTATCTCATATTTGGGATGTGTACTTTTGTTGCATCCACACAAAGTCTCATATAATTTTGACAATGCAGCAAGTCGTAGTTGATCAGGATTTAGCAACTCCCTTAAATGTAATCTTTATGAGACAGTTCTTAACGAAATTGTGCCTGAGAAAGTTTGAGGCAGGGTATATAATTTGCAGAATGAATTCATCCCAATGACAGCATTGCCAGTGATGCATGACATGCTCAAATAAAAAGAGAGGTGGTACTAAGTCAAATATAGAGACACTCAACATCTTGACGGCGGAGACGAAGACACAAAATCATGATAATGTCAATCGCTATGCACTGGGATTTTTTTGAACCAATAATCTCCAAATCAAAATTCCATCAAATAAGAGACTCGAGAGTTGAATCAAGCTTAAAATCTAGTCCACGGACAGGAGCTAGTAAACCAGAAGGGATTGGTGATACGCTACTAGTAAAACAGAACTAAACATCCTTGGTGGTATTAAAAGCAACAAAAATGACACTAACATTGCTAGGAATAGCAACCAGATTCAGCAACATGCCTGAAGCATGAGAAAAAGTTCGTCTTATTTGACATGGTTTATGCCAAAATAGAGTCCGTCCGCACTGTCACAAGCCTATACAGACTGATTAAGGATTAATTCCACGCTAAAACTGAATGTCTAGATTCTGGGATGTTTTTTTATCTTTTAACAAGACAGATGACATCTGTCATGTCCTAGTTTACAAATAAGTACCCATCCATTGGAAAAGGCAAACGAGTACAAAACGTTGCAAATCATACAGAAATGGTATGTGACTCAAATTTGTTTGCCTAAAATATGCAGGAAAGAAGGGTTAAGAATCTCAATAAGATTTATATTTCCCAAATTAGGGAAGTAGCTATATTGTTTCCATACATGCCATCACAAAAAGTTAAAAAATTTCTATTGCTAAATTTGTCACTGGTGTTGACACCTATAAATTTCTGTTGCATCCACGGACTTGAAATATACTCTAGCATTGTAACATCTTCAACAAGTGAAAAAAGAAAAATCAAAGATGACGAAGCCGATTGTTATTATCTTGATTTCTTGTGTTGCACTATTAAGTCTCTTCACTCCCACTCAAGGTAGATCTATTTTCAAATCTATCAACAAGCTCTCATTTACATGCGACTAACAAAAATGAAATAAAATCTCATTAAGTACTGAATAATTAATGATTTGATAGATGAATTTTTATTTGCAAAAATATTTAATATGAGCCTTTCTTTCTTTCAAAATGCAGGTCAAATCAAATGGTGCCCTGAGCAGGCCACATTTCCAGGGGCGTGTGGAAACAACGGCAGGCAGCAATGCTTACTCGATTTTTTATCAAACTATGGTGCAAGTAGCATGCCGAAGAATTGTGTGTGCAAGGATTCAGGATCTCAACGATCCTGCTCATGTGACGTTGTTTGTCAGTAAGATTATGTCAAAAAACCAAACAAGCTTGGTCCTTAGCCATGTTTTGTTTCTGAATCTCATGGATGGATAACAAAGTATGGTCAAAGAATGTAAGAGCGTTTGGAAATAAGACTAATAGAACTAATAATAAGATATTTCTGAGTTAGTCAATAATTTGTTTCGAACCTCTTTTTCTCGGCATATGATCTCTTAATGCATCTGTATCAAGTATCAAACTGCATGCTATATCATGAACAGCCAATACAGTATTGCTACGCCAGCTATCAAATACTCTAGTTTAAAAAATTATCATTTTAACATAAAATTGCAAAAGTTTTGAAGACCAGCCCTTTGATCAATAATTCTGAAACAAAGCGCCAACATTTCTCATGGTATAATTTAGAAACATTCTCAAAACTGCGACACAGAGTACTCCTTAGAAACTAGACAAAACTAAATGGCCACGTTCACATCACTATTATTCCTCATCAAGACCATCAAATGATATATGGTTCACACAAAGGATGTCACCATGTCTAGATTCTAGCTACATTTTTGTTTTCATCAAGCAAAACCCATGATATATTCACCTCAAATATGCAAGAAAGAAGACAAACACATCACAATACCATTTAAATTGAGCTTTTCTTTAACATATAAACAAAACAGATAGAAACCCATAAATCAATTTATCACCGCCAATTGAAAATTCTATTGGCATTGCAGATTCAGCAGATAGAGAGAGAAAAACCCACAAAAGAGATCCTTAAAAGGCAAGGACTTGGCTTACCTTGAATTCTAGCGGTGAACGTTCGGCCTTGTGGACTGAGGATGATGGTAACTGATGCAGGGAAGAGGATGCAGGGAAGAGGTAGCTTCGAGTACATCGTTTAAGGATTTGTTTGGTTCTGTTATTTTATTTCTTATGGTCCAAAATAAACAAAGCCAAGGCCCAGCCCAAATACAGAGATCATATTTTATTTTATTCCCATTTCTTTTTAAATTTTTTCCATTAATCCTCATAAAATGTTCGATTATATATATATATATCTCGAAAAAAAAATCTTCTCGATACTTTTCAAGAGATAAAACATATTAAAGAAAGATGTAAAATTGTTATAAAATAAATACAAATAATAGGAGAATTGAAGAAAAGGATGACAAGAAAATGAAATCACTATAAGTGATAAGAACTTCAAAATTTCTCTTATTCTCTCTAAGAAACTTATACACCAACTAATGAATAATCAAGCCTGTTTATAAGCTTCGAAATTAATGAGAGAATTGGAAGGGACTATGAATAATCAATTGCATCACCCTTTCAATTTCTCATGTTGAATGATGAATTGAATCATGTTAAGAATCATGAGTAGTGGAGATATGAAAAGTGGATGAACATGATGATGGACATTCGTTATTTCATAACACTCCCCCTTAAATGTCCATTTTACAAGGAACATGCCTCGTTAAAACCTTACTAGGAAAAACCCAAGTGGGAAAAAAATCCTAGTGAAGGAAAAAGAATACAATATTCCTCGCACACATTAATCCTTATTTTGGTCCCCCTGTTGAAGGCATTATTTAAGATTCTAAGACGACGCATTCCGATCTTGTGAATCATCTTCTCAAAAGTTCCGGTAGGTAATGCTTTAGCAAATAAATTTGCTTGGATTGTCACTTTGATGTATTCTTCCTTCAATGGAATTATGCAAGCAGTATTATCCTCATATGATATTGTTGGAACTTCTTTTGTTGATAGATAAATTGCATGTGTCTCGGATATGATGAATCGTTGATCTTAACCAAACACATTCTCGACTTTCCTCGTGAATTGATACTTCGCATGATTTGAAGATGTGGCAGCTATAGTTTGCTTTGTAGAACTCCAAGATATAGTTGCATCTCCATATGTAAATATATAACCAGTTGTGATCGAGCTTTGTGTAGATCGGATAAATAACCCGCATCCGCATAACCAATTAATCTTGTCTTTGATTTATTAGAGTAATATAAGCCCATATCAATAATTCCTCGAATATAACATAATATATATTTAACTTTATTTCAATATCTTTATATTAAAACGTAACTATGACTTGCTAACAAATTTATAAAAAAGACTATATCGAGTCGAGTATTATTAGCAAGATACATCAATGCACCGATGGTACTAAAATATGGTACTTCGGGACCAAGTAGTTCTTCGTTATCTTCTCGAGGTAAAAAAAGGTATTTTTGGATATCAAGTGAATGAACTACCATTGGGCTAGTCAATGAATGATCTTTATATAAAATCATTATAGAACCTTTTTCGATATAAATTGACTAATGAATGAAAATCTCATTTTCCGAGTGCTCGAACTGACAGTCGAGATAACATTTTATTTTTTCAAGATATTCACATCAAATTCTCTTTTTAGGTAACTTGTGACACTTGAAATCTCTTCGGGAGTTTCAATAATATTTAAGTTATCAACATATAAAATAAATCCCTTTTTAAATAAAAAAATATGAACAAATAGGGTTATTTTCTATAACTTTCTTTCAAAAATAATCATTGAAGTGATTATATCACATGCACACGGATTAGTAATAAATAGTAGATATAAAAATAAAATATAAAAAGTATAAATTGAATTTCTAAAAAGCAAAATAATAAAACAAATACTAAAATAATCCTAATAGAGATCTCCATCATTTAATTGAATTCTTTTCTCGAGAATATGTATTACATGCTTCGGCATGTCGAGTCCTTCTAGGACTTTCATACTTATTTCATTTCAAATGAACAAATAAATTGTGATCACATTCATTAAATGCATGCATATGAATGTTTTTCATATATTTTTTCATGCTAATGAGATAACAACGGACAATTGCATCCACTATAGGAGAATATCTTTCCTCATAGTCAATGTCAATTCTTTACGAAAACTTTTGTATTAAAAGTTTTGCTTTATATCTTATAATCTCATCTTTCTTATTTCATTTTCTCATAAATATATATTTGTATCTCACTAGCTTAACATCTTCGTGTGTTTTAACTATGGGTTCAAAAACTACTCTTTTATAAGAGAACATAATTTTGCCTAGATTGCTCTTTTCATTTAGGCCAATCATCTTTATGTCGACATTCTTCAATAATTTAGGCTCGGAATCCTTATTTTCATCCATAATATCAATCGCAATATTATATGCAAAAGTCTTATCAATAGATGTTTCTTTTCGGTCATATTTTCTCCTTGCATTAATATAATTTATCAAAATCTCTTGATTTTTCTCAAGTATTTGGACTTCTTCCGAAGCCTCGTGATCGAAATATATTGGACCGTTTTGTAAATATTTTCATCTTGCCCTTTTCTTTTAGGGATTTTTATTTTTAGAACAGATTGGTCTTTCACACTTCGGACGTGCTTTAGATTTATTAGCTATAACATTAATAGATCGTCATTCCGAGACATCAATTCTAATATGAGCATTCTCGGTAGGGACATGCATTTTAGTTACTCATTTAAGATCCGAGAATGCATATGGCAGTTGGTTTCAATACACGGTAAATGAATTATCGTTTGAACTTCTAGTTCACATTATCTTTGACAAGAATCAAGGTGATATAAGATAGAGTACTCCATGTAATTTTTTTTCAACATTTTCAACTCGCTTATTTTGCTTATTCTCTCCCCTAATGTTGAAAAACTATTTCATCAAAATGACGAGTCGATAAATCGAGCCGTAAAAATTTTCTCTTGTTCATAAATCAAGAGATTGAATTATCGAAGATGATTCATATATTCTCAATCTCTTTTAAGTGCTCATTTTATTTCATTATAGAGGAGCACTAAGGATATACACTACAATGCCAAAAATTCTTAAATAAGAAATAATTGGCTCATGACTATAAATCAATTGAAGAGGAGAGAATTTCGATAACTTATGGGTCATATGCGAATAAGTGTTGTCTGCATGTAAGATCGCATGTCCTCAAACATAAACATAGAGTTTTATTTTTAAATAACGATTTAGCTATTAATTTGAGCATTTTGATAAATGATTTTGCTAAATCTTTTTGAGTATGAACATGAGCAACAAGATGTTCAACCTTTATTTTAATAGTCAATCAATAATAATTTAATGCTTGAGAAATAAATTCATCAACATTATCAAGGTGACTTGTTTAATGGCATAATTTGAATATTATGCTCGTAATCAAATTATTTGCTAGCAATCTCAAAAACGTCGAGTTTCGAGTAGATAATAAGTATATATGTGACTATCTTGTGGATGTATTTATCAACATCATAAAATATTTAAATTATCCACATGGTGGATGAATTGATCCACATATATCACCTTGAATATATTCTAAAATACCGAAGATTCAATCTCAATTTTACTTGATGATGGCTTAATCATCGATTTACCTTAGCAACATGCAAGCACATGAAAGTTCATTAAATTGAAGAATCTTCTAGCTCTTCAATAGATGTTCTTATGAATTTTTAATAATTTTTCGCATCATGAAAGACCCAAGATAGCACAATCGGTCATGTCATATAATAAAAGTATTTGGATTAGTAAACTTCGGTTTACTATAATATTTTTTTCAATCATTTCAATGTTTGTAATAAATGATTAGAAGAGAAAACGGATAAATTTTTTTTGATAGATATTTTCTACCCGATATAATGATTATAACATATAAGAATTCGCATTTGCTATCTTGATATGATATCAATTCGGATGAATATCTTTGAAACTTAACAAATTTCTATGAGACTTTGAAGAGAATAGTACATCATTTATAATAAATTTATCCTTTCGGATAATAACATATTTGCTCTTCCGGAGCCTTTAAATTAGTCACTTCAAGTAATAATTTATTGACTATTCTAGAGCCTTTAAAAGTTATCTCTTTAAGTAATAATATATTCACTCTTCTAGAGCTTCAAAAATTTATCTCTTCAAATCATAATATAATCGCTCTTCTGTAGCCTTCAAAATTTATCTTTTTAGATGATAATAATATAGTCGCTCTTCTAGAGCTTTCTATTAGATTGATATTATCATATATAATATTAACATAAAATAAATAATCAAATAAATTAATATATGCCTCATAAACATAAACAAATAAATTAATAGTAAAATAAATTTGTAACCATCAATAAACAACATAAATTATAAGAAATATAAAATATTTTATTTATAAATATAAAAACTAACAAGTAATTAATTTCAATTACTATTACTTTGATATATAAAAGTGGTCTTCATATTTTACTCTTTATTTTTCAATAAGGCTTGACAATGCCTAACGAGGTGCTTTGGTGTACGACAAGTACACGATCAATATTCATCCATTCCACATCTATAATATTTATTTTTCAGAATACCGACTTTATCTTCTTTTTTTCATAGTTATCCACTTCGGTGGTGAGATGTAATATTATGTCATCACAATTATAATGATAATTATTTTGACAACATCCATGGCTATGACTACATCTTCGTCCATGTCTAAAATTATTATAAATTGTCAAATTCACTTCGGCGAATGGAATAGATCCAATTGAACGAGATTTATTCTTTTTCATCAATAGCTTTTCATTTTATTTAGCCATGAACAGATATGAAATTGATTCGAATATTTCTTAAACTCTTTTTCTTGATAGGCTACTGCAGGAGCATATCCAAGACATAAAAAGTAGAGAATATTTTTTCAAAATCAAGCACTCATAATCAATAATTCTTACTCAAAATATCAAGAGTCATCAAATCAAGTTTATGAGGTTTGATATGATAAAAATTCTATAATACAATATATAATAATAATATTAGAAAATAAGAACAAATATAATAAAATTAAAGCTTTTCAAATAACATATATTAGATCATTAGTAGATTATTTAAGTTTTTCAAATATATATTTCATGTATCAATAGATTTAAAGTACATGAATAAATTAGATACATACCTCTTAATGATCTAAATAATTTAGATCTTTTGGTAGAGCACTTGTGTAGAAGAAATTCAATTGTTGAAACAATTGATTAAATCTTTTGATATATACATACCTCATGGTCTATTGTCTCGATTGGTTAGAGCTTCGTGCCGATAACGTGTTATAAAATAAATACAAATAATAGGAGAATTGAAGAAAAGTATGACAAGAAAATGAAATCACTATAAGTGATAAAAACTTCAAAGTTTCTCTTATTCTTTCTAAGAAACTTATACACCATCTAATGAATAATCAAGCCTATTTATAGGCTTGAAAATTAAGAAGAGAATTGGAAGGGACTATGAATAATCAATTGCATCACCCTTTCAATTTCTTATATTGAATGATGAATTGAATCATATTAAGAATCATGAGTAGTGGGGATATGAAAAATGGACGAACATGATGATGGACATTCATTATTTCATAACAAAAATAAGTTTATTTTTAAGTCTTTATGATAGATTTTAAACAAAAAATAAAAATCAATTACCACTTTTAACGATTATTCTAAAACATCCGTCAATCGAATTCTATCATAACAACATAAAAATAGATAATTAATATCTTAAGCAATTTTGATCTTAAAAAAATATTGCTAAATTACGAAAAGAAAACGTTAAATAATCCCAAAAAAAAAAAAAACAGAAAGAGAATTGATAATCTCTGTCATAAAACGCTAGAAATCAAGAAAACCGAAATGCCATAATTATTGCACAACAACAATGGCTGTAATTATATATATAGAATTTTTTTCAGGAGAAAGAAATCAACAATTTATTAAGGTACGTGGTAAAACAATAATGATTTCTCTTCGTATCAAAGCCATTATCCTTCTCTTGGCAATAGCCATGGCTCCCTCTATGGCTCTAATATTCCCTTGGACTGTGCATATTGTGAATGAGCTGAGCAACAACAAGGTGTTGCATGTACACTGCAAATCTGCAGATAATGATCTTGGCGTTCACACCCTCAAGCCCAAGGCTGAATTCAAGTTTAGTTTCTGGGAAAATCCTTGGGGTACGACGTTATTTTGGTGCACTTTGTCCACCGACAGACAATCTCGAGCTTCTTTCGATGTCTTCTGGTCTTCGCTTTGGCTTTCGAAAGGAACCAAGAGGAATAAATACACTGATCTGGAAAAAGTAACAAAGAACGAGAAAATCCTTTGGATAGCAAGAAATGATGGAATTTATTTAAGAGAAACCAATTTCAAGCCCGAGAGTTTAAATCGTATCGATCCTAACGAAGAAGACATCATAGTTGAGGATGTGTTATTTCATAAATGGGAAAGAAAAAAGTAATAATCATACGACTGATAATTGTGGAGTTAATTTACAAAATAAAGTATTATAAAAACTATATATCTCCTACTTATAATTTTTGTGCCATGACTGGAAATTGTTTAATTACTCAATTTCTTTTTATTTTTTTATGGATTATTTATGTTGCAACCAAAACTTGAAACCTGGCCTATAGGTTTTAGGATTGTAAACCACCAAACCATGCAAGGCTAAAGGGGTTTCGTTTTTTGAATTTAAAAAGAATAAATATAACCTTCTTTGCGTCATGTTTTGGCAGGTTAAAAAAGGGGATAAATTAATATAATTTAGTGGCCTTTGGTTTATAGAGTGCAACACTTTCCTTCCTAGTCACTGTTTCGTGAAAGTGATTTTAGTTTCATTAAGAATTCCAAAGCGATCAGAAGTAAATTATTGTCTTATCCTTTTTTTAAAAAAAATTATTATTAGTATTATTGGTATGTGATCAAGAACATTGACCAAAAAAAATTAAGAAAAATATGCACTACCGAAGGGAATTTTTATAATAAAATATTTATACAAAATAAATAAATTAGCAATCATTCAACAATAGCCAGACCATAATATTAAAAATCCATACATAACATGTAAAATAAATAATTAAAACTTTCAATAATGTTTTTTTGTAGTCTTTGACCACGCAGATCCCATTTCGAAAGTTGTTTCCTAGTTGATCCAGCCATTTCTACTTCCAAGGCATATTGTAATATTTGGAATCAATCCATTGTCTAGCACTTGCATCTTCAAGTGGTTGAATAGCTCTAACCTTGTTCCTCTATTTTTGCTCATTGCTAGCTTGGAGACTATCAATGTTTGGATGGATGAGTGTCATATAATATCTCAACGCAAAAATTTAAATATTTAAGTAAAGTCTCATCAATAATTTTATATTATTTTTCAATATATCTTCCCAAATAAAATTTTTTTAGGTTTGAAACTTACACAAACCCATCATTATGATTTTATATTATTTTTCAATACATCCTTTCAAGTAAAAGTTATTTGGATGGATGAGTGTCGGAGAATATCTCAATCCAAAAGTTTAAATGGTTAACTAAAGTCTTATGATTGATTTTATATTACTTTCAATACATCTTCTCAAATAAAATCTCTTTAGGTTTGAAACTTATATATATCCACTATTGTAATTTTATATTATTTTTCAATACATCCTCTCAAGAAAAAGTTATTTGGACTCGAAACTTGCACGGACTAATCACTCTAGTTTATACGAAAATCTTTTAGGATACATTTTCTCAAGTGAAAGCTCTTAGAACTTGAAATTTATACGGAAAAACCAATATCTTATGTAATTCGTAACCGTTTGATCATACATATCAACAAATCATCTTAATCTAAAAATTTAAGTCTGTTTGATGAGATTAGGCATGACGATGAGGTTAGATATAAAATAGATTTTCATTTTATATGGTCTAATAAATACCCATTAAAAATATTCAAAGGGTATTAAAGTAGTTAAGGATAAAAATTACATACTCACTAATATGATTTCGGGATAAAGGTACCAATTCTTTATCTTATCAAGATCCACTAATTTTTAGATTTTTTTTATTACTATGCGAGAGATCTAATTATATAAAATTTAAAAATTAAGGATCAAAATATTTTTTCAAAAACCGAGGACAAAAAAACTTATTTATAAATGACCAAAAAGCAAAAAAAAAAAAAAGGATAAAAACAACTTTTCTTAAGAATTACAAGGACCAAAATAAATATTTTTGATAGATTAAATTTAGCAGGTATTTAATGAGTATTAGATGGACGAGTAAATTAGTATGAGCCAAGTATGGACTGGGTAAAAATTTATGTAATGATTTATTAATAGGCAATGGATAAGGTAAAAAATTGAATTAATGGATGGGGTACTCGTTCATTGTCTTTACTAGATTACCTTAATAATGGTTTTATATTACTCTCAAGCACTCGACCCTCGTTTCTTACTTATTATTAGAGAATGAAATTTTATCAATCAAGGGGGGTGTTTGATAAAACTAAAAATTAAATACTGAATCGGTTAAGTATTGAATTTTAATTGATGAGTAATTAAATACTTAATATGTTGCTGAAAGGTTGTTTGGTATTTACTAAAAATTAAATACCGAATATAATAAAATTGTTTAATAAGTACCATTGCTAAACATATTAATAATATATGCATGATAATTTTAACTTTATAATTATAAAATGATATTTTTTAGTAAAAATAAAAATATATACATAGATGTATTTGTGTATATAAATAAATGATAAATGAATGAAAATTCAATAAAAATGCAGTTTGAGAGAGCATAAAAGGCAAGTAAATTTGCAAATGTTGGCAGAAACGCATCTTTGTGGTTACCAACACCACCTATCCAATCAACTCCTCCCAAATTCTCAACAGGGTCCCTAGCAAACGATGTCAACTGATTACAAAATCTCCTCCTCCAGATGTATAAATAATTTTTGAAGTTCTGTTTGATTGGCCCATCGGCCAACAATGATTTTGAAATTGGAAGCTGCTCCAAATGAGAGCAGCATATTTGACAGATCAACAGCTTCTCTTCGTGATGATTATCTATTTCCTTGTCAAAAACCCGTCTGACAATATCTCCTTTTGATGCTACATAATTTCCTCCGTTTATTACCCAGAACTGTAAAACAAGATCAAAGTAATCAATCCAGTGACCAAAGATACAAGACAGATACCCAAAATTCAATTTGATCACTTTCTCCACTTGCATTGGGACGCCAACAGTATGAAAGCTGCTTCTAGATGTCTTGAAGAAAAGCATTTCTGGACATTCAAGGCAAGCCATTGTCTTATCCCATCATCTTTATCCTCAAAACAGCTTGATGCAAGTGAATCATCTCTCCAGCAACTGACGACCATACATATTAACAGGTTCTTTTGGTTCAAAACAAGAACCGAGAAGTCCAGCGAGAATTTCATTACTGAACAGACAATCACCAATAACCGCTGCTTGTTCAAGCAAACCAGATGAATTATAGATTCTGCTGCTGTATCGTAGAGAGTAGAGATTGTTTCTCAATATTCAGTTTGAATAGTTAAAGTTATAAAAATATATTACGGCTGTATAATTATATTTAAAAAATTTTAAAAATATTTTAATTGAGCATGTTAATAAAAAAAATTTTAAGTTAAAAATTTTAACTTACCTAAATAAATAAATTTTGACTGAATTTAAATTTTAAATATGAAATTATTTAAATTATTAAATAAATTTTTTATATTAATATTAAATACTATAACTTAATTTTTTAAATTATTTAAATAAGTTACCAACCTTACTTTAAATAATTCGTACCATATCGGAAATGGGACCAAAAAAGGTAACCATACAACTCATTATTATGGAATTAATTTACAAAATAAAGTATTTTAATTACTATTTCCTACTTATACTTGTTGCCATGTCTGGAAATTAGTTCCATGCATTGATTCCTTAATTTAAAAAAAAATATCCAATTTTTTTTTTTTTTTTTTTATGTTGCTACTGAATCCTTGCTAATAGTAAGAAAATTGAAGAGTAAGTTATGAATTAATCACTCTAATTTTTTAAAAGAATTAAATATCCATTTTATTTCAAAACTTATTGTATTAATTAACATTGACAATGATTAATTGAATATTATTTTATTAAAAAATAATCTTGAGATGATGAAATCTAGTTGGAAAAAAAAGAGATACAAAAAGTTATATAACTCAAAACTAAATAAATTATTTTAATCTTATTTCTTACTCACACTTTTTTAATATTTTAATAAGTCAATTCAAATAATAAAAAAATATTATATCAGTAGTTATATTACTAGTTTAGTAGATAGAAACTTTTTTTAATATTTTAATAAGTCAATTCAAATAAAAAAAATTATTATATCATTAGTTATATTAGTTTAATAGATAGAAAAAAACAATTAGAGCTTTCATAAAAGTTATGAAAGTTCAAAATGATAATTGATTAAAAAAAAATCTAAAAAAAAATGAAAAATCTCTCGAATCTCAAGAATTTATTCTTTTTATTTGGAAGATGGTACATATATAAATATATATAATTAGAAATCAAGAGATTCCCAAAAAATAAAATAAATATCTAAAATTTACCCCCTTTTCTTTCTTTTGTTCCTCCTTTCCTGCCCCCAATCTCCTAGCACACAAGGGAGTCAAAACAATTACAAATTTTTATCAATAAGAATCACTTGCATTTCTCTTGCTTGAACCCTAATCTCTCATTCATCAAATCATACTCCACATAAAAATTCTGCATCTGAAAATTCCCTAAAATCATCCCGGGCCCACCGACCCTCTCGGGGCCTGCCACCCCATCCGTGATCACCGACAAACACGCCACCTCACCACCATCACCGACAAATGCAAAGTAGTTCTCCACGGGTAGTGCCACGTCAGCACCACCCTTGAAATGCAACCTCAGTTGAGGAAACGACATCGTTTTAGCTCCGGAGACATTAAAACAAGGCTTCAGCCCGATCGCATCCTCAATTTCCTTAACTCTCTTGTAATCCTTAACTTGTGTAATAAACTCATCACTCAACGGCTTGAAAGCCTCACGTGCCATGAACGTGAACGTGGTCCCTGAGTCAATGATGACCCCACCATTGCCATCCTCTCCCGGCGACAAGTACTTGTACGGAACCTTCACATGGCGGCCGCCGACGGTGATTCGCCGGAGACCCAAATAGTAATAAACCGAGAAACCACTTTTGTCTTCAACCTTAGGGTTTTTAACAAATGGAGTGTACACCAAGGCACTGGTTTTTTTATCAGAATCTAACTGTTCTAAGTCAAGAACCAAAGAGCTGCTTTTTTTGGTGTCATCGTCGAATCTACGAGAGAGTAAACAGTAAGAGAACTTACTAAGACCAAGTTGGCTTGGTAAAGATGAAAGTCCACGACCAAAACCAGCAATTCCCGCGGGTTGGCGGGAAGAGAAAACGGAGCATCCGACAAGGAAGTTGGGTTTTGATAGGCTATGGAGATGGAGAGTTTCTGATAGTGCAATGCCTCCAGTTGTGCCTGATCCGTAGAAGATCACATAAGGTGGACAAGTTTGGTTGAGGCAGGAGTTAACACTACAGTCTTGATCACAGTGTATGTTTGTGTGGTGGATCCAAGAGCATTTAGGGTTTTTGCATCCGAGAAGCTTGGAAGATGCGGATTGTTTGGGGATAAAAGGTTGGATTCTTGATGATGAGGAGGAGGAGGAGAAAGAGCATTGCTTGCAAAGGTAATGAGAGGTGCAAGGGAACCAGACAATGTCACTGCCAGTATCCATGATGAAAGAGAGGGTTTGTGGTGGAGTGCCAAAGCTGAGAGAAATTGAGTAGCCTCCATAGCTATGAGAGAAGAGTGGTGTCGTGGTGGTGGTTGTAGGGGCAGTTTGGGGATTTTTAATGTGGCGGGCTCTTGCTAGGGAGGTGTTGACAAGGTGGTTCAGCTTTTGGTATTGATCTTGAAACGGGATTTGGTTTGGTTGGGGATGCTGTAATGGGATTGTTATGGAAGAAGAAATGAAGGGAAGTAAAGAGAAAAGAGACAGACAATAGAGCAAAGAAGAAGAAACAGAAACCATGGCTGTTTAGGTTTGGTGTAAAAAATATCGTTGATAAGGAGAAGTTTGTGGGATGGTGTCAGCTAGGTTAGGGGTGATAAAATTTGGGACTGTTACTGCTTTAATGTTCATCACGTCACAGCTATCCGTAGGTGCATGTCTTTAAGAGAGGAAAAGCCATACATCTAGCTAGATGCTAAAAGGCTATGCAAGGATAAGTTTATAACACTTGAGGAGGGAGATAAAAAAAATAGCACTTAAGGATAAGTTTAAAGACTAATCATTTAATCTTTCGCGTGTTAATTTCATCAAAGATTTTTTTTTTTTTTGATTTTTTATTGTTTGAATCTGGAAAGTAGCACTTAAGAAAATGGGTTTATATATATAAACCAAAAGGAACTTTGTTGATATATTAAAAAAACCAAAAGAAAACGAGACGTTGTTGATATATTTAACTTTTTCATGATAGCCATTAATATCTCTAAATTAGTGGATGAATTTCCATACTCCAACCATAATTTTAAATAATAGTCATGGCATAATATAGTGACTGTTATTTAACTAAATTCACTAAAATTATTATTGTTTTTTCATCATTATATAATATAAAATTTCGATATACATAAATAATGACAATACCAATATTATATAACAATAACAACCGTTATTTGATAAATGATGATTGCTATATTGTGGACAAAAAAATACTTTTAATTATTTATTTTAAAAAGAATTTATTATTATAAAAAAATAAACAAAAGCATAAGGTTACTATTTATTTTATTATTATAAATACTATTCACTTAGACTCAATGCACTATTTACATCATATTTAGATGTATTATTTATTTCATTATATAATGATATTTTTGTAATTTTTAAATATTTTGAAGATATTTATTATGAAATTTTTCATTACATTACTTTTCAGTTCTTCTTTTTTAAATATTTTTTTAATCCATAAATATTTTTTATTTGATTTTGATCTTTTTTTTGTTTTATTTTGATTGCTTTAATCCTTACTTTTTTTTCTCTAATTTTTTTAATTAAAAATTTTAAGACAAAAAGACGTTTAGGAAAAAATAATTTACAAAATAAGCTTTTAGCTAAAAAATATAGATAGAGATAAATAAATAATATTTTTTAAATTAAATATTTATGAAAATATAAAAAATAATCAATCCAAAAATTTTGATTAAAAATAATAAAATTAAATGAATTTTTATTTGATATATTTTAATAAATATAAAATATAATACAAAATATCAAAATAAAATAATTTTTTAAAAATAATTTATTCATTTTATTCTACCAGCAACATATAAGACGAGTTAAAAGACTAGTTTTAATACTAAAATATGTTCCTATTCGCAATCTAGGTGTGTGCCATCTAAAATTATGGTCCCAGCAGCAGCAGCTGTACTGGCACCGTTCGCACATGAAAGTGCAGTTCTATTCCTGTGGGTTGTGGGAGGGGTCCAGAGACCATAAAGCCCTCTTGGCTGTTTGTAAAATCATAGGCAATAGGCACATGCTCCTCCACCTTAGCATATGAACGTCATTCCCATCCTGTCTGCTTGCCTTGGCTTTGAGCAAAAAAGCAGAAAAGAAGACAAGTGTGTCCTTCCGTGGCTGCCCCCACCAGAGTTGACCTCTTCGTCTCTGGCAAATTAAATGCTTTTAGAGCAACTTTAAATAAATTTCTTTGGTTGGGCATACAGTTTTGTCAGATTTTAAAGAGCTTTTGGCCCACCTATGCTAATCTATGCATCTAAAGTTCTGCCGGGCAAGGTGCCCTTGGACTCTTGATTATATCAATTATTTTCTTTAAAGGCGGCTTTCATGGCTTCAAGACACCACCAACCATTGTCGTAAAAGCAAGGATATCTCATGTCAGCAAGGAAAATTTTTACATACTTGATGGAAATATAGAGGTGTTACAGTTTCCCTCTTCAAGACAGAATGATGTTTTAGGCGTAAATTTTGCCTAATTTGCCTTAGGTAGGGTAGATGAAGACAATATAGACAAGCTTTTGCAAGCCCTGGATCACAATCCTTGTGCATTACATTGCAAGTGCGGGTCTAAAACGCATGCATGTATTAAAAGCACGACCATAATTTGTTAGTTTCAACTCACAACTAGCAAGTTCATTTCTTGTACATCTAATGGGTCTAAATCTTCCATCACAAAACTCAGCAAGAGCATCAATATATTCCCAGCTTTATGAGGATATTTGCGTTTCTCTAGAATTTTCTAATGGGGTACCTTCACCATCTGAAGAAATGTTATGTAACTCGAATTACTTAGAATGGCCATTGGTCTACTGGTGTGATGGATCACAAGACAAAGCCATCAATGGTAAGCAAAAGTTCGAAGATCTCAATGGACAAACAGTCACATCTAGCAGTAACCCTTGAGAAAACATGCAATCTACAAAAACTGACAACTTTCATTAGGATAGAGGAAAAAAATAAAATAATTCCTCTTGCATCTCAATCAAATTACATACCCGAGTAAGAAATAGAGACTTTACTGCTGCTTTGCCTTCTTCCGTGCCAAAAACCGTTCTTTAGCTGCAGCTAGTGCATCTTGATTTCTTTTATGATGATCAGGATTTGGTTGATTAGCTGATGATTGTTCAGATGGATCTTTTCCTTCTGCTGAAGTGCCTGAAACTGGATGATCAGAAACTGGCTTAGGATCCAATGGTTCAGAACTTCTTCTTAGAGGGGAAGTTTCATCCTGATCAGCCTCTTTCACACTAGAAGACTCCGATGCAAACTTTGAGTCTGTCAATGCGTGACTTCTGTCAGAGGTTTTGCCAGCTACTTTATCATCCTGCTCCTCTGGCTTCCTAAATTCAGTTTGCTTCTCTTGCTTCTTGGCCACTATGTCTTTTGCACCAAGTGCAACATTTTTTCCAAGGTTAAAATAAAAGTCACTCAAGTCACTCTTCTTTGTAACCTTTAAAACAAGAAAATGTGTTCATCTCGGTTAGTAACTCACCAAATGACATTGCATGTTTTTTTATCAACACAAACATACAAGTTTTATCAAGTAATATGATCAACGCAAACTATATTAACATATATAACTTACATTTGACTGCTTATAAAACACACCACAGTATGCTAGGTCTTGAAACACGCCACAGTAAGCTAAGCCTTTAAACAAATCACAGTTGCTAAGCCTTAATAATTAATCTGGGCATGAAGCAATGAAGATGAAACTGAAGAACTACGGGGATGTTTGGTCCCATTACCTGCTTTTGGTTCTCTGTTTCAAGGAAAGCAAAAACTGCATGTTTAGCGTTTAAGTTTTTTCTTTTTGAAAGACCCTTTAAAAACCAATCTTGACCTTAGCCAGTCTCAAACTACTTTTATCAAAATCACAATTGCCATAGTAACCCAAGAACCCAGTTCCAGAAAACATCACCACCACTGCAACTAGTCTGGTTTATCTTGCAGGCAATGAAAAATATGTCAAACATCTAACTGGTCCACTTCATAACCCACAAATCACAAAGAACAGTTTTTTTAATTATTATTCCACAGAGAAAAGGAAAAATCAACAGAGAGACTTCTAAATAATGATTGGCAAAGCAAATGGAAGCAACTTTGATACTAAAACCTTGCAGGTGTATCATTATTTTTAAGGCAGTTTTGAGCTGCAGCTTCATGGGTATTTGTGGAGGAATGGGTTTTTAAGGGTCTGTTAAGTAGTGGTACTAGTGGTTGGTTGTCGAGGATCAATGGTTGGTGGTGCCATTTTGTGTTGGGGAAATGGGATTGATAATTTTTATGGACTGAAGATTGTAAACTGGTAAAGAGGTGTATGAAGTAAACCAAAACATGCAAACTAACTTTTATTGTGTCCTCAAAATTGCCATGTGCTTTCTTTTCCTTCAAACAGAAAACGAAAAGCAACAGTGGTGACAAACTCAGCAATGTATTGCACAAATGAAATTCATTGGCCAGTTATCTGACCTCTTCCATTTCCACAATTTCATTGCATCCTTAGCCCAACAAGCCTCAACATAAATCTTTGCTATTACAGTTAATGTTTTCTAGTTTGGGTACCCTTGAATCCACCATTTCCCTGAACAAAATCCTATTAAGTAGCTTGGTCCATCTTTATTCAATTTCATACACGATGCTGAACACAACCTGCATGTTTCTAATTGGTCTATTGCATCCAACTTGTATTGAACACAAACCAATTAGGCTGCGTATAGAGATTTCATCTCTGGCAAAACTACCCAATTGCTAATGCCAGCATATTCCCTAGCTTCAAGAAACATCTTTGTCAATAACAAGAATGTTAACGGTCACTTCTCCACCTACAAGCTACCTGTCTCTACTACAAACTTAACACCTCCTCAACCATGCCTAGTTTAGCATTTGCAACTAAGATAGAAGAATATGTAACCTCACCAGGCATTAAGCCAGTTTCTGGGCCAACTTCCAAATATATAATACCTGAATGATGAGGGGTAATAAACTTTCCTCCACCCAGAGCAAAGTCAGGCAGTTCCCGTTCGGAGGCAATAAAGTAATCTTGTGCTATGCTAATTAAAATGCATTGCTTTTAGGTCTTCTTTTTTTTTTTTTTTTTTTAATTCCTATCTGCCTCCAAAGTCAGATGTGGTAAGTTTTGTCGACTTTGGATTCATAGAGTTCTTGTTGTAGGTGTATCAAACACAATGAAGGAAATATCAAGTCATTAAAGTTCTTCCATAAACAGGACTGCAGTCCTAAAATCAATTTACCCAGTTAGTTGCACAAACATACTGCATATACTAAATCTCTCCCCTCAAGGGATTGAAGCCTGAGTCTATTAATAGAGAAGTCCTATGGATCTCCTAGAAATATTTTAACAACTATAACAAGCCTTCTATATTCTACATCATAACAGCTGTGAGAATCCAGCACTAGACTAAACTTAATTTGAGCCACTTTAGAATAGAACCTTTTTATGTTACTCTAGGCACATTAATCCAGACCTTGATGCATTACTTCCTTGGAGCTATAACAAATCCAGAGTGAAACTTAAGCTTGACTACTCCAGAATCATTTCATGACTGACATTATCTCAAAAACAAAAAAACTCCGACTCCTTACCCTAATTCATCAAGAACCCACATAGCAATTTGAGATCTCTATCGATATTAAGAAGTTTCATTATTCATGCCTTATTGACAACTAGCTTCAAAAACGTGTCAAGAGTATAAAAATAACAGTATAAACAAAAACATTCACATGAACAGACACAATACTAATAGCGTTTATGAACCAGCAAATCTAGAGTCACTGAGAGCATGGAAAGCATTAACAGAACAAAGACGACTCAATTAAGAGATAAAAAGAAATGAGGAGCTAAGCAATAACAATGTGCAGCAGAATCAAACTAAGAGCAGAAACAGTTATACATACATCATCTTTCTCCTCTTTAAGTTCACGCAAACGCTCTTCCTCCATCCATTTCTCCTGCTCAGCAAGTTTCCTCTTATAAGCAGCTGTAACAAACTTGTCCTTGTCGGCATAGAGGTGGTCATCTTTACTTCTCTCTTTAGCAAGATTTTTCTCAAATACTACTTCATGTTGTCGTTTTCGTTCTTGTGCCTTCTCCATCAAAGTCTTGATATATTTAGACTGAAATAGCAAAACCAACATTATCATCACTGAATTTTCCCTTATTAAACACCTACTCCTGAAGCATTGCTCCCTCGCTAACATGGTACTAACTACCGTCAAGGAGCAATGCACCAGGAGTACCTAATAAATTCTGGGTTAATGCAATCAAAATACCTCTCTCTTTTCACGATCTTGGGCTTTAGGCTGAGCAATTTTCTGCTTCATCTCATCATACACTCCGTCGTAATCAAACACTGACGGGTCTTCTTCTAATGCTTTCTTATGCTGTTCTTCAATCTTAAAACCAAAAGAGAACAATTATTTCTCAAAAATATAGGATTCAATAAGTCAAGAAAACTGAATGAAAAAGCTTAGTAATTACATCTTTTAGAGATTTGTTCTTGGCAGCCTGCCGTGAAATCTCCTTCTCCACGTTGTCGTCGTCGTCCCCGACGCCGAATCCAAGCGCCTTAGGAGGCGGAGGTCTTGGTGGCTTTTTCTGCTGTGGTTGTCTTAGCTGCAATCCAAACTTCTTCATTTTTTTCTACCGAGGGCCGGTATGGAGCTGGGCAATTAGCTTTTTGATCAGAGATTTCTTGTATCCGACGATGGTACCGGAAAACAGTATCGAAGAATTTGAAATCCTGGAGTTGGATTGATTCAGTGGAAAAAAATTCAATCTTTCTTTCAGAATGGGTTTAGTTTAGGGATTTTCTCTTAACAAAGAAACATCTGACAATTAAATTTAAAAGTACAATTCTACCCTTAAGGCATAAGGAAACTTTGCTATGTTTATTTTAGTAACTGTATTTTAATGATGCTACACGCTAGTCCTGTTGATTTTGAAAATTATAAATTGGTGCTTTGATCTTTGTTGACTGTTAGTTAGAAAAGTTGTAAATGTCCAATCTCCAAACTATCCTTTTAAAGTAACGGGGATGGAGGGTTTGCAGAGAAAATTTTAAATTCGTATCTCTCACTTCAAAAAGCGAATTAATTAGTCCTTCTAGTTTTTAAAATTAATTATTTAATCATTTTTATTATTTTTAATTTATTTTGATTTTTTAAAAAAAGAAAAAAGAAAAAAAATAAGTAAAAATATTATATGATTTATGAAAAAAAGATATTTTATAAAATAAAAAATATTAAATTAATTGTGCTCAATAATAATTAAAATAAATAAATAATTAGCTTTTAAGACTAAAAAGATTAATTAATTTGTTTCTCTAAACGATGAACTAATTTATAATTTACCCAAAGTTTGCAATAGCAAAAATAGAGGTTTAATTTAATTAGATGAAAAATTATTATGTATAATGAGAGTTAAATACTCTCATTCCTGACATAACAATGGAGCATGTAATAAAAACGATTTATGGATTCAGTTTTAAAAAAGAAAGAAAAAAGAAAAATTACGAATATAAATCTAATTGTAAATAAAAATGTTATTGATTTTATTCCATGTTGATAGAAATAAATGGCTCATCTTCCACTAGTGTAAGAATCGAAATCCTATATTTATTTTATCTTGTGTAAAATTTCTGATTATTTTTAAAATATGAATGAACATAAATATTTCATAACGTTTTTTTCTCAAATGGTTACCATTCTTTTTTTTTTTTTCGTCGACCTAACAATGTTGCATTTCTTATTAAAAAAAATTGATCAAGTGAGGTATGTTAATTTTAAATGTATATTTTTTCTTAATTTCATAAAACATTCGTTTTTTATCTATCTAGACTTAAAGCATCTTATTAAAAAAAAAAAAAACAGGAAGGAATATCAATAAAATTTGTGTCAGCATGCTAAATAATAAATCTGAAAAGAAAAGTCAAAGCATTTTAATACCATAAATAATTTCGTTTTGCAAAAAATATTTTATAAAAAAATGTGTTTCTGGAGTTTTTGTGTTTAATTCTAATAAAATATTTTATTGAAAAATCGATCACCTTAAAGTATTATACTATCAATTTTTAAACTTAGTTTATTTTTTAAAAAATATTTTTTAACTCATAAAGTTCTATAATATTTAATAGATGATAATCCATTTATAATATTATCCAATTATTTCAACTACCATCGACAATAATTTCATCACTGTCATTTTATCATCACAGTTTTTACTTTATCATTTCAACTATGTTTATATTTTATAATCATCATCTCGATTACTTTATTACTACATAACAATCACTTTTATTTCAATCATCATCACTTTCATCAGTATTATCACGACAATCACCATTATTATACGATATTGTTGTTATTATTATCATTATTATCCTTCTGCTATTTGCACATTTTTCAACTACTATATGCTGTTTCTTAAAATATTTTACACAGAACAAACGTACTCCAAATAATCTTGTGTCGTTATAAAACGGGGACATCTTTGTTTGTGGACAATTGCTCTTAATAGTAAACTATATACAGGGATCAATTTAATCAGATTGGAATAATAGAGGGACCCCCAGTGATATTTATCCAATTCTATCTAGTCTCCACTCAAGTCGAGCTGCCACAGTCCCTTTCAATCCTAGCATCGTCTCTCTAAAGAAAAAAAAAAAAAAAAAAAAAAAAAAAACCAGAGGAATATGGAGAACGGAAGAGCAGGAAGAGAAGTGGTGGTCTCCGCCCTCCAGTTTGCTTGTACCGATGACATCTCCACTAATCTCGCCACTGCTGAAAGGTCCTCTTACTTCCTTTTTCCTCCATTTGTTCTACGTATGATTTTAAAGGAGCCAAGTTCTAATCTTTTTGAGAACTGACAAGGAATTTTCTCATGCATCAAATGGGTTTTTTCAATCCATATCTAGGAAAAAATTTAGCTTTGTTTTTTCAAATAACTATCAATCCTCTTCTGTTCAGGTTGGTTAGAGCTGCTCACAAGAAGGGAGCAAACATTATTCTCATTCCGGTATTGAAGTTATGCTGATATCTCTTTGCTAAATGTGAAGCTACAACTTAGAAGAGCAAATAAAAAGAAATATTATCTTCATTTCTTAAATGAAATATCAAGCTTTTTAGCAGTTTTCACATGATTGACGAGAGACTAGCCTCTTGTCACGGTATTTTAAAGGAAATGAAAGTGAAATTGCTTTCTAGTTGCGAAATTTGGAAGTTGTTAGTTGTTTTGTTGAGGGAAGGAGTTTAGGTCTAAGATTTTTGTGGTTATGAAGGTAGTTTAAGGTTAAACTATAAGCTGCAGAGGTGAACAAAGAACCTGACTTTGGAATGGAATTGGATGGTTGCCTGCTTGGGTGATAGCTTACCGTGGCTGTGATCCAAGAGTGGAAGGGGATGGTTAGCCATACTAAGGTGGAGACAGTCTAAGAAACCTATCGATTGTAATCGTGATGTTATGGAGTTTTTCTCACTGCTGCCTCTCTATGTCTTTCTAGGGGAAAAGAAAGTGACTACGAAGCAAAACTCTCAACTAAAACTTGGTCTTTCTGGAAAAAAGAAAGTGACTATGAAATAGGTTAATCCAACTTGCTGGAGAAAACTGGGAGAAGGGGTCTTGCTAAATATATCAATTTTGTCTATGTTGTTTATACAAGATCATGGTGGTATTTGTCGGTCTATTCTGGAGGGGGTGGGGTAGGGGGTATTAACAGCGATTTCTGAAATGTTGCTGGCCTTTGTGTATTATTAATTGAAGAGATTCCATAGTTGTAGGATTTTTCAAAATATACATTTCCATGTTGTTCAAGATGTCAACTTTATGACTCTCATTTCCAGGAACTATTTGAGGGACATTATTTCTGCCAAGCTCAAAGAGAAGATTTTTTTCAGCGAGCAAAGCCTTACAAGGGCCATCCTACTATTCTGAGGTAAAAGGATCGGAAAACAATTTTTCTTCTTTCTGGTTTATTAGGTGGCCAGTTGCTCTCTCTGCACTACACAACCCTGCCAGGATTCCTCCATCCCATAACATCTTCCGTTCCAATCTCATTTAGATTTTGAACCTAGACTATGAAGTGGGGTGTCTCCTGTGGGACCAAAAATATTTAGCAGCTTAAATTATTTTGCTTGTTGTATTTCTTGGTGCCATGACTGTTGTCTTAACTCCTACTAAGGAACAAAAGTTAAGCTTTTTAGTTCCAAATCCATTTTGGTATGAATTGATTTGCTTTGTGCATGCAATCTGCAGTATGCAAAAACTTGCAAAAGAGCTGGGTGTCGTTATACCAGTTAGCTTCTTTGAAGAGGCAAATAATGCCCATTACAATTCCATAGCCATAATTGATGCTGATGGAGCCGACCTTGGGCTCTATAGAAAGTCTCATATTCCAGATGGACCAGGTATATGGAAAGCTGAATATTTTTAATTGCTTGAATCTGTCTGCATCGCATATGGTTTCTTTTATAACTGTGTTTTTTTATTTTCCTTTTTGACTTCAGGTTACCAGGAAAAATTCTACTTCAATCCAGGCGACACTGGATTCAGGGTTGGTTGCTGGATGTTCTCTATCTAAATTTAGTGCTTTTCTGGAACCTATTAAATTTGACTTGATTTTGTGTTAATTAGGTTACTTATTTCACTGTTGAATAGGTTTTCCAAACTAAATTTGCAAAGATTGGAGTAGGTATGAAACATTCCCCCTTTTTGCCTTTTCTTCTGGGCATGTTTATTAGATATTTTGGTTTCTTTTTACTTAATTTTTTGGCTGTGCTGGTGAGCTATTCAGACAAAATGACCTGCTAACTGGATTCAACCTGATGATGGAATTCCTAGTTAATTCTATTGCCTTAGTATCCATGATGAGTAGCAGAAACATTTCTATTTGTCATTTTTCACATAAAGGAATTACATAATGGAAAATCTGAAGCAGCTGTTTTTTTTTTTTTGTTTTTTTTATAACGTCAGCAATATGCTGGGATCAGTGGTTTCCAGAGGCAGCTCGTGCTATGGCACTGCAAGGTGCTGAGATATTATTGTACCCCACTGCTATTGGTTCTGAACCTCAAGATGAAGGACTTGATTCTCGTGATCATTGGAAACGAGTTATGCAGGGCCATGCTGGAGCTAATTTGGTGAGTTGCTGTGCTGGTAGGATGGCGATTGTATTTTGTTTGGTTTGTCATGCTGATTTTAACTTGGTTTTTCTATCCTGATCCTTATTTACACATCCCTTCTCCGATGATTTTACCTTTGATGTTGTATGGTTCACTTCATTTAGATACCATCTCCTTGAGACTCCCGCAAAGTCTCTATAGTGCACTTTTCTTATTGAATGCTGCCATAAAAAAGGTCTTTGATGTGTGTTCTGATGAATTCAGGTACCTCTAGTAGCTTCAAACCGCATTGGAAAGGAAATAATCCAGACAGAGCATGGAAACAGTGAGATCACATTTTATGGAAACTCCTTTATAGCAGGTATTCAGTTATCTGATTTGTGGGCAAAGTCATCTAGTCATATCAATGAACATGTAACAATGGTGAAAGTAAATTTAATGTAAATGATCTGACTGACAGGACCAGCAGGGGAGATAGTTGCAGTGGCTGATGACAAAGAGGAAGCTGTTCTTGTTGCAAAGTTTGATCTAGAGCAAATCAAGTCCAAGAGACATAGTTGGGGGGTATTCCGTGATCGACGTCCAGATTTATACAAGGTTCTTTTGACATTAGATGGCAGTAATCCCGTATTGTGATTTAATACCCCTTATTCTATTAGTTCCTTGTAAACTCTTTCTAATTTATTTCCCCGGATAAGAATTATATCTCTAGACTGAGCAAGAGAAAAGGAGGGGTAACGATAGATAAAATTTTAGCTTGAATAAACTTGAGCTCCTTATCTGCTGCGTGGTTCATGGAACATCATTCTGTTATCTCCTGTTCTTTTTCCTTTTCTTTTCCTTTGTTGTAGCATTTTGTTTTGCTTTATTTTATTTTTTTCCCCCTTTACATGTTTCGGTCATAATCTGCTACTGGAAGACTGCTATATTTACATAGCAATGCAGAATGATAGAGAGTGGTCGTAAGTGTTAATGACCTTCACATTTTGTCATCTTCATCCAAGTTGAATTTATTAAATAGGTTCCCAGTATTTTATTTTCGAGACTTCAATTGACAGGGTGTTTGTATTTGTGTGCTTTGTGAAATTTTATGGTTTTTGTGGGTGCCTGCATTTTTCTCTTTTTGATAAATAATCCTAGGGTTCATGTTCACTTACACGAGTGATGTTAGTATTCTTACTGCTTTACTGGTGGGATTGTTCAACTGCTTAAACAAATAATCAGAGCAGTGTTCTAGTAGCGTGAAACCATAGTCCATGTGGAGGAAATCACCTCATGATTTTAGATGGGATAGATTTTGGTCATGTATTCCTCCTAGGAGCTAAACCACACCAACCACTTGCCAATCATACTCATGTGATTAGTAGAGCTGTTGTAAAGTATCAGAGCTACAGATTTAGACTTGCAGGTACCTGTATGTTTGATCCACGTAGCTTCTAGCAAGATAGAAACATATTTCGTTCCGTTTGGATTTGTGATGCAAGTTTTGCCATGTGTCAGGCAATTTGGAAGGAATCTTCTGTTTCCATGCCTGGAATATTTCCAATCCAACATATTTCTAGAAGTCTCTCTCTTTCAACATCTTTCATGTAGGAAAAAGCTTGCACCAAGAATCCGTTCTGGATCACAACGAATGGGTCTGGGGCCAAAACTCATGTTATTTTGGATTTAAGTTGGTTCCTTAAGATGTGCTTTCTCCTTTTCTTTTGTCTAGGTGAGCACTGAGCAATCATTGTCAATTGACACAGATCATTTCACACTTAGCTGTTGTAAGCTGAATGGTGTATTGTTACCATTTTCTGAGTTGAGCACAGCTCAGATATATGACTCAGTGACTGTCTTTCACGTAGTTACATGTGGAAGGAAAATTAGAAACTAAGTAGGTATTCCCATCACAGGTCATCCAGTTAAAGGTGTAGTTTTGGTCACAGGTGCGGTCAAGAGTTTTGAAACTTCTTCATTTCTACCTATCTCATCTCCTCCACCCAAATTAAAAGAGATGATGACTTTTATGTATCAGTCACAATCCACACTTTCCATCGTCCAACTACTGAAGAAGGTGCCTGATGTTATTGAGGTGAAAGTCAATGTTATTCGCTTTTTCATCCTGGTGTCGCCATATTCTTATTTGACTGTTTAAGTATGCTGAACCAGTGTAGTCCATAACTCACTGCAAATAACGGCTACTTTGGAGTTCCGAAGTTACTCTTTTATCTGCTTTTAACTTCTTCTGTTTTCCCTTCCCACTTCCATGGATCATCTGGGTTCAACATTCCTGTCTTGTTTGACTTAGCACTTGATTTCTCTGTCTTGACTGTGAGACCCTGGAATCCGGGAGGACTCACTGATTTTTATTAGCCTGGTGTTACTGGATTTTGGGGCCATTATACGTAAGCAGGTTTTTGTTAGCAGACAAGGACTGTTTTCCCAAAAATATGCTAGAAGCGAGGTCTGGTTTGGTGATGCATGTTTTTACGAAAGTGCAAGTTTGGACTGAAATAACATCAATTTGGCATTGGCCCTTTTAAGGCTCGTTTTCGATGGTTTGGATATGAATCCAAAAGCACCGAAAAAGCATCAGTTAGGCTGCAACCATGCATTATATTTTCCTGCCTTCTAAATATTTTATTTGATGTGACCTTTTGCTCAAACTCTCTTTCTAGTTGAATGTTAGGCATTTCATTATCTTTTTTTTAAAAAAATAAAAATTTCCACTCATTTTAGGTGATAGGAGTAGAATCAAATGAGGTTTTATAGAGCATTTCATTATTTGGTGAAGGCATTAGTGACTATTTGTAATAGGAGGGAGATTAAATGAAACCCAGCTTAGAGTTTCGGATTAGAGATTGCTGATGCTAATTGTTATTCAGCCAACTAAATTTGCTTTGCAATACTGTAAAGATTATGGATGCTTTGACAACAAATACACTGAAAAGTGATAAGGAGGGAAATTTTCATCCTTGAAATGATCTGAAATGGAGCAGAAGAGGGGATTATAGTACAAATTGTCAGGTGATAGTTTTCTCCTCTCTACTTATTTGTAAATGGACCACAAAAGCAAGAAGAGTTTTTTTTGTTTTTTTTTTGGTTTTTTGTTTTTTTAATGGTGAACAAAACTGTTCCTATCTGTGAAACTGTCCTTGGCTTCATGTCTTCTTCTTTAAGCCTTTTTTTTTCATCCATCATCATCATCGTTGCCTTTTTCCCCGTCATATTCTTCTTCTGGGTCGTCTTCATAGTCTTCAACTTCTTCCTCGTCTTCATAGTCTTCAACTTCATCAATGGTTTCATCAGTCGGATGAACAAACTGCAGAGTCAACCTCCCATCTTCTCTACATGCACGCAAAAACTCCAAGGTGGGCATCCTCACTTCTTTAAGGACGAACCTACCATCCTGCCTATAAGATTTAAAGATAACCCTAGGCTTTCCACTGTTTCCGATACAGGAAATTGGCGGAGGGAATGCCCGTCCAGCTGATCTTGGCCTGCTGAGATCCTCTGTTGCCGAATGCCTTGTGATTCTTATATTCTCCTCCTGGCATCGCCAGTCTTCATTTGTATCATTCTTCAAGTCTTCAACATCATCAGAACTTTCAAAACCAAGTCCCTCGGTGCATAGTTGCAAGCTCTCATAATTCATTCGAGAAAAGCTATCACAATTGCTGTGACAACCTGTGTACTGATGGTTATTCTCTGTCGTGGTGCTCGAGACACAGTCCAATATCGATTGGCTTTTCTTGACCTCCAAGCCATCGTTCTTGTTGAGTCTCGTTGTTCCAGCTTCCAGATTCGAATCTAGGAAAGATGAAGGAGAGGAGAAGGATGATGAAGTTGCCAATATCGAGGAAGAAGACGACGACGAAGATGGTTGCGGGTTCTCTTGGAAATGAAGCTCGCCGAATATTTCAGTTACGGAGGATTGCTCCATTGGTTTTACAGGCTTGATTTGGTTCCATGGTGAGAGGGATTCAAGCAGTGTAGAGCTTTCAGTTAATGGGTTTTCAAAGATATGTTGGAGACTTCCACAGGCAGCCATCGATAGGTTTTGCCTCACTCCATCTAGTCTAAGTATAAAGAAACATGAGCTTTTCTTTTTCCTTTTTATTTCTTGGTGGGAGGTAGAGACAAAGGGGGAGATAAAGAAGCACGAGATTGGCCTGGGGACTGGAAAGAAAAAAATCTAAAAGATGATGCTTCTTGTTCTTTTGGTTAGGGCTTATGGCATCTCTTCCATTGGAGAGGAATAAGGACGGGTGGTTTTGAAGCTAGGTCGAAATTTGGTGGTCATAAATAAATGTATCCATGCAAGAAATTTCCTTTTATTTTCTTATGAGTAACTAACCCTAATCTTATCATCGAATATTCTTAAATTATCTAATTCATTTCTCGAAAATTCTAACAAGTAAATATCTTCCCAAATTTACTCCCCCAATAATGTAGAAAAATCTCAAAATAAAAATTGATAAGGAAATAAACTTTATTAGTTAAATAAAAAGAATTCAAATCCAAAAATATGAATAGAGGAACAAATAACATGTTTATGATTTTTAACCTTAAATAAAAATTTGATTTTATTAGAGGCACTATTTATTTTGAGAATTAATATTTTTTTAAAAAAATTATATATAACATTTAATAAAAATTCAAAATAACACATACGTTATATCTCTTCTTTTATCACCACCGACACTATCATTGTTATAATACATATGTTACATCTCTTCTTTTACTACCTCCGACACTATCATTGCTACAATCATCTTTGTTGTGTTTATTTATTGATAAAATTATTTTTTAATTATTATTTTTATTTATTTTAAAAATCAAATATTAAAATTTTAATATTTTATTACCATTTCAAAGAGAGTTTTTTTTTTTTTTTAATTTCTTAATTACTATTTCATGCCACGAGGAGACCTTTTCTTGTCTTCGTTGGGCAACAATGCGATTTTATGCAGATTTCAATCATAGCATGGCACTTGACAGTGCCATTTTGCTGTACAGACAATACTGATGTTGATTTGGTTGGTCTATTTTATATATTTTGTCACCACACATCTTTATCGGTCCACCATCTCAGCAGATAATTTATTTCTTTTTTCTTTTTTGTCACCACCTTTAAGCATCTAACTTGTCATAGAGATTTTAACATAAATGGCACAAAAAATATAGACCCAAATCGTTGTGTTTTATTTTTATTTTTATTTTTATTTTTTTGGTTTATTGGGAGATTCATAGTTCTTGGACACAATAAGAGGTAGCTATCATTCATTAAATAATAACCAAATAAATTGACATTATTAGGATTCAAACTTGTTTTATCAGGAAAAAAAACTGCCCGATACATAATCATTTAGCTGTAAAATGATTGCTTTTAATCATAGACTACCATGATTAAGTAAATGACACAAAAAATATAGATCGGAATCGTTGTTTTTTATTTATTTATTGGGAGATTCATAGTTCTTGGATTACATAACGAGAGGTAGCTATTATTCATTAAATATCAATGGCTATGAGATTCATTGCTCTTGGATTACACAATGAGAGGTAGCTATCATTCATTAAGTAAAAACCAAATAAATTGATATTAACAGGATTCAAACTTGTTTTATCGGAAAAAAACTATTCGATACATGATCATTAAGCTTTATCCATGTGTGTCAAAATGATTGTTTTTAATCATAGACTACAATGATTGAGTAAAATATCAATTCATTAACGTTAATTCCCTACTACCTTGGTGTGTTTGTATTCTAAAGTTAGGTCAGATTGTTAGCTAGGAGTAATGGTGGTTGCGGACAAAATCTTTTAGGGAAGGAAATAAAAGGTGGGAAATGCCTTTGTTAGCATCATTATTCATTACCACTTCCTAATTTCCATAATTAAGCTTTAATACTATCTAAGAAAATACTAAATATTTACAACAAGATTAGAAAGTTTTGATCACCCTCCAAGTCCTAATCAAAGCTGACTCTGCAATATTATTTGGAGCAAACCACAAGGTCCACAACCAAGACACTATGAGGCCTCCAAGTCACTATAATTTTTATAGCATTATAGCCAGCTATTATCACTGGATTCCCTGGACATGTCCAATCCTGTTCAGGAAATGATTGGCTACTATCCTTCACTTTCAAGTAGCCTATCTTCATCTGGATATGGTCTATCCTGGCATAATAGTGCCAATCCATAGGCAAGTAGCTCCCGTTCTAACCATAGACTGCCATAGTCGTGTGTGTTCGTTTGCCACAACATTTTACTGGTCAGTAGCTTTTGATAAGCACTGCCACATCTAAAATCTGTGTATTCTGATTTTAGTATAAGTAGCTACTACATCTACTGCCACAAGGACTAAATCCAACATAAATGTGGACAAAAACAGAAGTTTTCAACAACTAAACGATGATATAAAAGACAAAGTAGCATAATGGTGTAGCTTCGACATTGAAAAGGGAGTAGATGTTGGATTCTGAAAAGAAAAGGGAAGGGGAAAATATCCGAGATGATAATTGCAGAAGATTAACAGGCTAACATCAGAAATTACATCATTAAACGTCAATGTTACTCCAGTGTCAAGGAAATACGGCTGTAATTTTTAAGTAGAAGATGTTAGTTCCACACTAGTCATCCATCAAATTGGAAAACCACCCAGCAAACAGAAAGCATGTGAACAATTACAAACATACTCATTGTTTCCAAATCAAAGATACATAGCCTCCTTCTCGAGGAATCAGTTGGGACCAAACCACTTTTGGATATCCTTCATCGCCAAGCTTCAATACGCTCCGACCTTGAGTCTATACAGCTACCAATTCCTCGAGTCTTGTCGGTAGGCGGTGTTAAATGAAGTACAGATGACTGCCTGCTAAATTTTCCAGGACTCTTTCTGAGACTTGAATTACTTGATTGGCCTGCGCTGCTCTTCCCGGTACCTGCTTGAACACCAGCCTTAACTCTACGATCGTATGTGTCATTGACTAAGTCAACCTCACTGGCAGTCTCGCAGGAACGATCTCCATTGGCAATTGCAACAGAGGTTGCATAACTGAGGTCTTCATCAGTGACGTTGCTTTGACTGGAGTTGTAGGAACTTTCTACAACAGGTTCTTCAGCCATGAAGGCTTGCTCAGTTGTTTCATTTTCAACATCCCTATCTCTAGTGCAGGACAGCGAAGGGCTCCCGTGACCGTTGTCATCAAATGGCTCAAGACGTGAAGAAGGTGTCAGCTCCACCACAGAATCCTCTCTCTCTCGCAGTGTCCTTAGGATAAGTGTCTTGAGGAAGTTCATCACTTGGACAGCATACATTAATGCAGTCAAGGGATCTGCCATCTACAACAAAATTAAGGCAAGGGGCACATCAGCACACCAACAATTTCCCAGTCTGCAGCTTTTTTCTGCACCAAACTAATTCAATCAATTGTCATATACTGCAATAGAAAAACCATTAGTAATTAACTACGTCTCTGACTGATCCATTACCTGTGCCCTTACATGGCAGAGTACAAGTATGTAGCACCTAGAGAAATAATCAAAGAAAAAGATGAAAAGGAAAGTGGGAGTTTTACCAAACTCTAGATTAGCTTCACTAAAATCAAAATAAGCTCTAATCTAAAGAAAAACAAGGTGAATCATTTGAATTCAACAAACAGCATGCACCAATCAGATTTAGACAAACAAGAAAAAATATTGAAGTTCAGGAATGTCCAAACAACATTAGACACTTACTTGAGTCATGTTCGGCGCAAAAACTGTGGCTACGTTGTGTGCATTCATCTTGTTCAGGTGTTCTTGTTGGACAACATCAGCCATCAGATTGACAGCCCAATCTAATAGAGCAGCTTCCGTTGGAGGTAGATTTCTCGCAAGATCAGCACAATCTTCTTCTGTTCGACATTCTATTACTTGTTCAGGTGATAAAGAATCCAGAACCCCTGTTGGAAGCTCTCTAAACCAAGCCTAGACAATCGGTTGCACTTCAAGTCAGTACAGCTATGCATTGAATGCAAAACAAATAAAAGAAGTCAATGCTGAGACAAAAGGCAACACTTTCTACCAATGGCACCCCACCCCAAATACAGAAGGCAGAATATACTAAACCATGAAAAGAAGATGATACGATCAATACAACCGGATTGCAGATGGGATGATGGCAGTGAAATGGGGCAGTCACAGTGCAGCATATAGTGACAGTGATGATGTGGAACAGAAACTAGAAATTGGGATGGTAATGGTAGCAAGAAAAAATTGCAGGACCCATGGTTGTAAACAATCTTCACATAAAAGCTTGATAATGAAGTACCGTTGATCCAGGTTTATTGAAATGACTTTCAGAAAATAATTTAGTAAGAAGATGAGTTTTTTTGAACTGTAAATGGCATGGAGTAGAACCCTTTTGCAGCCTTATATTGGTTAGCCTATTCTGCAGCACAAACAAGTACCTCATAGCCAATATGTACAATAATCACAGCTTTCTAGATAGATTACAGCCCGAATGTGCAGTTTCTGTATACAATATCATACTGATAAGAGTAGCTTCCGGCAATTGACAAAGGATCTATATAATAACCAGATCGTCACCAATTTACGGGTTTCATAACTTTTAGAATAAAAGTTAATTTAATTTGTAGTGCCTTACACAGATTTCTTCTACTTTTGCTCCCCACCAAGAAAAAAATTGATTGGTGGTTACAATTTTCTTCTATCAGCTTAATTGAAACAAACACATAGCTCACAAGGATGTTGCATGTGTGATCTACAGGCTAGCATTTCTTCCATTTTTTCTCTTTGTTTCACTATCTTCAATGAATATGTAACTTTTCTTCACTATTAATGTGCGATAACTCATAAGCAGGTGCATAATGGGGAAATCATCTGAGAATAATTTGTGTTGCTATACCTTGATAAGCCCTGCCAGACAATGTACATCAACCCCTTCTGGTACCACCCCACCATTCAGTTGCTCCCTAACATACTCCTCCTGACTGTTTTCTGCAGCAATTCTGAAAATCCCTTCAGCCTGAATGCAATAATTAGTGATTTGATTATGACCAGCATAATCAAAATATAGTGAAATCCAACAAATTACAAGTAAAACAAGCCCCAAGTTACATAAATCAGACAATTTTACCAAAGTTTTCTATTTGATCCCAATTGCCCCATCTTTGAGTCTGCATAATGATGCTAACAGAGAAAATGACAAGGTGATGTACCTGCAAGCCTCCTTGAGCATACAAGCGCCTTTGCATTAGCAAAAGAATTGTTGGCACACTATTCCCTCTCGAGTCATATGACAACTGCATAGATTCTGTGGAAACTCCAAAGACAGTTGCACTGCATAATTAAAAAATTCAAATCAATAGGCAAAGGACAAGGCAGCAATCTTGCGAGTTAAATAGTTGCCTGCTTTTAATTGGCATGATGTAAAGCTCAATAAATGGGAACAACTTAACAAACATGGCTTCCAGAGACAAAAGGCTTGTCAAGTGACTTATTGTTGGAAAATTTTACTTGAAGGTGCCATAGGTGTTTGTTTAGACTAGCAGTGAAACAGAACAACCAACATGTTACATCCTAGCATGAATCTATCTTGCAAACCAATTATGTGGGAAATTTATTAACATACGCGCATACACACACACACACAACTTCAACCACAATCAAGGCACCAGTGCAAGTGATCAAGCAAGGGAAGGGGTCATCTGCTCCTTTGTCATTGTCAAGTTGTGAATAACGATGGTTTTCTAATTTCTATTACTAACATGAAACAAAAAGAATTTAGTTCTACAATCAAGAGGAAAACAAGACTTCCATCTGCAGCAGTTAGAACTAATGAATGTTGTAGTGGTATCAAAGTTTAATAATACTCTGTAATATGAAATTGGTTAACTTTTTAAACTTTTTTTGGGAACTGAAATAACATCCTTCCATCTCAAGGGCTACTTTAAACAAATTGGCCATTCTGACTTTCTATGAAGGCCAAGTATAGAACATACACTCCCTTAAGCAAATGAAACTTGGCTCCAGAAATCAAGCATTTGCAGAATGGTCCATGAAGAGATTCTAGGCATCAATCCATGCAGAACTAAGTTGAAAAGGAGTGGACTTTATATGGAAAGTTCAAGTTTTGTGGATTCAAATAGCTGGCCAGCAGCGATACCTCATTCCAAGAATATAGTGCGTCAAAATAAGAGGGGGAAGAGGAGTGGTCTGCCACTTCTCCCCAAATTTGGGGAGTTGACAAAAATGGAAGTAAAATATATTTTACAATATAAATCGCAGATAATGCTACCCATGTTTGATACAGCTGATGGTTGCTTACATGCTCAGATCCATGATTTCAAATAACACCAATATAAAAGATGGGATAAGAGCAAAATCTTATAGGTCAAATTCCCTTATTTGTTTATTGCTACAAAACTTTTCAGTTGAATCTCTTCAATTTACTTATTGGTTCCAGGAATTGTTCCTGCTGCAAAACTTTACATTTGAATTCTTTTTTGCTTTTTGTTTTTCTTTTTTTTTTCCCAGAAAATGGAACTCCAGAAAAACATCAATCTCCAATGGAAAGGAAAAAAAATCAAAGAAATTAGTTATAAGAAAACCCTCAGCTTCAAGACTGGAAAAAAATCGAATCCATCACTTGGACACAACAAGCTGGAAAACACCACAGCATGCAAAGAGGAGAGAAAAAAAAAACCAACTTTAACACAAAAAAATCTTCCACAAAAATTAAGAAGTTCAATTAGATGGCCAAAACCAACCCCAGAAAAAGAAAATCAAAAGGACCAATGAAAAACAGAAACTTTCACCAATTAACTGCTAAAATTCAAATTCATGAGAACTGAATTGGCAAAAACCAAAGAGAAGATCAAAGGAGCAATAGCTTACCAACAAAACCAAGAAAATTAATAATGCCAGGAATTGAAATAACATAAAAAGCCCAAAATATATAAAAATAAAGAAAACCCAAGAACATTTTGATTAAAAAAAAAAAGAAAAAAACACAATGTACCTACCTAGCACTGGGAGGCCTCCTGGGGACTTCAGGCTCAAACTCCACAGGCAAACCCAAGAACCCATTAAATCTATCAAAGGTAACATGAGCCACATGGCGCACATTGGATGGCCAACCAATCTCCATACTAGCACAAAGTTCCCTTCTATCACTCTTACAAGCAACTAAAGACTTCCTGAAAAGTGCCACAAGAAGAGCCAATAAAGAAAGCTGATCCCTTTGATTCTTTTCTCTTTGCTTCACCAATTCGTCATCATTCTCATCGATAGCATCTTGTGTTGAAGGAGATTGTGGGGGTATGCAAATCACAGAAGAGGAAGAGGAAGAAGAAGAAGTTGGTGAAGGAGAAGAAGGGAAATGTGAAGGGGAGTGAAGGACTTCAGTCATGGCTGGCAATGAAAAGGTCCTATCTTTCTTTCTTTTTCCCTTGAAATATTAAAATTAAAAAAAAAACAATAAAAGAAAGTACTTTTCTTGATTTTTCAAGTCTACTCTTTAACAAAATAAGATTTGTTGTTGAAAGAAGTTTTCATAGAAAGAGATTTGTGGAGTTGGATTGAAGGAATAGACTTTCTTTCTTTGTGGGACGTGAGAATCATTAACTCTCTGAAGGAAAGTTTCTCTCTTTTTAAAAAAACATTTCTCTCTCTTGAGAGTTGAACAAGCAAAGTGCATAGAGAAAGAGAGAGAGAGAGAGAGAGGATTTGGTGGGAAATAAATTGGTGTGTAGAAAAAAAGGAAAAGGTAATTAAAAGGGTGATTAATTAACAGCTTGAAGTAGAAGGGTCTGATTATGGTGGGTTAATAAATTCTTGTGGGCTGTGGCCAAAAACTACGTGTTTCTAACATAGAGAGCTGAGCTTTCTCCATAGGAATGGGAGCAGCTTTCTTGGCTTTTTGTGGAGAGTTAGGCAAGGAGGCCTGGCTTCAGCTTGCTGTGAATTTTTTTACCACTGGTATGTTATCGTATATGAATTGGTTATGTTGCCATGGTAAGTAAAAGATGAAAATTTTCACTCTCCTTTTTACTTTCTCTGTTAGACTTAACCTAACCCTAGCTAGGAATTACCATGAAATTCACTCTTTTGATCAAGAAGCATTGTTCAACAATCAGTATAGAGGCTAATTTTGCCATGTTGTCTTTGCTTGTTGAGCCAGCAAAAACTAGATAGGTATCTTCTCCTACCAATGCAAGACTTGCAAGTTTTGGTGTTGTCTTGTTAAAATCAAATCTTGACTTAGCTGGTACCCTCTTCTTGAAGTAAATGTTAAAAAATGCCATAGATATGTAAGTAGTGGTAGGAGTATGACATGTTATAAACCCTATTAATAGCGTTTTTGTTTTCGATAACTAAATTATTATATCCTACTTGTTTTTAGAAATTTGGTTCAGATAACAAGTAAGTTTATTTTTCCTATCATTATTTTATGTTCAAAATCTATACAAAGATGTGTGAAAAATTTCTCATAGATGTACTAATATGAATAAGGAGTCTATTTAGTACTCGAAAAAAAAATTGCTCATTTTTACATGCCTAGGGAAGATAAATGTTGTGATCATTTTTGGGCTATATCACATTGCTACCGACAAACTCTCTCTCTGTTTTTTTTTTTTTTTGATAATGCGGGTGTTCGGGCTAACTTATGTACACTTTAATTAATCCCACGTACTTCGAAATTAACGATCATGTAAACCTCCAGGTGGCCATCGAGGAAAGCAATCAAAACTCAAACCCAAGACCACAGGAGAAGTAAACCCTTTAGTATCAAATCATTGCCGCTATACCACTCCCTGATGGTTTACCAACAAACCCTCTTTGTTGCTTGGTTAGGGTATGGATACCATATAGTATAAACACTAAACTTTTTTTTATTTTTGATTATAAATTTTAAGCACATGTTGATGAAAGTGAAAAAATAAAGCACATGGATGAAAAACATGAGGATTCTTATGAGATTATCTGGGCGTGCTTGGCACCTACATCATTGGCTTAACGTGTGAGACAAAATAAATAAAGTAAAATCCTTCTTGATATTATCTATGATGATCATGATTATAGGATCTTAATTTTTGGATAATCATAATGTTTGTTTGTTGCTTTGCTTTAATGCCAAAATTTATCTTTTAATATTTACGTAGGACCCATCTAAAAACGAGCTGATCCCTAACTACTAGTCAAGACTCCAAGATCTAATAAATTATATATATATCAGCCCCTTTAGTTTCTTAAATAGTCCATCTAGTTACAATCACTAATTAAATAGTACATATATTTGTAAATCTATCTGTAACTTAATCATTTTCATTCTCTTCAAGATCAGTAAATTATAAATTAGTTCCTTTAGTTTTTTTAAAAAAAATTAAAATTTTTTTCTAATTTCAATAACTAATTAGTTAATAACTATATTTTAAAATTTATTTGTATCTTAATTATTGTTATTTTTAATTTATTTTTTTAATAGATAGGGAAAAAATGATGAGAAAAGAAAAGACATAATTTTAAATTAATCATGATCAATACTAGTTAAGAAATTAATTAATTCGTTTTGAAATAAGAGAGACCATTTAATTCATTTTACAAATTTTGAGAGACTAATTTATAATTTAATCCAAAATTGCTTGGTGCAAAAAAAAGAAAAAAGAAGAAGCAGCTATATTCAGGATTCAACTTCAACAAATTCAGTTTTATCCATTAAAAAAATCCAACTAAATCAATTTTCCAACATAAAAATTCGGTTTTTAGATGATATATAGTCAATTTCAGTTGGTAAAGAAAAACATTTTTTCTTAAAAAATAAAAATTAAAAATTATGGTAGGTGGATCAACCTTACCGTATATGTACAAACTTTTGGCCGACAACTTTTTTTTTTAGCCCTTGTCTTTGCTTTGTGTGATTCTAAGTAAATTATAAATAAGTTCCTCTAGTTTTAAAAGATAAATTAATTAAATTTTTTTTCAAAAATTAATTATTTAGTTTTTTAATTTATTTTATTTTAAAAAATAAAAAATAATAATTAAATATGTATTGTGGAATTATAGATGAGAAAAAAATATTTTTTGAAATAAAATAATATTAAATTAAGCATGATCAAAATTAATTAATAAACTAAATAATTAATTTTTAAAATAAAAGGAACTAGTTATTTTATTTATTGGAACTACAGAGACTAGTTTATAATTGACTCATGTGATCCACGAAAGCTGTTGGCAACGTGGCATGCTAATAGTTGTTAAAGATATGAACCATCAATAAGTGGTTAAAGATGGATGGACAACTGAAAAAAAGGCTAAAACGTACCTACTCATTTGAGTTATTAATCGATACTAAACTAGTCACTAAATTACTAATAATTTAAAATTCAGTCCATTAATTTGGGTAAGGTCATCCAAGAAATTGATTTCAAAATGTTTGACGAGGCTGTTAAAGTCTAAATTTTTAAGTATAGGTACTAATTTAGTTTCATCTAATAGTTCAAGGATAAGTAGCTTTGCACAAACCCAAAGCCATCAGAAATTGGACTTTTACGAAAATCGTTACACAAATTGCCAGATACAAAAAGAAAACTATTGAAGCCATCTTAGTTAGTCCTCCTCGTCGAAATGGAAGTCACGTGTCAAGCAAACTCCTGCTGTTGTCTTACGATAATGTTAGAAGTCTTTTGCTGTTCGTCGTCATTAAAAAGTTAGATAGAACTGATCCAGCGGATCGGAACAAGAACAGAAGTAAGAGTTTTTTTTTCCTTTTGTTTTGTTTTCTTAATGCAGATTTGGTTATGGAGAGCAAACGGGATGGTAAAGAATTCAGCAAGATTTGGTTATGGAGAGCAAACAAGGATGAAATTCACAGTCCTTTTTAGGAGGATGAAATATCAGTAAAAGAAGTGCATGCTTATTAGGTCTCTCAGAAATTAAGAACGAGACACAAGGCCCGTAGGGATCTCCTAAACATTGAAAAAACATCGGAGTAATATGCAGCGTCTGGTCCTCTCAAGACTCGATACATCACCCGAATAATCTGAGGGCGACCAGAACATAATAAGAAAGAGCTACTTTTCTCCTTGTTGATTTTGTGTTTTTTCAATTCATAGGAATTGGGTTTCCTGAATTAATTATGGAGAGCAGAAATCGTGCCTTATTTGGGACTAGAGAATTCAGCCAGATGAGGAAAATAACAAGGACAATAGCCTATTTTGTTATCAATGATTCTGAAATCCCAGATTGGGTTTCGATGGAAATTCTTTTGCTGCTTTCCCTCGAAAACTATATTCAAGTTCAGGTGTGTATCCAAGCGATGGCTTTTCTGATCGTTATTTCGTCACCTCCTTCTTGGCTCGAGTAGAGAAGAAGAGTTTATCCCCAGCATGGGACCTTCTCTAACTCTACTCGTTTAATGGAGCTGGTAAGATTTCTGCCGAAAATATGGTTCTCTATCTAACATTGAAACACCACCCCGACTTTAAACCTCGAATTTTTTCCTCGGAATTTCCGACGAGTAAAGTACAACCTCCAAATCAACCCATCAAAGTGTTAACCACAAGCAATGGCCTAATATTGTGTAAAAACGAGCCGATCCCTAACTACTAGTCAAGACTCCAAGATCTAATAAATTATAAATCAGTCCCTTTAGTTTCTTAAAAAGAATTAAACAATGCATCTGGTTACAATCACTAATTAAATAGTACATATATTTGTAAATCTATCTGTTACTTGATCATTTTCATTCTCTTCAAGATCAGTAAATTATAAATTAGCCCCTCTAAAAAAATTTAAATAGTTCTTCTAATTTCAATAACTAATTAGTTAATAGCTATATTTTAAAATCTATCTGTAACTTAATTTATTTTCATTCCCTTTAATTTATTTTTTTAATAAACAGAAAAAAAAATGATGAGAAAAGAAAAGACATAATTTTAAATTAATCATGATCAATACTAATTAAGAAATTAATTAATTCGTTTTGAAATAAGAGAGACCATTTAATTCATTTTACAAATTTTGAGAGACTAATTTATAATTTACACAAAAATTGCATGGCGCGACAAAAAAGAAGAAGAAGAAGAAGCTATATTTAAGATTCAACCCCAACAAATTCAGTTTTATCCATTAAAAAAATCCAACTAATTCAAGTTTCCAACATAAAAATTCGGTTTTTAGATGTTAGTCAATTTCAGTTGGTAAAGAAAGACAATTTTTGTAGACAGCAACTTAATTTTTCATCATTGATTTATTTTCCTTGGTAGAAATGAAAGGATAAGGTGCTTACTCTGACACTGGACGCCTGAGGGACTACAACTAGCTAGCTACCGAGTTTGGCTTCCCAGAGAAAGTGTGAAGAGAAATGAAGATGGTAGCGAGAAAGAGAGGTCACAGCATAGACTGATAACGGGACAGTCTGCTTGACGTGATGTGAAGTGAATGTATGATTATGTAACGGAAGAACTACTTGGTTAATGTTGTTCTTGGAAAACTTTGTTGTTGGGATTTGTTTGAAACTATGTTAGGAAATATAAACTTCTCCTCCAAAGCCTGAGGCAGAAAATTACATTTTCGTACTTATTTGTTGCTTAGTATTTTTGTTGGTTTTTTCATAATAATTTAATTGTGTTGTTTTTTAAAACATCCTTCGCTTATGATCAAAATTTTCAATGTCGCGTAGGATTAATAGCATGAAACGTTTTTTTTATTATTGACATTCTTAGTATGGCTTTTCTATTTCTATTTTTTTTTCTCGTGTTTATGTACTTTTTGCTTTTTTAAAAAGTAATGGTTAAATCTATTATAAAAAATAGAGAAATTGAAATTTGGATAAAATTTGCTCAAAAATCGATATTTTTATATAAATTGATAATAAAAATCTGAAATTGTCAATTTACAATAAAATGAAGATAATTTTTATTGTAAAATCGTTTTTCATGGATGACGATCTAACTTCGACTTAGTGAATGAAAAATTCATCTTTTCATCACTCTACTTGTAATTTTTTTTTTTTTATGCTTTGTAATATAATTAACAAAATTAGGATGAAATCAATTATGTACGTTTTATTATTTTTTTAAGTTTTGCACTTTTAGTTTTATCTATACTAAAGCTTTTATTTTATATTTTTTCTACAAGAGTATTTGCTATTAATTCAATTCGTTAGGACATAGGTGCTAGTGTATTTGTTCGTACCATATGACAAAAGAAGGAACTCGACGAAAAAATAGTGAAAAAAATAATTTTTAATATCAAACTTTTTATAATTTTTCTGCTTCACACAACAACTTGCTTTCAGATTCAAACTCTAAAGAAAATGAAATAGAGATTTGGAAAAAAGGCCATTTTCCATATATACATCAAAGCTTTGAACTTGAATCTCTTGCTGAAAACCCAAAAAAAGAAAAAAGCAAATAATCCATGCAACTCAATCATGATTATCACGACAGAATTACTTTTATAAATGTTGATTGGTATCAACTGATCCAGTTAGTCCTATATTAGGAAAGTTTAATCAAGTTTAATTTGATTTATATGCGAACATATAATTCCTAAATATATTATTTTTTGTGATTAGGATGAAAATGATTCTCTTAAAACTTGACAGAGGAAAAAACATAGGCATTAACATATAAAAAATGGGTGAATAATACGCCTATATTTGCACAGAAAGATAATAAAGCAACAAGTTTAAAAAGAGAATTATTGAATCACATTATTTTCTATTGTGAAATTAAGTTCTAAAACTAGCTCCATGTCCATGCACCCAATCATAAGAATTGTTAATTCTCCTGATTGTTAGTACTATTTGATAAAATCCTTATATATAATTTGGTATTCAAGATAAATAACACAAGATTTTTTTTATAACGTGGGTGTTCGGACCAGACTTACGCGTACCTCGACTAATCCCGTGGGCCTCGAAGTTAACGATCATGTAAGCCTCCAATAGCCACCAAGAAGAGCAATCGGGACTCGAACCCGAGACCTCAAGATAAACAAACCCCTTGATACCAAGTCCTTGTCACTACGTCACCCCTGGTAGTTGATAACACAAGATTCTTGTTAATTGCATTGATTGTTTTGATAATACTCCATGAGCTTCAAATGCAAGTCCTTCTCTCTGTGAAATTAAAAATGAATGGAAAAATACGAAACTATCCCCACCCCCGTTATAATTGTTCTTGACAAACCTTCAAAAAAACCCATAATACCCAGCCCACAACCCATCAAAAAAATCTAAACTAAAATCCAGATCCACCAGCCCCGACCTCCTTCCACAGGCATCAAAAACCGACAAACGGGGCAAGACCCATAAATCCCTAACCACTGTTCAATACAACCCGAATGGAACCTATGTTTGCAAGGCATCTCTCTAAATTCAGAACCGATTCCAATCTCATTTGAAAAAATTGCTCAATCAATTGCCTCCTTCGATGCTGGCAACCGCCTCGTCGTTTTATTGTCATTATCATCTGGGATTGGGTTCTGAATGGCTGCCCTTACTGCGAAAACATCATCGATGACATGTTGGAATATTTGTCTCAGCAAAATATGAGGTTATTGATGCGAAGCTGAATCCAAATCTTGCATCATGTTTCAGTCACTAGTAGACATCATTGCCTTAGATAAATGTCAGAAAATATTAAGATTATTTGGGTTGATTTGTTAAGATAAAGAAAAGATTTGAATCTTGACCATCTGTGAAGGAAAAAAGAGAGAAAAAAGAAAAATCTGGCGGATTGGTGTAATTATAGGTGGTGATGATGATTGGAGGCAATGGTATGTTGGTTACGGAAGGGCATAACAGAGGATTAGTTAATACAGAATTGGGCTTGTGTCGGGTTTCCATGGATAGATCATATTAAGATCCCTACTTTCTAATTGGGATTTTAGAGCTTTGGGGATTTGGGGCACTTGGATTTCGTATATTGGACAACTGAGCTCAATCTGGAAATCTTTTCCTCAGATATTGGGCAATGGAGATACCTGAAGGTGTCTGGTCCTCAGGTTATAGGCGCAAAGCTGTGTTCTTTAACGAGATTATTATCATTATTATCATCTATTTTTTTATACTTTTCTTCTTTAGCTAGTAATAATAATAATAATAATAATATCTTATTCGCACATCTACAGACCGATACCAAAAAACCCGTGTTCCACCATTCAGCAATATCCTGCTAATCTTGGCATAAAATTCCAATATTGCTGTAAGATTTCCTCAAATAATTCATTTCATTTCAGAAAAAAGTTCTATGAACAGGAATATCAGAAAAGGTTAAAAAGCTATTTTTGAAGCCATTGTTAAACACAGAACCAGTGTGTGAATAAAAAGATCCGGGCAATATGCAAAATCCGGTTTATTGCAAGCTACCACCACGACTCCAAGAGCGGTAATAGCAACTGGAAAGTGATACCTCCTTCATTCTTCAGAAAACACACAAAGCCATCAGTCCCGGACTTCCTCTTGCTTCTTCCCTCCAGATTTGAGATACCATCCCAGAGCACCAAGAGCTGTAATTGCACCAGCTACAACTGCATAATTCCGGTATTTGTCAGTTGATACCTTTTCAGCCGATGCTCCTGGTGGTGTTGAGGAAGCTGCAGTACTTGTTGCACCCCCTGAGCCCGCAGCAGCTGTCTCCTCTGGTTTAGGACCCTAAATATAATAAACAGGTTTGAGCTTCAAGGAATTGATACAGTTACATCCAAGAAAAGCTAGTGCAGGCAATATAGTATCGAGTTCAAAAAATGCTGGAAGGGGCATTTCCCTCTGTAAAACTACCCCATGCCCAAGAGGTGCATGCGTGGATGGATTTTCATATAAACCTGATCAAGCAACTCAATTAGTTCACTTGTTTGATATTCTGGTTGCTTAATTTGACCATGCTTCAGCCACAAAAACTTTTTTCACTTTGAAAAAATAGAAGAAGAAGAGTGAAACACACACACTACGAATTCTTCTCCACTGCAAAGGAGCTTTAAAGATTTGAGTCATACTGACTAAATGACTAAAAATCAGGAACAGCAATCCATGACATAAATGCTACATAAGGTGGCAATAACTAAGAAATTCAACAGAAAATACGCTATAACCATACCTTGCGTGCAAGTTTCTCCAATTTTTCTTGCTCAACTTTCTGCAAAGGTCCAAACAATGTAATGAAATGTTATGAACCATAAAAAACGAAGTAGAAGTGATATTAAATCAGCTTCTCTATGATTAAAGTGTTACGGAACCATTAGATAATCAAGTCAAAGCAAACATTCAATCAATTGTGTCATGCCACCACTCAGACATATATGACATTTATATGATTTTAGCACACGTAAATCACTCACATGCATACATATCAATTGCTTTGACAGCAAAACAGGAATAACATATACAGTCATCAAATCTTTTGGTGCCTCGCATTTTAATACAAAATTTCAACTATCAAATCATATATGTGAAAGACCCACAACAAATGAAGCGAATTCATCACTCTTTCCCCTTCGAAATGATGGCAACTAGAATGCCAAAGCCTTCCCAAATCCCAATTGAAAAGATGTACTCTCTCTTTCCCTCTCTCACATCTGGTTAAATAATAGGGCAGCACAGCTTCTGATGGAAAAAATAGCTAAACATAATAATTTGAACTTTTCCCAACAGCAAGATTGCTGCCAGCAAGAATGAGTTGAAATAGTACATTATTTCAATGAAAATTATACCACGAAAGTCATCATTCATTTTGAAGTTAAGCATTTATCATCTTTAAGTGGTGCGATAGATTTCGATGCTTTAAATCAATGCACCATCTCATGAACTACAACATAGAAGATGGTGAGACTCAATAAGATACCTTCCTGTGATAAACCATTCCCCTACAGAATCCTTTCCTGAACAAATGGCTCAAATGTATCAAAGAACTTGGTTTAAAACTTTTTTTTTGTTGCCATACCATCTATCTTTCTCAAAAAGGAAAGCATAGAGATGCTAGTGTGCCAAGAGGGAAGTTCAGAATTGCATTAAATGAGATGATGGTTAAGACATGTTGAGGTAAATTTTAACTTGAAGACATGGACTTAAGAAAACAGTTTTTCTAGCAATGAAGTTATCCAATCAAGTTTTTGTTCAAATTTGTGTTGGATGGGCTAAGATTCCTAACTAAACAGCTCAGCAACAATGGTAATCAGGCACTAAATCTAGCATGACTGACAACTAACAGTTCAATCAATACCATGTACATCAGTCTAAAGGTGGAGTTGAAGGACATTTCAATTTCTTATAATTACAATAAATGTCATTTTTTATATCTAATTCTAAACAAGCACTTTTAACTTTACTCGTATTTTACATAAATAGGAAAAACATAAAACTCAAGCATCGATGGTGTGTTTTGTCCCACAGCCATTATTTGTACAAGTGCTTTCACCTATATTTCATACTGGAGCTGAAGGAAAATCTAAATTGTACAAACAACCATTTCACAAAAGGTTTCATTTTCAAAAGAATCTTAACTATATTTCCTCACTTTCTATTTGCTTATTGTCACAGATTGAAGACAGTACTCAACATTTTCCCACAGAACAAACTTCCCCTCAAATTGCATTCACCCTTTTTACAACAAAATGTAGAATTAGAAGGTTTTCAATTGTTTCTCCCACAACTTTTCTGGTAAACGGATCAGTTGCAGGAAGACTAATTTCCCCCCATTTCACCCTCTTGTACCTCACTTTTCCTAGAAATCACATCCCTACGCAACTTTTCTCACAAGCTTTCTGAGGTGCAAAATATTTCCAATGAGCATCTAATCCTTTTGCATTACCAAAATTTGAAACCCAGCAATTCCAATACACGCAATTTAAGCAATCCATCCTGCCCACTAATAACTATAACCTGCATAAAGAAAAGGCAAAAAAACACAAAGAGAAACAAAAAACAACTCCAACATTCTACCAGCTTACAGAACCCAACCAATACCAGTCTCAGTCTTTGTCAATACCAAAACTAAAACAGCTTACAATGAGTTCTAACAATTGTTAGGCTGGCAGAATAATTTAGCATTAAACCGAATAGGCATTGTTTACCCATCATTTCGAACAAAAAATTTCTGCTCCAGGAGGCTCTCTATTGTTATCAAATTATAACACAATCAATCCCAAATCGAAACAAACAATTTCTGCTCCAAGAGGCTCTCTATTGTTATTAAATCATAACATAATCAATCCCAAATCGACCAATTCGGCTACTACAATGCAAACGTCATTTAGAACTAAATAGCAAACTAAATAAATAAATAAGGAGTTTTCAGGACAACATTTCAAAAAGATTTCTCAAGCACAAAACAAAATCAAAGTCACAAACTGTGAAGAAATAAATGAAATAAAACAAAACAAGTGCAAAGTTATTCATTTATTTGTTTTTATTACCTTGATGTAAACATTTTCTGCAGCCTTTTCCTCTTCGCTAAGCACTTTACCACCAGTCGAGAACCTTCTAAAGACGACTCGCCTTGCAGCAGAACCAATCGCCGTCGCCATCGTCAATACTGATTAACACCTGTAATCACGAACTACTTAGGAATTTTGGATTTACTTAGGGATTAAATTAGGGATTACGAGAGGTATTAGCTTACTAAGCACCAAATGCAGCACCGATGCAGAGAGAGAGTAGAAATGGTGTGGTTTTGCTTTGCTTGGAAATGTTTATATATGATGGGAATCAGGGAGTTGTTGAAGGAAAGAAGATTCTGACCGTTGATTTTGAGTTTTTTTTTTTTTTGAGGTGGCGATGGTCATGAATTTGAGTAAATTATAAATTAGTCCCTGTAGTTTTAAAAAGAATTGATTCGTCTCATTTATTTCAAAACTATTATTAGACTTAATTTAATATTATTTTTATTCTACAAAATGCCTCATTTTCTCAACAGTATTTCCATATTTTTTCCCTTTTACTATTTCTTTGAAAATAAAAATAAATAAATTATAAAAAAATAAATTATAAATAAATTTAAAAATATAAAAACTAAATAATTAGTTTTCAAAACAAGAAAAATTAATTAATTTGTTTCTCAAAACCAGAGGGACTAAATTAAAATTTATTCTGATGAGTTTTGAGTGGGACGGGGTGTATGATAAGGAACTTGCTATTGGGCCGTCTAGAGATTAATTCTTCTTTCTGATTCGGACTTGAAGAGAGTAGAAGACTAGAGATGCAAGAAAATTTTATCTTAATAGGTCCCTAAAGTCTCAGAGATTCTCAATTGAGTCTCTCTCTCCATATTCGTTTATGGATTACTCCAAATTGTACATTTGTTTTTGTAAGAGACTCGACGGTTTGTGTAGAGTTTTGCTAAAAAAGTAGACTAATTTTTTTTTGAAATATAGTCAGATTTGATGGAGACAATAAATTCTATGGGGACTTAATTAGAGAAGATCCATATTTTGGGGACTTTTTTCTTTCATTCCTTTGGCGTGAAGATTGGAACTTCGAATATGTCGTTCCTTCCTTTTCTTTCACTCTTTGGACAACTTCCTACAAAGGAAAACCTGCGGTCAAACCACTGGGAAAAAAAATATCACCATCTTGTATATGACTATTTTTTTTTTTTAAGATGCCCCTGAATGTTTTTGTAAGTCACTTGATTTTTTTAGGGGCATTGTCAATAATAATAATAATAATAATAATAATAATCATATGCAAGTTTCATAAAAAAAATATATATATAAAAAAATAACAGATTAAAAACTCACTTAAAATACAAAAATATAATTAACTCATTTTAAGATGTAAAAAGACATTGGACACTTTCTTCATTGCATAAATACAGACTGGGCCGTTTCGTCCAAATATGGAACAGAAGGATTTGAGCTGAAAAATATAGTAAGCATTTCAGAAACCAGCGACATAAATAGGCAAACCAGTTATATCCAATAGAAATTATAGCAAACAAACCAAGAGAATTGACATTGATTTTGTTCAAGAAGATTTCCTCTGAGAGAGGTTACAATAACAAAAGGCATACAACTAAGGGACATGATAAGCTGTTAATTATCCTATACGAGAGCAAAAGGGCAGTACACAGGCTTGCTCTTTCTGGTACATCAACAAATCATCCCACTCTAGATATATTTCTTCATTAAAGTAACTTCTAGAGTCTGGATAACTTTTAACGATCTGCAAAATTTCTTCTTCATCTACTCGCTTTTGCTTTTTAACTTGTCGCTCAAAAAACTTTTCGATTTACCAGTGTAAATGGATTTTGCTAACGATAATGCTTTCATTGCTGCAAAATATCCCTTTCTTTTCCAAATGTTTTTACGAATTCGCTTCTTCATTCTAGAACGACGTTTTTTGGAACTGCAGCAACTGCCAGTCGAGAACAAAGAGGTTACACATCATGAACAAGCAGACACATCTATGAACATGGCATGCACAGAGCTGAGAATGATATGCATAAATTCTGAAGGTCACAAGTATTTATACAACTCCTGTGTCCTATATCCCTCGCTCCTCACACAAGAGACAGATTGTTTGTCATGGTTGCAATGAAGATAAAGATATAAAAAGACGCTTCTAAACAAGCACGAGTAATAATTTTTAATAGGAAGCTAAGTTTGACAGGTAACAACATTGATGTTGCAAAAGTTTGTACCTAGCTGGCGTCCATGGTGCAATGGATGTCAACCACAGAGATGATGTCAGGGTGGATAATAAATCAGAATAAGAACTTACCCATTCCAAGGTCATCCTCAAGCTCATCGACCTCAAAACCGCTTCCAATCAAAGTGTCAGGACCGCTAAATGGTATCTGCACATTTTTTGGCGTTAATAGTCCAAAAGTGAGTTAAGGCATACAATGAAGGAGAAAAGTTAGAAATGAGAACATAAACCATGCCAACCAATACTCCCAACCAAGGAAAGGAAAAGGGTACACTTTATGGCTGGTTAACAGGAAACCAAACATTATGCTTCACAGTTCAAACGTTACCTGATTATCCACTATTGTTGCCTCTGTCACTCCTGTATTACCAAAAATTATGCAAGGATAAGTTAACTAGTTCACAGGAGCCCATAAAAAACAAATGAAAATCCATAAAGGCATCACAATCAGCATTAGCAACTATGTTTCCCAGGTCATCCGAATGACAAATTTCACCCTTAGGAGCCATGTGTGTTATCACATTGTTAGGATTAAAATGTGCTCCTATTATTTGAATTTGAAGAAGGCAATCAAGCATCGTGATTATCTATGCATTAATCGAAACAATAAGAGCCACAACTGAAACATTTTGCGGCGAATGCAGAGGTTCCAAGTCCTACCTGTTGAAGTACATCCATTTGTGACATCACCAAATTCATCCTACAAAAGGTCATGATTTCAAAAAAAAAAAAAAAAAAAAACAGAGAGAAAGAGAGATCGGAATATGGAAAGCAACCTACATTCAAGTCCAAAGGTAATAAAAGCTAAAGCCAAGAACACTCACCCCTGGAGTAAGTCCAGCAGCACGAACATGCACAGTTGTAGGACCTATCGAAAGCAAAATGCAAACTTTAATAACAGTAAATTTTCCATGCTGGCGCTCAAATGTCTATGATTATCCAACTTTGAAAAGTTAAAAATTCAGACTTTTAAGGAATAAAGCGAATCAGCTCATTCAAGTCTCAGGAATGCATTTATCTCCTAATTTCAAGCTTGAAACTCGAAAATTTCAAAAAGGAAACTGCAAAAAACAACATTTTCAATTAATTTTCCAAGATTATACATCAAAGAACCAAAAACTAACAAACATATGTGACATACAAGAACACAGTAAAGCCAAAATCATAATGCAGTTAAAACAAAACCCATCAAGAACCAAATTCAATAAAGAAAACCCATTAACCAAAAGAAAAAACCAAGCACACTCATTCACTCTTTTTCTCCAATTTAAATAGAGAGAGAAAGACAGACCATTGGAAGTGCCATTAAGGACAGCAACAGCAGCTTTCTTCTTGGTAGCAGTCCTGACCGCGAGAGAGAAGGAAAAAGATTGACGTGGGAGACTAAAGGAGACGCCATGGAATGAGGAATGATTAGCGGGAAGTGGAGAGAGGAGAGAGTGAAGCGTTGATGGAGAAGCTGTGAGGATTGCGTGGGCTGCCATAGCTGCTGCTATTGCATTTCTAACGATTTTGGAAGATAATAATAAAGATAAAATCCGTAGATAATGTTTTGTGGGCTGGGCTTTTCTAGTGGAGAGTCTGCTCTGTAGAAATAAAAGGCCAGTCTTTGCCAATATAGCCCAATAATCCTTTAAACTGTTTTATAAAAGCCCAATATTGCTTTGGATATTTTTAAGGAGGGAGTAAAAAACAGTAAGGGCAAACCTTAAGTAATTTTAGAACTAGTGTCTCAAGTTTTTGATTGATTTTTTTTTTTTAATTTTTTATTTGAAATTTAATCTTTCTATTATATTTTTATAAATTTTGACCATAGAAATACACATAACTTATTCGAGGTAGATTTTTTAATTTTTTTAATGGTTAAAAATATATCAAAATTTATAGATGCTTTGATTTTCTTTCAAAAATTTGTTTCTTTTCTTTTAAAACTATTTTTAATTAATTTTTTTACTATTTAAGAGGAAAAAATAATTAGAAAAAAAGTTAATAACTCAATTTATTTGTAATAGATAAAATATGTAATTAACTTAGTGGATTATATAGACAGGTGATTGTCATTCCTTCTCATTATAAAAACCCTTCCAAAATAAAATAGAAAAATACAATCAATATAAAATATAATAAAAGATTTTAATAAAAAAATTACATACAATTGAATAGAGTAAAATACTCTAATAAAAAAATAGGAAAATACATAAAATTAATTATATTTTTATTTTAAAATATGAATTGATGATTCAATAACATGTTAGGAGTAATTAATTTGAGATTTCCTTCCACAAAAGAGTCTTCCTAAAAAGAACAACCAAAAAAAAAAAGCCAGCAAGACCACCAATGCCACGTAAACCAACCATTAACGCAACGTGGCATAGCCCCACTGGTACATTCCACGTAAATTCCCTCTTCTCCCTGCACTCTCTCTAACTTCCCCAAATACCCCGTTTGTTTCCCGAAAATCAAATCAAAGAAATCAAAAGCCTCCACCTCAACTATGGCGGTTCGAGCCACCGTGTCGCGATTCCCGTTGGACGAAGACGTGCAAGATTCATCAGGACTACCATGGGGAGTAACACTCACGCCATTCGCTTCGAAAGATGAGAACGGACTGTCTCCTGTGTTTGGATCGGACGGCGATTTGTTACCTCGCTGCGAGAACTGTTATGCTTACTTCAACACTTACTGCGAACTTGATCAGTGGGCCTGGAATTGTAGTCTATGTGGCACCCTCAATGGACTCACCTCTCAAGCCATCGCCCGTTACTCGCATCCGCAGTCTTGTGCTGAGATGATGTCTTCTTTTATCGATCTCGAGTTGCCTAGTGAGTAATGTGAAGGATTTTGTGTTTAATTTAGGGTTTGAAGTTCTTAATTTGGTCTAGTTAGTGATTACTAATGGTTCGTGTAGTGGAGGGATCAGAGGAAGAAATGGTGCAAGCGCGTCCGGTTTATGTCGCGGCTGTTGACTTGTCGTGTAAGATTTTATTGAATGTATCGATAATTTTGCTTTATGTTGATGTAACTTGAATTAATCAGAATGCATTAGAGTGGTAAACTGGTAATTAGTCAAGTCATCACGTACTTCTTGAAGATTGGTAGTTGAATTTGAATAATCATTCGAAGAGTGGACGTGCTTTTCCCATGCGGTAATTCTAGTTAGAAACTTTTTCTAATTACATTCTGCTTATGTCGTAATGACTTGGTTACTCTCCCTTTTCTGCTATTTGGTTTGCCATTATGCAACATAGTAAACTTTTTACCTGAGTAGTGACATAAAGACCTTTGAATTTAAGGGATGGAACTGAAATGTGGAAATGTAGTTTCTGATTCGTTCTCATTTAGCTGTAATTGAGTGGTAGTGGCACTATGATGCTGTCTTTGTATCGACATACATTTTCACCTTTAACTGTCAATTTTTTTGTTTTTTAATTTTGATTGGAGTAAGGATAGGTTGGTGTGCATGTCAAGAAGCAATCATTTTTTTCTTCTTATTGAAAATATAATTTCTTTTTTCTGTTTTTGATTATCAGGTGACACTCTGCAGGCTAAGATCTTTCTAATCTATGTTTTGATTTTTGCAACGACATAACAACTTTTGTATTCTGCTGAACCTGTCTGCAGCTTCAGAAGAATTTTTGGAGCTTACGAAAAGTGCATTGGAAGCAGCTTTGGAAGGTTGACCTTTTTCTTTTGTTATACAATATTTTTAGATCAAAATGACATATTAGTTCTTGACCGCATGGGTTATGTTCTTTGAGTTTGATTTATTGTTTCTATTTTTCTGTAGCTCTCGCTCCTGGTTCTCTTTTTGGGCTTGCTACTTTTAGCCACAAAATGGGTTTGTATGATGTTCAAGGGCCTATTCCAGTTGTGAAGAATGTTTTTATTACTCCTGATACAGAAGGAACCCTGCCAGTTGAGCTCGAAGATGTCATGCCTTTGTTACAATTTTTGGCCCCTGTATGTTAGGCACACTATTTTATCTTTTGGCATTTTTTATTTGATTTATTTATTTGTTACTCTTGATAAAGCTAAATGGGAAAGAAGGATTCACTCATGTAGCCAAACTGATGTTTCATGGAATGCTTAGTTGAGTTAGGTTTGGATATTTCACTTTTTATTGTCATTGAGTGGTTGTAGTGTTATCTAAAGGAGTTTGGTAGTTTAATTGACAGGTTTTTTCTAACTTAATGGCACCATCCTAAGCTCAGTGTTGTGCTACAGGTGGAAACTTGTAAAGACCGTATTACAGCTGCACTTGACACACTCAGGCCAACAACCTCATGGGAGAGAACCACAGGTGCAGGGCAAGGACTAGAAGGTGTTCTAATGGGTGGGCGAGGTTTTGGTGTGGCAATGGAAGCCCTGTTTAAGTACCTTGGATCAGAATATGGAAATACATTTGCTTTAGGTACATGATGCATAGAGTCCACATTATAAAGGCTCCTTTGTCTTTTGAATATTGAAGATGTGCTAAATGCTTTTATCCTTTTTGATACTGATTGCAGCTAGAGTTTTTGCCTTTCTATCTGGTCCTCCTGATTATGGAGCTGGGCAATTAGATACAAGAAGGTATGGTGAACAATATGCTAGTAAAGGAGAGGATGCAGACAGGGCTTTGCTTCCAGAGCAGACTCCGTTTTACAAGGATCTGGTAATCTCGTTGCCTTTGTTTATGTTCTGCATTGCAAGTTTTGGGAAATGCGAGCATTGACACATATTTTACAGGCTGCTGTTGCTGTTCAAGCAGGTGTTTGTGTGGACATATTTGCTGTCACAAACGAGTATACAGATCTGGCATCCCTCAAGTTTCTTAGTATTGACAGCGGAGGTTCATTGTTTCTGTATTCAAACACTGATGACTCAACACTTCCTCAGGATATGTGAGTACAAGATACAATAGTAATTAGTACTAAGATACATGATTTCCTAGCTCCTTTTTTGTGTTGTGACATCAATGAAACTAGTATTATAATATTAATTGCAAAATGAGTGCCATGAATGTCTGGTGTTTGTCATCTCTAAGGTGTACAATTGGGCATGTTTAATTAGCAAGGCAGAAAACTTATTTCTATGTTATAGATACTGGTCTATTGTTTTACTTGAAGATTTAATTTTATAATCCATTTATAGTGGTTCTATTATCTGCCTGTGATTTTATGTGCCATCTTTTTGAAGGTATCGGATGCTTAGTCGACCATATGCTTTCGGTTGCATTCTGCGATTGAGGACATCTTCTGAATTCAAACCTGGTCATTCTGTAAGTGGCAGTCATATTTGTTTTTTTGTGGAGCAGGGGTTACTATGTCTTTTATTTACATGCTCCAAAATATTTCCTGCAGTATGGTCATTTCTTCCCTGATCCGCAGTATGAGAATGTTCAACACATTATTTGCTGTGATTCTTTTGCAACATATGCTTATGACTTTGATTTTACGAGTGCGACTGGATTTTCCAGGTATCTATGTATTTCTGATAGCTAATATACTATGATCTTTTGTTGGCTAAATGTCATTGGAACTTGACAACTGTATCAATTTGTATAAAAAAAAAACTGAGGAAAGTTCATTTAGAAACCATGAAATAATTTTATCACAGTCCTCTTTGTAATTACTAGTGGGTTGAGTATGTTCAACTTTGAGCAAATTTTGCTGTAATCTGAATGTTTCTTGCCCTAACTTAATCTGTTGGACCTGCTTAGTGTAAACTTCTCCTCACTAATTTATTTAGATAAGAGACATGGCCAGTTCACAATGTAAACAGGGACATAAACTAAAATAACCGTTCTGTAAAAAATAAAAACAAAAGGTTAAAATAACCATTGTCAGAACACATTTTGGAGTTGAACTATAAATCAGCTGTGATGTGGTGATATTAGATTTCCATTTAGCTTTATACTCAAAAACTTACGAGTGCATTTTGTTGTATCTGTTGCAGTATTCTTTAATCTTATGCTGATAAAAACACAAATTAATTGTTGAACGTCAGCTGCTCCTAATGCATTCTTTGTATTTGCCTTTGTGCCATTTATCTGGTCAACCTTAAAGTCTATTAAGGAACAGTACAGTCACTTGTCAGTTAGTTAAGAGTAGCGAATCGCCCACTATAGTTCATTGGTTTATTCAGTGTCTTAGATCTTGCAATTTCACTTGATGTCTTCTCTCACAAAACTGCATTTGCTCTTGCGCAAACAAACATTTGGATTTGGTGAAAAAGGATGGCAGATCTTTAGGTTCTTCTTTGCTGTACAAATCTTATCAATGACATTATTGCTCTAAAGATGGCAGAATTTCATTAGATTCATGCATTGCCTTCTCAAACTATTATTCTGACTGACAATTCGTTGGTTGGCATGACTTGTTTTTTAAGCCTCTTGTTTTTATATAATTTACCTTGCTTTTGCCAAATGTATCGAGCTTGTAACTTGTCAAACGTATCGAGTTTGTTTCAACTTCTTTTCTGTAATTAAATTATAAATTGCACTGTGAAAGGCAATAGCTCCATTATTTTTGCAGATATGCATCAGAACAACCTGTAATACAGATAGCATTTCAATACACAGTTGTTGTGCCTCCTGAGGAGCTCTCAGCTTCAAGATTGGTTTCTGGTAGTAGGTATGACAAAGCTGGTGTAGTTACTGAATATTTTGTTTTGGTATGAATCATGATGAGTGAAATGAAAATTAGGCATATTGGACCAGTATAGCATAATATAGTGTTGATGCACCATAAGTTTCTTGCTTGCATTTTATTGAATTTTCCATCACTTTCTGGGCTAATCTTAGTTTGTTGTATGTTTATGCAGAGGCAAGCATTCGCTTAAACGTCGATTAAGAATCAGAACTTTGCAATATGGTACTGCTAGAAATATGAATGAACTCTATGACAGTGTTGATCCTGAAGCTGTTCTATCAATACTTCTTCACAAGGTATCCCCCCATTCCTCTTGTACTAACAATCTGTTAGAAGATAAAAACAATGGTATTTGATTCTGTTAGTGAACCTAGGGGTAGTCAGTACCATGGTCATAATCATAGCATGCAATAAATAAAGAAAATAGTGATCAACGTGAACCAAAATAATCAAACAATAAACAAGGAGCAAGCAAGAGAGAAATGCCAACTACTTTTATGATTCACCTCATCCTATGGCCTGGTTGTAGTTTTGCTGTATATGCCTCGCTTCCTGAAAGAACTCATAGCCAGTTCTTTACATAACATGGTAATCCTCCCTTATTCTCCCATTCCTGGCACGAGAGTGATTTGTCCTGCTCTCTTTCAACAATATTAAGTGACTTTGCTTCCTTAAGCTAGTTTGATTGTACATTTATTCAGCGTTTGTTGTTGATTATGCATTTTGTTGACTCTAGGTTATATTAGCCTCTTTGGAGCATGGAGTCCGGGAGGGCAGGATGTTGCTTCATGATTGGCTCGTAATCCTCACTGCTCAGTATAATGATGCCTCTAAAATTGTTCAGTTTAAGAATGGTAGTTCGATGACTGCTCAGGTAGATGTTGCATTCTCACAATGCCCACAACTGCAGCCCTTGCCTCGCCTAGTTTTTGCTTTGCTTCGAAATCCTCTTCTTCGCTTCCATGAAGAAGGTGTTCATCCTGACTACCGGATATACCTCCAATGCCTTTTAAGGTACACCATATATACCTTTGAGCTGTGCTATTTAATTTGGCTGGGGATCATGTCAGAGCATTTGAAAAAATGGATTTATTTATTATTATCATCATTATTATTATTTTTGTGGGGGGTGGGGGGGGGGGGGTGTTCTATTCAACTGTTGAATCATTATTATGGCAGTATTGGTGAATTCAGAACTATCAACCGTTTATGAGTTTAGAAGCACACAGAGCACAGAGACACTGTGTTCACTACATAAACATAATGTCACAAGACTGTTCAGGGTCTGCTTCATAAGCCTCCTTCCCTGCCCGCTGCGGGGCAGGGTGGGGGGGGGGGGTGGGTGTGGAAGGATGTTGCATATTTTTGTCTTTAATTTAATTTGTATTATTTTATTATCCTTGGTGTCTATAATAGTTGCTTTTTATTTTCATGCTGAAGGTGAAACTTTGGACTTCTATAATTTTGTATTACAATTTACTTTTATTGTGGATATCACCATCTATTACCTTTTTTTTTTTTTTTAATCATTCAATGGCTTTGAGGGAGTGGGTGAATTTAAACTTGTAGTCTCACTGAAACTTTTCTCAATGCAGTGCACTGGAACCAAGTTCCCTTCATCGTGCTGTATATCCAGTGTTGACGTCATATTCTACACCAGATAAACAAGCTTATCCACGCCACTCTTTGAGTCGTGCTGCACTGATTACCAGTGGTAGTCCAATATTTTTCCTTGATGCATTTACAACTCTGATTGTGTTCTATTCTTCTACAGCAGACCCGGCACTTCCTTTTCCACCACCCCAAGAATGTAAGTTGTTATTATTATTTGCATCTGCTTTTATGCAGAAGAAATTCATTTATCCTCTTCTAAGACAAAACGTCCTCTTATCAGGTTTATTGAGGAGTACAATTAACAAACTGAAGCAAGAAAGAAGTATCACTCCAAAATTGATTTTTATCCGGGGAGGGCAGGATGATGCCTCTGCGTTTGAGAACTACCTCATTGAAGAACAGGATGTTGATGGTAGCGGCTTCACTAGTGTCATGGGTTTTGTGTCTTTCCTTGAAGACATAACCCAGAGTGTGATGGAGTACATGAAATAAAATACCAGATTTGAACCTGCTCATAATTTACCAAGCACAAGAAAAAGCACATGATCGACACATTCTTGGAAGAAATATGCATATTCATAAAATCTGGTTGCAGTTCAGAACTCTGTTTTGCCAACCAAGATTTGAAAGTTGGGTTTGTCATCGTGGAATCGAAGTGATTGTTGATGATCAACTTGCCTGCTTTAACCAGTTGGAAGTTCCATTGGTTCACAAGTTATAAGTCGAACTTTCGAATATACTCGTCATCTTTGTCTGCCTTACTTCTTAATTAGACTATTATTAATACAGGTTAAGCAAATTGTACCATGAGTTGCCCTACTCTTGAGTTTTTTTTTTTTTTTTTGCCCCCTTGTGTGGGAATCGGATCAGTCAGTGTTAGATCGAGAAAACGATAGATCAGTAGGATGCGAAAGCACTGTTCGGTGCAGAGGTGGTTTTGTGGGTAACTGCACCTTATTCCAGACAATATGTATACTATTTCCTCATTTATTCGTTTGATGAAATGGCTAATAAATTGGGATTATGATTTAAAGCCATTTTTTGATGGTTTGTTAGAACAGTTTAATGCTTGGTTTTATGAATGAATGCTCCCAATTGCGATTTGTTCTGTGAAAATCTGTAATCTTTGAAGCAGTATTTGTAAGTTTTCGGAAGGTTATTGTAATATGAAATAGAAGTCAATTTGGTAATTTGAATAGCTATAATAGAGAAAATTATTTAGATATTTAAATATTGTATGAAACACTTATTTATACTTACAAGGGTGATGGATTAAAATAAATAAATGAAATTTGGGAAAAAAAAATTTCTCTGATCCTCTCCATGTGTAGAATTTGAAATCTCTTCTTCAATCTACTTGTTAGTTTATTTAGGTTAATGTATTTGCGCACGTGCGCTGCACTAATAATTTTAGGCTACATAATAATAAATGGAATCCTTTTTTCAGTTGTTATTTATACATATATAATTCATAATGTTAATACGAGTTGAAACTGTTTTTTTTTTCAATTGTTATTTGTATCCGTATAATTCATAACGTCGATACGGGTTAAAAAAATTATAAAGTAGATATGAGTTGAAACTTTTTTTTTCTCAATTATTATTTTTATTTGTACAATCTATAATATGAGTAAATTAAAAATTAATCCCTCTCGCTTTTGAAAAACAAACTAATTTGTTTTTTTTTTTGTTTTAATAACGAACTATTTAGTTTCTTATATTTTAATTTTATTAATAACTTAATTTTTTTATTAATTTTTTGTTAAATTAGTGATTTTTTTTTCAAATTATCCTTAATTGTTTATTTCCCCTTTTCACATTTTTTTCTCCTTCCTAAACTATTTTTTTTAAAATAAAAAGACAACATGGGAATAAAATCACCAATATAACTTAAAGATGATGAAATAATTAAATTATTCACGAAATTAAAACATGAGAGATTAAATAATTAATTTTTGAAAGAAAAAAGGATTAATTAATATGTTTTTTAGACAAGAGGGACTAATTTAAAATTTACTCTCCATAATGTGGATACGAGTTGATTTTTTATTTTTTTTCCCAAATTGGTAGTCTGTGTGCATCCATCGAGACGATTAGACACTCTAATAATCATCGTATTAGCATAAATTTTTAAGATAATTATCAGAAAAATCCACAAATTAATTTTTAAATTTCTCAAATTTAAAATAATATCTTTCTTACTAATAATATCCAATAATTAATATTAGTGTTAACTATTGATTGTTTTGATAAGAAAAATATTATTTTAGACTTATGAGATTTAAAAATATTATTTTGTATTTGAAAAATTTAAATATAAAATAGTTGATTTTTTATATAGAAGATTTTTTAGAAGTTATTCTAGTAATCATTCATAGTTTAAATGAAACTATTATCTTTTAATATGTGTATTTCTATTATGAATTATCATATTTTATTTAATTAATGTACAAAAATATATTATATATTCATCTTGTAATTTAATTTAATTGTTTGATAAAAAAATATTGAGTTTTGATTAATTAAAAACTAGTGTTACCGATGATTTTTTTTTCTATCAATATATTAGGATTTAAAAAATCACTAATGCTCATTATCATATATATATATATATATATATTTGAATGATAATCATTTGATTAAATTACAAGAGAATAGCAAGAGTCTCATTTCATCAATATTAATTAGTTAAGTTGCATCAGTTGCTATAGTTACTAGATAGTAAAATTAATCTCGTAATTAATGAATCAAACGACAAATAAAAAAAACTCTAACGTAAGGAATTTTTTAGTATAATAAAAAAATATTTTTTGAATGTTAGTATTTAAAAGTCAAAGAACTTTAAAAACTTTTTGTTTTTTTTCAAATGCAATAAAAAATAACTTGACTTAATCATGAAAAAAATTATAAATATCAAACTCGTTATAGAATATGAAATGGGTTTATTATTAGATAAAAACTATAAAAAAAAACTCTAAAAAAGTTTATATATAAAAAATTTATTAATTTATTTTGTAAATCTCTCAAACGTAAAAGTAAAAAAAAATTATCTTATAAAAAAACTCAATAATTAACTAATATTAAGTTGAAAGTTAATTATTAGGTGTTTTAGTAAGAAAAATGTTATTTTAGATTCGAGAGATTTAAAAATAAATTATATGATTTGGTTGGATAATTTTTTTAGAGGGTTTTTTTTTTAATTATCCCTATTTTTTTTATTAAAAAAAAAAAACTAAGTCACTGAGATTCTAAAAATAGAAGAAAGGAAAAAAAAAAACAATAATAATAATCATTAATCATCATCATCAAGCTTCTCTCAAGTGCTTAGGGTTTGTTCTACCCCTTGAAGCTTTCTTTTTTTCAAAAAAAAAAAAAATTCTCCTCGAATTCATTCAAGTTCTCCCTCCCTCTCCCTCTCCCTCTCCCTCTCCCTCCCACTCTCTCTCTCCCCCTCCCTCGCTCCCCTTGAAGTTTTTCCGCAGCAATTGTCGCAGACAGAGATTTTCTTCTCCTCTCCGGTTCGTTCTCAACGGTTAGTACATTTCTCTTCTCCTTGTCGTTGATCTTTTTGTTTGAGTTGACTCTAAAATTTTTCCTTAACGAGTTTCCATATCTGGGCATGTGCTGTTATTTTTAAAGTGAAACCTTAAAAAAGCAGAACAAAAAAATCAAAGAAGGTTATTAATGATGTAATATTATTATTTTTTTTAGAGCTAGATGCATTGTTATAGATTTGTGATTAAGAAGCTAAAGAAACTAAATCCAAAAAGGTTAAGAGCCAAGCTTTGACTAAGATTTAGCCAACCTGGAAAACCCTGGCATGTTTTAGAACTCACCGTATCGAGCTAGGTTGGGGTCTGGTCCGCATCTGCTACTTGATTATAAAGACCTTATGGCGTTACGAAAGTTTTAGATTTCTAATTAGGCCATGTATAGAAGAACTTGATGCTCGTGTCGTGTTTTCGAACAATTGTCCTACAATCTGTGGTTTACGAAGTTCTTTAGGTTCGGACTCGATAAATTTCAAACCCGCAAGTTTTAGATTTGTGGTATTAGCATGTTTTAATTGAGCGTAACCCGATTTGGTGTTCTAGAGGAAAATGTGGAGGAAACTAGAATGGTAAAATAAGGTAATATTTGTTTAAGAATCTTGTTTGTTGAGAATTCTGAATTTTTTATAGGTATGTTTTAAAGCAATGTAACAGCAAACTAATTGTATAGATTATAGAATCTTCTCTTCATCAAATGTGTATATGATTCGTAGGGATCTTTCATCTTTATAAAGTTTAGCATGAAGGATTCTTTTGAGTTTGGAAACTGTGTAATGGTTGTTGAAACTTATGCATAATGTCCACCCCAACTAGTATGTTTAGTTTGATGTGTCACCTTGAATTGTTGCAGGAAGGTGCACAGACTGGTATGTTAGTTTGGAACTCATATTTTTTTAGAGATTCGATCATGCTGTGGCATGATCACCTTTTTGTTGCACCCAACCTTTTCCACTTTATCTGAATAACTTGAAAAAGAATCAAGGGGACTTCTTATGTGTAACTTTGATGTCTCACCTTGAATTAACTCAAATCATTATGATTGTCTCCTTATTTTATTCAATGATCTACAAACTAAAAATTTTATTTCTTATTTCTGTTATGGAGTTCTTAAATGTGACCATTAGAATGAAGCCACTTCATGCTTAAACTTGCACTTCCTATTCCAGGACAGTGGTTGCACCACCTTCCTAAGCTACATTGTTGTCATTCAGAAATCTCTTTTGCCTTTCTCTTTTACTACTGCTACTAATTTTGTCATAAATCCTTTACTAGAAGTCTTTCACATGCCAACCACCTTGAAATCCTTTTGGCCTTTCATTTTGTTTCCTCCTTTCAATATGTGTATACATCCCATGAATTCTTGTGGCCTCTGTACCCTCTTCACAGTTGCCTTGCAAGCTTGTGTACTTAGATATATAAGATGCCAAGTACAAAGGAAAATGCATCAGCAGCTGCTGAGCAAGCAGAATCTGAAAAGCCAGTTGAGTCTGATGAGAAGGTTGATTTTGATGAAGACTATGATCCTGAGGAAATGGATGAAGAGGTTGAGTATGAAGAAGTAGAGGAAATAGTGGAGGAAGAAGTGGAAGAAGAGGAAATAATAGAAGAGGAGGAAGAAGTAGAGGTGGAGGAGGAGGAGGAGGAGGACAATGCTAGTAATGCTAATGGGGTTGATGAGACAAAGGTTGAAGATGAGAATGAGAAGAAAAAACATGCCGAGCTTCTTGCCCGCCCTCCTCATGGTTCTGAAGTATATGTTGGTGGCATTCCTAATGATGCTTCTGAGGAGGACTTGAGGGATTTTTGTGAGTCTGTTGGAGAAGTTACAGAGGTAAGCTATTTTATTTGCAAAGCATCTGTGTATATGATCTTTGTGAGGATGAAGACACTGACAAATTTTATGAACCACAGGTTCGAATGATGAAAGAAAAAGATTCAAGTGAGAACAGGGGCTTTGCATTTGTGACTTTTAGAAGTGTTGATTTGGCTTCTACAGCAATTGGTGAGCTGAATAATACTGAATTCAAGGTGAATGTCCTTACTTTTGTTTGTTTGTGGTAGTTGTGTTCATGCTTATGCCAAGATTTTTAGGTATGCTGCTTCAGTTGCATGTGTTGATATTTCTCTCCCACTCAGGGTAGAAAGATCAAATGCTCAACATCTCAGGCGAAGCACCGGTTGTTCCTTAGCAACATTCCTAGAAGTTGGGGAGAGGAAGGTCTGAGGAAGATTGTGGTTGAGGTTGGGCCTGGAGTTACCAATGTGCAATTGGTGAAGGTTAGTGAAGCTAATATTCTACTTAACTTGTTCATACTTTCAGCAGGGTTTTTATTTGTTCGCCCTTTTTATAAAGAAAAAAAATTGAGCAACACGTGGAATTTACTCATTGGTTATATAACAATTGGTCACAGGAGAAGAGCTCAAGCAATAACAGGGGCTATGCTTTTGTTGAGTACTACAATAATGCTTGTGCTGAATATTCAAGGCAGAAGATGATGGATCCAAAATTTAAGCTGGGTGATAATTCCCCAACTGTCAGCTGGGCTGACCCTAAAAATGCTGACTCTTCTGCTTCTTCACAGGTCTTGTAAAAAATTTGAATTGATTAACCATGTTCATGATCTAGTATTTTGCATCTGGTTGTCTTTGATTATGCTATGAGATGCCTTTTGCTCGGGAATTTAATTTGGTAAACCTCACTTCAGCTTCTCTCTTACAGGTTAAGGCACTATATGTGAAAAATTTACCAAAGACCATAACCCAAGATCAGTTGAAGAAGCTATTTGAACGACATGGAAAAATCACAAAAGTGGTTTTGCCACCAGCAAAATCTGGACAGGAGAAAAATAGAATTGGTTTTGTACATTTTGCTGAGAGGTCTAGTGCTATGAAAGCACTGAAGGATACTGAAAAATATGAACTAGATGGTGATCGCTGATTTATCCATCTTATATGCATTTGTTATCCTAATGTATATGAAGAAGTTATTTATGTTGGTTTGGTTTGTTGTGATTTTTAGGCCAACTCGTTGAGTGTGCTCTTGCAAAACCTCAGTCAGAGCAGAAGGCTGCTGGAGGGTCAAACTTGCAGAATACTGGTTTGTTACCAAGTTACCCACCTGGGGTTGGTTATGGTATGATGGGGAATGCCTATGGTGCTCTTGGAGCAGGATATGTTTCAGCAGGCTTTGCACAGGTTAGAAGATATGACTCCGTGTCTCTTTGACATTGTACACTTAGTAATCTTATTTTGAACTACTTGGTCTGGATGGTTATATTCTTTATGTATTTTGCTTATTAACCATTTTGGATATAGCCTAAATGTGCAAGAGGATTACCTGACATCTTGTAACTTTGGGCTTTGGCTGTGGCTTTATGATATATATATGCATGAAGATTAATTGATGCATTCTGGTGTTTAAGCTTGATTTACTCTTGCTTTAAGTTTTAGTTGTTTTTTCATGTTAGCTAAGGATGGGATGCACTGTCAACAATTTGGCCATGAAATTCAGTTTCCAAGCTATTATAATGGGCTTTGGCTGTGGCTTTATGATATATATGCATGAAGATTAATTGATGCATTCTGTTGTTTAAGCTTGATTTACTCTTGCTTTAAGTTTTAGTTGTTTTTTCATGTTAGCTAAGGATGGGATGCACTGTCAACAATTTGGCCATGAAATTCAGTTTCCAAGCTATTATAATGGGATGGTTTTCATTATAAGCCTTACAATTGTAGATCAGAATGTTCCAGGATCCAACTTTGGGAGGGAGGCCCTTGACTTATGCCAATTCTTAGGTTTAGCATAATTCAAGCACTTGACTTTTTCACCTCCCATCTCTTTTTTATCCACTCTAGTTTGTTGTTATTCGTGTTTGAGCTTCAAACTTTTGGTCAATGAGCTATACACAAGAAGATGTATTGAAATTTATGCTTTTGACTCGTTAGAAAGCTAAAGAATGCTGGGATGACAGATTCCCTTAAGAGTGTTTCTTCTTTGTTAAAACTTAATTTCCGTAGTTCAGCCAATATTAATTGATCCCTTTTTATATTTTATTTTTTTTACCGTTTTGCAGCCATTGATCTATGGAAGTGGACCATCTCCTGCTGGCATGGCGATGATGCCAATGCTTCTACCTGATGGGCAATTCGGATATGTCCTGTAAGCTGAACTGGAGATCCTTTACTTTTTTTATTTTTTACATTTTTTCCTCCGAACAGAGGGTGCAGGATCTCATCAAACTCATCCTCTACGTAGTGTTCAAGGAAGGGAAAACAGAAACACAAAAAGTTCTGACTTTCTTCCCCTCCCCTCCCCCTCCCCTGCACTCATGCATTGAAGGAGTAAACAAAAGGAAAAAGAATAAAAAACTGCAATTAGCTTAATCAGCAATGAGGATATAGTTGACATAGTGATCTTTCCAGTGCTTTCAGCCTCTTCTTGGATAGCCCCAACCAAGTGATAAATTTGAGTCATCCCTGCCCTGCTCTTTTTGCATTACCCAGTTGTTGCCTAGCAATATGAACCTGTCCTATTCTATTATATTATTACGTTGGGGGAACCCCCTCCCCAGAGGCTTTTTTTTTTTTGACCCGATAGGCTTGAGCACTCTACATTGCTCAAATTAATGTTTAAAAGTTGTAATCACTGGTCTAACTGGTCCTTTGAGTTCGCCTCCCATATAAATCTCAGTTACACCTGCATTAGCAAATGTCGGTTCGCAACTAAATTAGTAACTAGAACTCAACATGCCGCAATTGGTGGTACGTGCCTGGGGACTCAGAGCCTTTCTGTTTCCTTGCAGGCAACAGCCAGGAGTACAGCTACACTCCCCAACTTCCTATCAAAGAAATGATAGCAGGAGTGGAAGTGGGCGAGGCAACAAAATGGGCAGCAGTTCAACCAGGGGTACACACAGCAATGATGCCAGCCACAGCCGCAGATTTCGTCCATACTAATTGCTTTTCCTGCATGCTTGTTGTGGTCTCAGACGAAGAAAGTGCTTTTCATCACTGTCAAACTCTAAGCAGTTTTTATTCTTTGTTTTATCGTCTTAGTGTAATCAAGCTGATTTTTGCGAGCTTCTACGTTTATATCTATATTAATTATTTCATTACATTTGTTCTTTGTGATGTTGAAACAACAGAGTCAGGTTTGAATTGCATTTTACTTCTTCCAATTACTAGGTTTTCCTTCTGAGAAAGTAAGGCTCTCTGTGTTTCTCGTGGGAGAAAATTAGCCAATGTATGTCCCTTTCGTATTGCAGTAAAAATCAACTGTGATGAGGCACCTTTCTACAACCAGCATAGTAGTGATATGATATTCCATTTTCCTTTTCAAAAGAAAAAAAGGAAAAAGAAAGAAAAAGAGCCTGCAAGTGACAGATCCAGTTCTCTCGCTACTACAAAAAAAGGCAAGAAATAGAGTACAAGTAGTGCAACTGAAAGTCTGAAACAAATGGTATGGTTACTTTCAGGCTATGAACTAACACTGGAAGCAGATGCCGATGTGTCGGTTTCGTGCTAAGAGTAGGATAGATTAGAATTGCAAGCGGTGGGTAAGAGTAATGTTGCTCAGGCAAATTATCATGTGAGCATCACTTTTTACTAGTGTCCCGTTTCTTTGGTGTGCTTTTACCTCCACTTTTCTTTGATGGCTCTTCTTCTGTTTTCCTCTTCTTTTTCACCTCTTTGGTCTGTGATGATCCTACCTTCTTTCCACCATTCTTCCGCTTAAATTCTGCAGGAACACAAAAAAACCTTCAAATTCTTCATAAAAATTGCCATATGGAATAAGTTAGAACGATGACATGCAGCTCAATTAGCTGGTGTTTAAGAACACTTCAGTTGACAAAAATATCATTCACATGATGTCCATAAGACCGACTCAATAAACTCGCACAAGCATCCCAACCAAAGACTTGAGTTCATATGAAAAGAAATTTTTTGGTAAATGTCAGAAGCAATACAAAACGAGAACTTGCCACACAAATGCACAGACAGGTGTATTCATACTGTAAAATGAGAAGAACAAGGATCGGTATTATTATGAGTATTTTATACTGATCATTCACCAGCATAATAGATCATCAGATATCATATGATTTTAAAATGAATGTTGATTAGATATCATGCAGTCGCTGTTTTCGTATTCCTTTATTTGACATGCCTTTGCTTCTACATTGATCAGTGTAATTGCAGTTAAATGAGTTCACACACTAGTGATTATGCTCCTAATATGTATATTCTACTCAATTTCAACCTCATCACTTCCTAGTAGCCGATATCATCGCCAAAATTATATTATGTTGTCTTCTAAACTTGCAAACCAACAAGAACTCTTATCAGATTATAGTCCACCAGAAAATGCTGGTCTAAATTCAATAAATATGATGACAAACCTTAAGAACTAAACCTAAAGACTAGAACTTCTTACAAGCAGAGGGACTATGAAAGATTTTGCGTTGTCATTGCATACTTACCATTCAGGGAGATTTGGAGAGGCCCAACAAACTCAGGAAACTCAATTTCTTCGAGAGCTTTAAACACATCGTCAGCATTCATCGTTTGTCTCTTTGATTCCTTGCATATGTCATTAGCCCTAATCACAAAGTAATTCCCATTTTCACACATCAAAATCCCCTTCCAAAACAGCATAACATTTACATATAAATATCAAAATCAATTAAAAAAATTCTAAACAATTCCATATACCCTAAACCTCTAAATTTTACAAATTGAAACCCAACTATGCAGAGAAATTGAGGTGATTAGATCAGAAAACGCTAAATTCTGAATTTTTAGCGCAATTATTAAAAAAAAAACCCTAAATTGGGGAGATGAAAGGGATGGATATTGAATAAAACTTGTGGAATTTTTAAAAGCTTACGTGGCGGAAAGATAGTGGATGAAAATGCGGGCGCTTTCGGAGAAAGCGAGGAGGGCGTCTCTGTGGACATTAACGTCAGAATCATCGGGGGAGCACTGGGAGAGAGTATCCTTCACCACCCGGCGCACAATAGCCTTCGGCAGCTCCTCTGCTACTACTTTCTCCATTTCCATCTTTCTCGCTCTCTCTCTCTCTCTAAAATGCACAATAGTATACCTCTCTCTCTCTCTCTCTCTCTAGCGGCAGGTAGGGGATCTTCTTCGTTTTCCCGCCATTTGCATTAATAAGGCTGTCTTGGGGATCAGTTGGGCCCATCTTCGATTTTGGTCTAAATTTGTATGGGCTTTGTATTTGCCGGAAAGGCCCTTTCCATGAGCCCATTAGGCCTTCATATCATATGTTGTTAAACACAAACATATGGGTACCACTGCATGCAATGTATGTCATGTGACATATTTGCTAATGTAATAATTAATAAGTAGATCTTTCGACCAACCAATATCTTTATAAATCTACTTACGTAAACAGTTTATTTTATATTAATTAAAATACATTTACCGATATTGCATGTTGAATGTTAATTGTTATATCAATATATTTATTAATGTGAATCAACTAATATATTTATAAATTTATTGACGTGAGACGTTGATTATTATTGACATTAATGCTAATTAGTGGACGTGAAAAGATAAAAAGAAATAATTGGTTAGAGCCTAGAGGGGTGCGGTAATATTTAAATCTTATTGTAAGATCAAATGTGCCGAATCTCAGATTTAACCTAACATTTCGTCACTAAAATTGAGATACAGCTGTTGGAATCTCCTAAGAATAAAAGATTAATTTCAGTTTCACCTAATACCAAGAACAAATAATATACTATTCCGAAGAACAAAGAAAAAACATATAATATACTAACATTCAACATAAATTATCACAAATTATTATTCTTCATCCATTCGGGGTCAAATGTTGCTTTCAGATGCCCCACTCTTCGTAAACTTATTTATTTCTTGAAAGATAACCCAACCCTACCTATTCTTTCTTTTGTTTTTTATTTTTTTTTTGATAACCCAAGTGTCCAGATCGGTTTGTACGCATCTCGATTAATTTCTGGATTCATTGAACACCCTGCAAGCTCAATAGACAAGCGAGGCACTGCGGAGATGATAGGCATACATAGAAAAAATCGAATCCAAATGTCATTGGTGAGCGACCCTCAATCTCACCATTGAGCTGTGACCTCAAGCGTCCAACCCTAGCCGTTCTTGCTCTCCTAAGTCCTAAGCTCAACTAACAATTTTTATTTTTTTATTTTTTTAAATTTACCACATTTCTTGATCTGCTATAGCTTTTTTTTTTTATGATATTAATCTGTTCATAAAAAAAAAATAATAATAATAATAGCCTTATATAAGTGTAATATATATATCTACTACATGAATCAAGACAGGAACCTTGGGTTTTGATCAACCAGTCAACTACCAAAATTTTGTTCACGTTGAATTGGTCCCCCTCATAAAGGTTTCAGCTTTCAAGTTTCCCACCTCCAAGCATTCAATTTTAAAGAACGTGGTCTTATCCATCTTGAGTAAATTATAAATCAGTCCCTCATGTTTTTCAAAATAAATTAAATAATCTTTCTAGTTTTAAAAATTAACTAATTAATCTCTAAATTTTTAAATCTATTTATAAATAATTTTTATATAATTTAATTTTTAAATAGAGAAAATAAGAAAAGAAGAGAAAAAAACACATTGTTTTGAATAAAATAATATTAAATTAACCAATGTTAATACTGATCAATAGATTATTTGATTTGTTCTATAGAACTAGAGGGACTAATTTATAATTCACTCTATCCACCTATGGAGACTCCCACACGACACAAAGTGCCGACTTAGGAACCCACGCCCACCTTGTCGCCACCTCCTGCGAAGCTCCTAGGCCTAGATTGCCTTTCTCCCACGCGCTAACGTTGAACGACACCACCATTTTCAAACGCCAACTGGTTCAAGCAAGCAAACAAGCAGCCGAAGCCAAAGACAAGAAGCAAAAGCAAAAGCTAAGCTAAGCAAAGCCGGCATACATCATTAGCATATAAAGAATTCCGTCTTCAATTATCTTCCAAATCAAGAAATACTTAGCTTTGTAGTTTCTTTTTCAAGCATTTATTCAATCAAGAACCATGTCTTTTTTTCTAAAAGATCGCACTCAAAATCATCTTATGCACCATCTGCTCCATCTCTTCCTGAGTCCTATGATCAACGGGGTCAAACGTACGGTACTTCTCATCAAAGTAACTACGGCCAGCAACACCATCACCAGCAGCAGCAGCAGCAGCAGTCTTACTATGGACAGGGCAGTAGCGGTGGTGGTGGTTATTCATATGGGTTCTCAGGATTTCCACCAGGGACATCTCCAGATGTAATTAGGAGCTTTGAGATGGTTGATAGAGACAGGAGTGGATTTATTGATGAAAATGAGTTGCAACAAGCTCTTTCATCTGGTTATCAAAGGTTTAATATTAGGACTATTAGGTTGCTCATGTTTCTCTTCAAGAATCCTCGTGATTCTCTACGGATGGGTCAGTCTTTTTTCTCTTTCTTGATTTTCTGTTCGGTTTTAATTGTATTCGTGATTTTTGTTGATTTCGTGGGACAATTTGCGACCTTTTCAGTATCTGGGCCGATTAGATGTTAATTTCTTATTATAGCTTTCAAATTTCATTTTTTGAATTGGATTTATTGGTTTTGTTCATGACCCTCGACTGAATTTGATGACATGTGAACTAGAAAAATTAGTTCTTGAATTGTTGTTTGCTTCAATATTGAAGAATTATTAGGCTTAATTTTTGTATGTGGATGTTTTTGACTTCTAAATAAAATTGGATTTCGGTTCTCTCTTTGATTAATTCTTTTCCTTTTCATGACGTCTTTTACTTTCACTTTGCTGGTATCATTGCATGTAATGATTTTGCTGAACTCTTCTAATCCAGGACCAAATGAGTTTGCTGCTTTATGGAGTTGTCTTGGTCAATGGCGGGTGAGTAGTCTCTCCTTGTCCCTATTGAATACTATGTAGGAGTATAGCCTTTGAGAATGTAAGAAATTTTAAACCATTTCATGCTCTTCATTCTTTATAACACCAAGTAAAGGTTAAACATGGAGGTAGGAATTTGACTTTGAACTTGGCTGGTTTAGCTTCTTCGATGAATAAATTGGTGGTGACGTATATTAAGCATAATTGTCCCGATCTCACTCATCTCAAAAGCATATGCAATTAATTATTATTACCAATTGCTGCAGAAGTAAATCAATTGACACACAGTTTGAAACTCTTTTAGGAACATCTATTACCAAAGCTTTTTGCTTCTGATATGGCAAATCAATTTCATTGTTAGCTTTTTTTAGAATCTATATTAATGCAGGATGATGGGAGAAAGGGGAAACTAAGGATAAGAGTTTTTACTTTTGATTCTAAATTAATTTGGAATGACAATGAGTAGTCTGAAACTAAGGATAAGAGTTTTTACTTTTGATTCTAAATTAATTTGGAACGACAATGAGTAGTCTGATTGGAGAGGGACATAGTTTATATTTCGGGAGGATCGCATTAGTTTGTCAATGCAACCCAATTCTTGGCTCACCATACATCATTTGAGTGGTTAGAATTGCTGCAGAAGTAGATCAATTGACACACAGTTTTTACTTTTCTTTTAATGCACTATTCACTATTTTCTTGCACTATTGTATGACATGTTTTTTTAGCCATTGAAAGGGAGAATTTAAAAATTTTCTTGCAGGGCATATTTGAGAGATATGATAAAGACAGGAGTGGGAAAATTGATTTGTTTGAACTGAGGGATTCTCTTTACAGCATTGGGTTTGCTATCCCATCTTCGGTTCTTCAAGTTTTGATTTCCAAGTATGATGACGGAAGTGGCAGAAAGATTGAACTCAATTTCGACAGTTTTGTCGAGTAAGTTTTCTCATGCTGATGCTTTTGTATACCATTTGTTTTTTTTTTTTTTTGGTGCTGGGACTTCTGATCTGACTAAACTTGCTGTTTTGTTGTGTTTGACTTGCAGATGCGGCATGATTTTGAAGGTGAGACCATAGTCCTGCAAATTTAAACTCTTGTTACTTCCCTCCTTTTATTCTGTGTGTGTGTTCCTAAAATCATCTTGTGAATCTATTGTGATTTCAGGGATTGACTGAAAAATTTAAGGAGAAGGATAAGGGTTACACTGGCACAGCAAAGTTTAATTACGACGAATTCATGTCCATGGTCATTCCGTTTCTTGTATCGTATGACTGATGAGATCATCAAACTTTTTATTGTATGATATTAGATTGTGATCATTCTTGTATTCATTGATTTGGTTTTTTTCCTTTTTTTCTTTTCTTCATGTGTTGGTAACTCATTTGCAAGAGTTTTGTGTTCAGATATTTTATTTTAGGGAAGAACTTGTACATTGAGAAGTGACAAGTGTGTGATGATTTTCATGTAAATTGAGCTAGGGTTTAATATTTTTGGAAAATAGAGCAAAAATTTGATCTGTCTCTGCCTTTGCTATATTCTGCCGCGACATCCATTCGAATTTGAACCATGATGTGCAGCCTCAGAAGAATGATTCAAACTAACTTTGCGAAGGGCTTTTCTCATGATGGCCAACTTGAAGTCACTGAAATTTTCTCCTTAAATAACATTCATGGTTCTCCAAAAGATTCTCAAGACAAATTTGAAGTGTGATCTTGTCAGAGTAACCTGAAATGTAAAGAATTTTTAGAATTTATTTGCACAGAAAAAACATGTGTAGTACTGCAATTTACTCCTTAAATAATATTCATGGTTCTCCAAACGATTCTCAAGACAAACTTGTAGTATGATCTTGTCAGAGTAACCTGAAGAGTAGAGAATTTTTATAATTTATTTGCACAGAAAAAAAATGTATAGTACTCATCTCTACTGGTGTAAACACCAGTTCTTCTGTCATCTGCCTTCTTTGAAAATGGATTTAGGAACCAAAAATAATGTAAATCAGAAAATGCAGTCTCGTAGAAACAAAAAATGGTAAGAGGTTTTTTTTTTTTTTTTGAGGTACTTGGGAGAAGGAAAATTGGAAAGCGAGTGGCTCATGAAAAAGGAGAAAAACACAATACCACATCGG